TCCTGGATACTAGGTTCGATTCTCCATGTAGGCATGAGTTTTCAACTTTTTCTCTATACGATGGATGTGGCCATTGTGGGTCCCTATCCCATCTCATAGTAGACTATGTCTATCCAGCATTTATTAAGTTATTGTAGTTCACATACTAGAAACATGACTGTTTCTATTTAACGAGTTCCATCTCGAATCGGAGATGGCGGAGTTGGCTCCCGCAGTGGAAGAACTGGCAAAATTCCGCCGCAAACGCAAGGCGGCGAGCGGTGTGGACATGATTTCTGACGGTGAATAGAGTGGTGCTATAGATATACATTACTAGAAGAGCAAAATTGATACATTTTAATGCCTTATCCTACAGCGCGGACAAAGGTCTTGTAAGCAGAGCCCTGATCAGAATCGCGGACATTTTCGGCCAAAATCTGCTCAGGCCACATTTTTCGCGGACAAAACGGCACCAAATCCGGAAATTTGGCGCGGACAAAAAGGTCGGATTCTCAGGATTTAAAATAAAGCCTTGATACCTATTATCAGGGGTCCTAATGCTCCCCCCTCACACCTAGTCACCGCTACTTTGGGACAGCGGCAAAATCGGTGCTGGAGGAATTTTTCAAATTTGAGGTCACGGAAGCAAAGACTTCGAGGGCCCCTGAGCTATTTGATGGTACATGTAATAGTCATTAGCCACATATATGAGGACTCACAGTGTTATATACACCACTGGGTACATCACCCATATTGAGCATGCACAAAACTTTGAAAATAACCAGTCAAAGGTCAAACTTTTTTCATGATTGTCCATTGCACATTCTAGTGAAACGAATTAGAATAATACTACTTTTGTATGGATCTGCAAGTGGCTGTATTTCAACAGGAAATTGGTTTTGCACTATATTAGAGGTTATAGAGAAGGAATTAAGTAATGGTAAGGAGATGGGGTTAGCGTAGATCCTTGCGGGGAGAAGGGGGGACATATAGTAGTATGGTGAAGGAAGGGGCAAGTGTGGGAGTTGAATGCGGCAGGCAGTGGAGGCCAGCAGCAGTGGAGGTGCAGTGGAGACCCGGAGCCCATGGGGGCGATCAGAACTGGTCTATGAGACCCAAGTGTTGAATAGGAGCCCCAAAGATTGCGATCACACGAGTGGGATCACAGGAAACTGCACGATACAGTCGACTCTCCCATAACCCATAGCGGTCCGTGGACCCAGAAAGGTATGGGTTTTCGGAGACTATGGGTTACCAGAGTGTGACAGACTGTGACAGTGGCGGGCAGCGTGACATGTGGCTGGGAACCCGGCATACGCCGGACGGTCCGTGATGCCACATTATGCTACGTGTGGCCCGGTATGGGTGTGCAACGCCATATTGGTGCGGGCTTTGGGTTGGAATATAAGAGTGATTAGTATAAAAGTAATAAATGGTGGTCCATATGGCTCTGATTAGGCTAAAAAATAGGATGATTTATGGGTTATGGACCCTTCAGAAAGGTATGGGTTATGGGGAGTTATGGGTTGTCGTGACGATTAATTAGGAACCAAATCGGTGGATGCAAAGATGTATGGGTTATTAGAGGTTATGGGTTATTGGAGGTATGGGTTAAGGGAGAGTCGACTGTATTCGACTTACTCTTCGTGGAACTGTGTACCACTTCCTGGAGAACGAGGTCGATCTGGAGACGGTCCGAAAAGGCTTGATCGAGCAGAAGAAGACTCATCTGACCACAGTACGTGCCTATGTTATCACCACCCACAAACCATCTCTTACGATAGTACGTCACGCGCAGCTTGCAGCACTGTTAGGGTGAGCCCACTTGGCCCGTATCGTACTCGGCATGTTTTTTTATTCTAATATCTATCTGATCTTAGCATCGACGTCGTTCTGGGGAAATCAAGGTTCTCCGATGTCGCCAGCATCCTTACCTGCGCCCTAATATTGTACACCTTGAGCTTGCGGGGTCAGCTCGACCACTTGCCTCCGGCAAGGTTAGAGGTGAGTCTTTTCAGCCCGAACTACCTACGGACTCGGAGAGTCGTCTGATCCCGTCGCGGGCGTAGGAATACATCAACGCTCTTGGCAAGCGTACCTTCGCGCTCATCAATGCTGTACCCGGCCTCGGTATCTCTGTCGTTTGCGTACTGCAAGTATTTTATTTCGTTCACTCCCCGCGAGTGGCATTGGCCATCGTAGCAGTGGGCCGGATGCCAAACGTCCTGCTATTCGCCCCAGGCGCATGCACCTGGATTACCGCCAAGTGTAATGTGTGCTTAAATATGCTCATGTTACGCGTGCAGAGTGGAGAACCGCGCGACGGCGGTTCCGTATCTGGGTAGGGGGTGCCGTCGAATTTAGACCGCGGGTATGTATGGAGGCTTACGCTGATATTCGAGGGGGCGAGCGATATGCGACATCCCATGGAAGGACTAGACAGATCTCTTAGCGTATATGGAGGTGGTGCTGTATATATTCGTGCATCTGACCCCTCCACAAACAAACTATCACATTTTCTGCAGGAAATAAACAAGAAACACGTTCAACATCAATCCCACCGCGGCAAACACAGTCAGAAACGTGTCTAGTTCGAAACGTCTGGGACCCTTCCCATCACGCAATTGGAACAGTCAACACGCTAACGCTGAAACCAGGGGCAGAGTAGTTAACCGTCCTGCCGACCGAAATGGTGAAGGTGACAGGCGTCACCGCGTTCGGCGTGCTGGGTGTGTTCGATGCGTTCTGGGAGCCCTGCAGGACCTGCGCCGTGCCGCTGCTCCCAGCGTTGATTCCTAACGGCAGCTGGAACACAAGATCCGCCGGGGTAGACACGGTATTCGACACCTGAGCGTGGCTGTTAGTGACCTCTTGCAGACATAGGTGCAGTTCCAGTTACCTTGATGAGTATGGCAGAGGGCGAATTCCTGCGGGTCACGCTCCAGAAGACGGTACCGTTCCGAGCAGGGAGCGTGCTTGGCAGATACTCGTCGCCGCGATTAACGCTGAAAAGCTGGCGGCGCGTCAATAATCATTACAGTACAAATGCAGGGAGCAGGGAGATCCTTCATCAATTCATACCTGCTGTGTGTAGTAACTCGTGGATCGGTACACAGTTGCTGCGCTGCAAGGCGTTGCGTCAGTACGACGGCCATTTGCAGCCTATGACCCCGAGACTCACTCGTAGCTGACCAAGTCAGGAGTCTAGTGGATGTACCATGGAGTTAGTCAGGGAGGCAGAAGTATAAACAAGGCATTGTTTACCCATTGAGTACTAGCGATATTCTGCAGGAAGACAGGTCAGTAACCGTCATCGATCAAGACTTACATTCATACCTGGAGGAGAGGAGCATAAGATGCAGCGAACACTATGTCAGCGTTGCGTTCCAGCCCAGTCATAAACGCGGCCTCGCCGGTAGAAGCTAAGCGGAGCTGTGTCAGCGAACCAGCTTAACCTCACGATAGCGGATGAAACATACCTGCCATAGTTGGGTACAAGAACCTGCCCGTTGCGGCGCTACCGTACAAATCGCTCGCATTGGACGAGATGCTGGCATATTCGCCCTGGACAGACGAGGTAAGCTCCTGCTAATCGACAATCGCAATGGCATACTTACCTCAAAGTAAGTGGTGCCGTTCCTCTAATTCAGTCGCCCATCAATGTCATACTCAAGCCTGGTAGGTTCAACACGTACCTCGTAGTCGTCATAGAAAAACGAATTCGAGGCGAACCAGTCTATGAGGGAGATCAGTTGCGATCGCCGAAACACTCCTGAATTCTTACGAGGAGTCTGGTACACGTGGTTATCGTAATGCTTGGGCGTTGGCGTCAATATTGGGTTGAAAGGGTAAGTCGTGGCGATGAACTCTTTTAGCAGGTAATTAGTCACTCCCGCAGGCATGAAGAATAGCTAAACAGGAGTAACTTACGCAGTTGAGGATACCTCGCAGAGAGGTTGCCGTAGAAATCTCTCCAGCGGTATATATACCTGAAACGCTAGGTCGGCGAAGTCGTGCCTTCAACTGTAAACGAGTACTCACGACGACGAGGCGAAGAAGTCCTGAAAGATATGTGGGGATTATTGCGGTCGAATGCGGTGATACTACAACACACCTCGTTTCCGACCTCGATGTAAGTCAGATTGAACGGTTCCGCGCGGCCTAACGATGCTCTGAGGGCGCCTATCGTAAATTATAAGTAAGCGCTCAGCGACAACGCGAGACAAGAAGATCCCGTACCGTAGGTAGTGGATGTGTCTCCAATGACGAACTCAATCTATGCAAGCCTTTGATACCCCGGGAGAATCCATGGTATGACGAGAGCGAACCTGATCAGCCGCTTGCTGGATATACGGCGCCAACTCATTTTCGGGGAGGCTGTCGCCGTCCAAGGAATAGCCTGTAAATAGCAGAAAAAACCTCAGTTTCATTGACACCAGTCAAGCCGTGAACGTGAAGCGCACTTACCTGCCCAGACCGCCATGATCGGCTGCATACCAACATCCTCGCACCAGTAAAGGTACTCCATCAGGCCGAGTCCGCTTGAGAAGGAACATATAGTCAGTATTGATTTATGCGGAAGGATGCGTACAGTACTCGGTGTTAATATATCCCCAGTCTCCCATGCGCCCTGGTCTGTCGACGAGCGGACCAACGGTGGCGTTCCATTGCCATCTCGTAGCCGTCGATTGTCCCTATCACATCATTCTGCTGAGGGGACATCACCAGCAGAAGTATACAGAGGGGACACACCTCCTGCAGATGGAAATCAGCCTTTGTTATTGTAAGAAATATAGAAAAGACGCACAAGGTTATTACCTCCCGGCAGACGGAAGAACGAAGGGTTCATCTCTGCTAAGGCCGTGGCGACATCGATCCGCATCCCATTTGCCCTCCCCTTGTACGTGGGCGGGAACAAGGAAAACATTGCAAAATTGACCGTGAGGCCCCGTGCGCTTGCGCCATCGAGGGTTACCGCGAAGTTATTCGCCGTGTTCGGTGCATTCGCATTGGGTTTGAGGGTGACGAACACCTGCTTCCAGGTCGTCTGGCTGCCGTCGAGAGTTACGCTGGCGGCGGCGTACGTGTCCCCGCTGGAGGATACCAGCGAGACGGTGGACGTGGGCTTCTGTGCCGAGGCCGCCGGGAAACGGTAGTAGAAGGAGGCGTTATACGTCCATGTTGAGTCGACTTTGATACCTGGCGGTTTAGGAAGGCACTTCAGTGAATAAGGATCAATGAGGATACGGATCGGTCGTACCCCAGTAGCCCTCGTTTCCGAAGCCGACGGCGCCCGACGCGCTGGATGGGACTCTTAGCTGAAGAGCATTCGGGAGCGCGGATGACACAGGCGTGGGGTCGGCCACGACGTTTATGGTTGCTGAGCCAATTGCGTGCCAAGCGTTTAGAGCTGCTGTAGTATCTTTGCGCGAGATATGAGTCATCCTATCGTAAAGGACGGCTGGAAGCCTTACTCGGCGCGACTTGTTGGAAGGCGCGATTTTGCAGGACTAGGGGAATAGAGACACGTTAAGCGTCAGTATACAGGCAATGCACATTTACATACGTTCAGCGTACAAGCCCCCATCGCCACTCTACAAGTCCATCATTCGTGGTTAGACGCGCATAAACCTCGGATTAACTTAGTGAATCTCACATGCTGTAACCGAGAGGCATTATGATTAGTGAATCGCTGGTAGACAGAACGAACAGAGTAAATATCACTCACATTGATGTCCTGGACCATGGCGCCATATTAAGTAGTGGTCTCGCCGACTAGAGATTATTCGCTGTCTTACCTCGAACATCTGGCCATCTTCTCAAAGTGTTAGTGGGCAGGCCAGCAGCAACAGGGTGTACAAGACCCACATAACGTAGTAGGGATCGGATGGCTGGCAGTCGCACTGATTGCAACGGTAGTGGCCGCCAGACATTGTTGGGCAAGCAGCCCGAGAGACAGCGCGAGTAACCAGCTCATCTTTGCAACAGTTCGCGCAGCCTTCGTTGAGCTCATTGGGGGTTCCTTTATATCGTCACTGCCTGAGTCCGTGCCCTGTAAACATCCCGACTCATGTGACGGAGAGCACAAGGGAGCACTGTCATATACGAAGGCAGGACTTCCCTCGCCGGACCGCCCGGAGATATTTATTCTGGGTCCTGGGAGGCATTCGAAGCGGCATTACTGACAATCATCAGGGACCCACGCCTACCAAGGCCCGAGCTATGTATCAATCTAAGTGAACGACAAGCAAGGCTGAGGGTTAGACCTGGATCGATTGAAGCATTGTTGGAAGCATGCCATGATTCCAGCTTCAACGTATGCTTTAAGACTCGGACCGCAACCCATTATCCATAACATGAGAATATGAAACCATGGGCACGCGGGCCGTGCGCTCGATGCATGACGTGCAAAGAAGTCCCGACCGCGATGCTTCGCAGGAAGACCAACCGTGTCTGCGGGGAACGTGATATTATGCTGACTTTGATGGAAGATGCAGAATAAGAAGGAGGAACCCGGAGCCGCGCGCGGTGAGAGTCGATGAGAGGGGATGGTTGAGAGAAACAGGGCTGCAGCATCAGGAAACACCAAATTCTATAGTGGTTTCCCCCGGATACATAGTTCTCCATAGGTCTATAGAAGTCGTATAGGTCAACATAGATAGGTGGAAACCAGAATAGGGAGTCATAGGTGAGATGTGTTTCCTGATGAGGCGCCAGCGACATCCAGGGAACGGAGGTCCTTCGCCACGGACCCCGCCCACTGATCGACTGGACTCTGCACGAGAAGGCATGATCAGCCTGAGATATCTTAGCCGGGAGCAACTGTCAGAGATCTTGGCAAGCAAGAGTACTGTAGTAGACTATACATGGTCAGCCTGAACGGCAGGAAAGGGACCTGGAAACGCAACGAGCAAGGCTGTGGCAAGAAGAATGCTAATACAAATTAAAAGCATAAAATCGACGAGTAGTGCGAGGGAAAACCAGGAGGATTTTTAAACCGCAGATAAACCGCTTCTTGTAAGCCACAGCGAAGGACAGGCTCGAGTCGCACACAGGGTATCTATCCCCTATTAGGGAGGACAGACCGAATACTTTGCAAGGGTCGCGCATAGCAACGGTACTTCGACCAGAGGGCACTCATCAACTGCGAAATAAACTCATGGTACATGAACCTGTCGCCTCTCCACTGGAAACCATCACGATGGTGAGAGAGTCGCCCAGGTACTGAAGTTGAAATGGCCTTGTACTTGCACTCCGTCACGATATCGACAATGAATCGTCCTACACCTAGTTGTCTCCCATCTACGCGCGCCGCCACAGAACGTCCATGCCATTCTGATGCGGATAATATGTCCATTCGCCGGTTTCTGCGTCCATGGACCAGTCGAAACGACGGTCGCCGCCAGCCCAGAGAGCGACAAGCTGCAGAGTCGGGCGGTATATGTGCATCTCCATGACTAGCGCACGCTGTAGGTGAATTGATGGCTGCGGGACCCAGGCGCCCAGGTCGAGCTCGAGGGTGCGCAGGTTGTACAAGCGCGTGAGTGCACGGTGGAAGCCGTTGCGCTGCGCAAAATGATAAAATGGTAGTCAGGCAGGCACTATCGAAACCCTGCAAGAAAGTACGAACGCACCTTCATACAGGGCAGGGGGAGGATGCCAAGATGTTCGAGATTGGGCGCTGAGTCTGCGATCCGATTGACTGTTTCTGAATTAAACTCCTCAGCTGTAGGGCCAGCAGGTAAATCGATGATATTGAGTGAACGCAGACCCCGCCACTTGGGAAGGCAGGCTAAGAGCCGCGGGAGTGTCTCCCCCGACGGAGCGCTCAATACTGTCTGTATATTTGTCAATGGACAGTTCGCAAGTTGAGTCACAATGAACGAGGAGGCTTCGATTTGGCAGAGGGCCGGCAGGGCGTTAGGAGAGATGACAGGTGCGTCCGCGGGCTCAGGGTGGTCGGGGATCTGCAGGTTCTTCAGCTGCACCTGGCTCTCGAGAAAGCGCACGAGGTGGGTATCCCAGCGCAGCTTCAGCTTAGCCTCCGTCAACTGGAATGGCGCGTCCGCGAAGTCCAACACCCACGTGGTGCCAAAGGTAGGATCAAATAGCACGAGTGTCTCCAGCGCAGCTGTCTGCGTGAGTGCTGCCTTGACCGCGAGCCAGTATTGTTGGGGGAGGGCTCCCCTGTGGCTTGTCCTGCGTGGATCTAGGAAGAACCAGGCAGTCTTGACCAGGTGAGCGAGATTTGGCCGTGCGACGAGGGTGCTACAGAGGCGGAAGGCTTGGCTGGGCTGTCCGAGCTGGAGGGTCGAATAGAGCTTAGCCTGAGCAGGAGCCTGTAGTGCCCGACAGACGACACAGAGAGATGGCAGTGACGCCACCGGGACGAAGGAGACGATACGATTGAGAATTTCCGCAGGCAAAGCTGAGAAGGGCATGTGGGCAGAAACACGTATAAAGTACGCGCAACTCGAGATCTTCTTCAAGTATCTAGAATATAGATATGAGTTCAGACAGAGTTTTGAGCGGGATAGCATGAGGAGGAAGAAACGCGGAGACGCATGAATCGATGAAATCTGTTAGCGTTCGTATGCGTCTGACTCGCCTTGTAGAGAAACGCGTAGCGACATTCCGGACCCAGTTTCAGATGACCGGATAGGCCAAACCGCTGCCATCCTGATGAACGACTAATCAAAGAAAGGATGCGTCGTCCACACTAGACACAAATGGCCGCGATGCATAAAAGCGCATGTCCTCGGTCCACACTGAACGGCGAAGGCCTGAGTTCTGTGAGCGAAACATGGACCTCATCCTTCGACCGTCGCCTGTGTAACAAGGACAGTGGCTCGGTAGCAGATACCGAGTTCATGCGATTGAACGAGCCAAACTGTACCTTGTCAGACACCTGTCCTAATGAAGTCCAGTTTGGACTGATACTTTTGCATCCACAGATTCCGTATGCTCTGAACAAGAAAAATAATCCGTCCGCCACAGAAAAATACCAAAGAAATAAATTCGATCAAACGAAAGACGGCGTTCTCACCTGACACTTGTCTATGTCCCCTCGGCGTTCAGACTGCTGGAAGGTAAGGTAAATCCACGGTGACTACAGCGTAAAGCAGGATGTGCGTGTGTGGCACGAGAGCAAACGCGTACCGGCGCCTGCCGACGGCAGTCGCGTCTTTACCTCGAACGCCATCCACAAATTACCAGCTTACCCGTCTACCCTGTCGATTGCACAATGGGAGAGTCAAGATCTGAGCTTTTGGCATGGCTGAACGACCTGCTGCAAATCAACTATACCAAGATCGAGCAGTGCGGGACGGGAGCTGCGTACTGTCAGATTATCGATTCAATCTACGGTTCGTACTGCAGTTCCTCGATACTGTTGGCGCTGAACAGCGCGTGCTAGGTGATGTGCCAATGAATCGCGTCAAGTTCAATGCAAAGCACGAGTACGAGTTTATCGCGAACCTCAAGATCCTGCAGAATGTATTCAAAGCGAAGAAGATAGACAAGGCGCGTTCCTGACCGCTCTTTTCGGCTGGAACACACGTCTCTAACGCGGGAGGGACTTTGGCAGCCGATACCCATTGAGAGACTGGTGAAATGCAAGATGCAGTGCGTAGCCCGAGACCCCAACCTCGCTCCCCCCTGTCAGGCTGCTCACGCCGGCACGCAGAGACAATCTGGAATTCATGCAGTGGATGAAGCGCTTCTGGGACGCCAACTACCCCGGGCAGGGCTACGACCCCGTCGCGCGCCGCAAAGGCGCGCCCACCGACACGCCCGCCACGCTCGCGCCCCTCGCGCCGACCGCTCGTGCGCCCAGCAGTGCGGGCGTGCGCGGCAAAACACCCGTGACAGGCCGCCGCCCCGGGTCGACGCAGCCGAACGAGGCGGTGCTGAATCTCCAGGCGCAGGTGAAGGAGATGTCGGCGCACATGGAGGGGCTCGAGAAGGAGCGGGATTTCTACTTCAACAAGGTGATTACCTATCGCAGGGCATGAAGCAGTGGGAATCAAGTTAACATTTGCATCTTTCGCAGCTACGAGATATCGAGATCTTAGTACAAGCACAGCTGGAGGTACTAGAGGCCGAGGGACAATCAGACGAGACGCTGAAAAAGATCCAAGAAATCTTATATTCGACAGAGGTAAGCCCGTTCCATCTTCGCACCGGCGCGCCACTCACCCAGCCTACAGGAAGGCTTTGAAGTGCCCGAAGGCGGGGCGGTCGACGAAGAAGAAATGTTCTGATGTATCGATATTTGGACCCCCACTCTCGCTTTGCTATACATACTCGTTCCGATATTGTCTCCGCTCCTTGTCGTAATCTCCCCATGGTATTTGTTCGTATTTCGAAGTGAATCTAACAATGTAGAATGAAACATGGTTCCGCCTGGAACCAAATAAATCGACCCATCACCATCAGCACGGTGAATACACTGTCAGTCTGGGGCTTCGGTTCTGCTCGCACAGGCGTCCGAGTCGATATTGGGATCAAACGCAGATCAGTGGCTATTCGCATCGGCGGGCAATCCGGTCGAAAATCACTGGCCACTACACACTTTGCGGCACATAAAATACAAATACTGAAGAGACTACTATCGATACATCCACCAAGAACAAGCGAAGTCCGAATATCGAATCAATGTTTCCATTAGATTTGCTGACTCGAGCCGCTGGTCGAGCTTGAGGCAGCATCGCTCTCCCCGGAGGGTGAACTAGGACGGGTATGCTTCACTGCGCGGACCGTCTTGATCATCTTAGTTTTCGCTGCATATCCTCATTAACACGTATCGGTAGCGCGCAAGGGAGCTACGACTCACCGGTTCGCTTCTTCCTGCGCCTTGTGGGTTGTGGCTCAGGCTCGGGCTCTAGGTGCCCCTTCCGCTCGTCCTCTCCCCCGTCCAAATACTGGTCCAGCGTGAGCCGCACACACTTGCCGCAGTCCGGGCACCGAACCTCGACCAGGTCCCCAGGCTTCTTCAGGCCAAGCTTGTTCGCCCAGTATTCCCGGCGGATGTTCTCCATCGCGACGCCCACGACGGACTTGTCGCACGGGTACTTCTCCATCGCGCGCTCGAACGAGTGGACCGCCTCCCTGCAGAGCTCGGTGTAGCCCGCGAGACGCATGTAGGACTTGAATATATTGCTTGGCGTTGGCTCGGCCTTGTGGGTGGCGAGCTCGGATAGCGCTAGGTCCATGGTGCGATACATGGCGACGACGTATCGATGAGACGGCGGGATCGTGTTTTCAGTGGCATAGCCGATGCGGTTGTCGCGCCTTTATATCTGGACGCGTCCCGTTTGTGGGAGTGGCTTTGGCAAGGACCGCCACAGTCATGGACCAAGCGTCGCCATTACTCGACTATATCGGGAAACGAGCCACAGGGCTCAGTGGCTTTGACATAGTTGCAGGCGTATATATGTTGCCCACTGATCCCTGCGCACTGGTATCATGCATGTGGGGTCCCAGAATAATCAAGGTTTTAATCGGGTGCACGCTACACGACGGTACCAGCTATTGGTATAACAGATAATAATATGCTAGATGAGGGTATGAACAGACGAGAGCAAAGCAAATCAGCATGTCCAAGCTGTCCGGGTCACAATAATCAAAGCGCAAGGCCATTCCTTCTTCACGTACTCTCTACACCAGGCGATTGCGCCGGTTTACTCTCCGGCAAAGAGGCGGACGAGCATGTAAGTTGTGGAGCCTATAAATCTTACGACTATGCAACGGTGTCGTTCATGAGTTGAGAAATGCGAGGTGCCACGAATGACGCACATGCGAGACCAGCAACGGAGAAGAGGACAAAAGCCATGTATCCGCTAACAGCCTTGGACGCATTATTCTTCTCTGTGGCAGAGCTATCGGGCGGGAAGGGTCAGTACGCGGCCGGGCTTCGGGCCACGTCAACTTACACTACAGCTGCAGCCAAAGCGCCCTGGAGTCATCAAGGTCAGTCACAGAGCACTGCATTGGACTGCGAAGCTCGCTTACATTTGACAACACCCAAGCGAGAAGAACCTAAGCAGACAAGGTTAATAGTTTGTAATAGGGTCTGTCTCACTACCTTACGCTAGAAAGAATGTCAGCATCTGGTTAGAAGGACATAAAAGCGAACGTACTTAGTCCTGAAGCTCCGGTAATAATCTTCCTGCTCAGTCTGCGGATCTGGCTTGGATTCCTGCTTCGGCGGTTTCGTGGACAGCATATGGATCGCATCTTCATACGCAGCATTGATGTCCGTTTCCGCGGTTGGAACTACAACCTCCACCTCGTTCTTGTTCTTGCCCACTTGCACGACACCTAGATCCGTTTGGACTTTGTTATCGCCCTTAGTTCCCCAGGATACATCGCTGTTATCTCCAGTTGAGTACAGACAGCAGAATATGACTTCGTGATACTCACTGGACATTAGCAAACTGTCGATGAAACGAGGGTGAGCGGAGACAATAACGCAAGGCGGGCAGAGTCACTCACGGCATAGACGTTCAAAACATTGATATACGACGGAGCCATCAACGTGTATTGCAGGAACGAGGTGATCATATGCCATGGTTCGAACTAGAAGAAGGCTCGTCAGCCTTTATGGCACCACATGAGCACACGACTCACGAAAATCAGGGATGCAATGATGTAAAGACCCAGGGTGGCTGCGATCGATATCACGATGTTCCGAAACACGGCGCTGGAGAAGATGTCGGATGCCTGTATCGGTCGTCCTTCGACATGAGACACGTTCTCTACTCCCTTGAACGCCAGGAAAAACGCAGAGAACTAAGGAAGGCATGACTGTCAGCAAGCTCTCATCGTCCACTTAATCCCTGCGCACCGTCATGTAAATGGTGATTAATGCAAATCCAATAAAGGACAGCGTATATCCCCACTTCGACCCTTGAGGCCGGTTACCCAGCGAGAGCAGGAAGCACATGACGAGCAGTCCTAGATAGAAGTATTGCAGAACAATGTTCACATATTTGATGCCCGTTATTTTGAAGCTGGGATCCTCCAACGCTTGGGACAAGATGACGAAGGCGATATAATAGTTACCCTATCACTTGACATTAGTGCAGGAAACCAAACTATCCGTCAATGACATGTACCAGGGCGAACCATGAGAATATCAGGTTAAACGTCTGATAGATCATCTCGACGTGGATCCAGAACTTCCGCAGGAAGGAGTGGGATGAGCGATAGATATAGTGGAAGTGCACGGTACTGTGTATCGCCGCGAAGAATGAGCCGTTGAGCCATCGACGACGTTGCGATATCAGCTCCGGGACCTGAAGATTCGTCAGCTGTCTGCCCAGCCTGTGCAATGCTTAAACCGACTTGATCTGGCACGTCCGTAACCGCGTACGCGGACTTCACGTAGTGCAGAATCCAAGAACCCCCGCGCTTAGACACCAATTCCCAGCAAAGAATCTGTGACATACGATGAGAAATCGTCCACGGAGTTAGTGCTGATTACCTACACGATCCTCCGCAAGGTACATATTTGCCGTGAATATGTCGGCGCCGGCTCCATGCTAGCGGAAACCGTTATTCAAACCCCGAGTTCAGCATGAGGGATTGCACCCACCATCTTCTCTCCCAAAAAGTACTTCTGTAGCGGCCCCTCTCCCACGGCGTCGTTCTGCAGAGCAATGTACCGGTAGGCACTGAAGGCTCCCGGCAGGACAGTGATATATCCAAAGATAGACTCTCTGGTAGACGATAAGAACCCACTGCCGAGGCAGACAATATTTCGAGATAGCTCACAATGGCTTGTCTAGGATATTCGACATCTTGTACTCAAAGTTCTGAGCAGCGACTGGCATGGATATGTCAGAGCGTGTCATGGCATGGATCTACGTAGGGCGGGGAAAACGTACCGAGTGGATTGATGAGGTGTTGGCCGAACTTCCCCTTCATCGCCACGATCTCCCCGCAAGCTCCTCCGACATTACTGTTGATGTCAAATGCCTTCCACAAATGGTAGATACTTGTCGGGCCCGGCATGGTCCCCACGTCCAGCAGGACACAGACGTTCGGTTGCAGGATGGGCCCGAAAGCGTTGAAGAACCATCGGTGCGAGTTGATCTTCTTCTGGTTCTTCTCCTTCAGGCAGAAGATAATCTGCACAGGAACTGTCCCGCGCTCGGCACCTTCGATCTTCATCGAAGGGGTAACGGAAACTAGACAAACTGAGGACCGGCGCAGAACTGCGGAATGATGAATAACTTACTTTGCGTGGTATACTCGTAAATATGTGCCGTGACAGGTTTTCCATTTACAATATTCTGTGGACTGTCAGTAGAGATCATAAGAGCAAGCTTCAGGCCTTACCTTGGCCACACCGTCTTGATAGGCCCCCATGGCGGCGATGACACTCAGCGTCCTGGTGTTGATCTTCTGACGCCCATCGCTGACAATGCACACCACTACCTTCTTCCACCCCTCCTTGCCCCACGTCTTACTGCGGTCGCGCTTACAGAGATGCGCGATGTTCTTGATCACGCCGTGCATAGTCCTACAGAACAGCTCCTCGTCCTCGTTATACATCGTCATCACTATGAAGAGCTCCGTGCGTCGTGGTGGGTCGTAGTGCACTTGTCGCAGCGTGAAGCCAGAATCTGACAGACAGCCGGGCCTCAGACACCGGAACGCGAATACGCTAGCAAGACGCACCCTTGAAATCATTCGGGTCGCACGTCGCCGCGCTGTACCGCATGTGCGTAAACTCGCGCTCATTCCGCTGCGCGCACATATCCAACAGCTTCGACGGCACAGCCGCGTCCAGCACAAAGTTCCCGTGGAACAGCCTATTGCAGTCAGCGGGTAATCACCACATCCCATGGGCCCCTTGCACTCACTCGACTTTCTTGATTGTCTTGTACCTCCGAGGCACCCGCTGAGGAATGCGCCCGTACCTGATATTCGTCTCCGACCGGTCGTCCCCCGTCGCATCGCCATATTCTCCCGGTATGTGCTGCCAAGAGTCCTGCGAGCGCGAGGACGGCGCCCGGTTCAGAAGGGGTATATCGCCGTACTCGCCTGCATCGTGGTCATGGTCCTCCACTGGCAAGGCCTCGTACGACGGGCCGTACGGATTAGGGTTCAGCGGGGGAGGTGGCGGCGGAGATGACTGCAGGGCATAATTGGGATTGTAGTGCGGGCTCATGTAGTCCACCTGCGGGGGTGGAGGTGGAGATAATGGCATAGGCGGAGGCAGATGCGAAGGGGTCGTAAAAGGGTCGTGAGCCGCCGGAGCCGGGGTGTGGTATGCGCTCGGCTGAGGAGGGGGTGCTGGCGTAGCAAACGGGTCCGACAAGGGTCTGCCATAGGGATTCTCGTACGGGTTGTCGTGATTCGGAGGCTGCTCATATGGATGGGGACCGCCGTAAGGATTGTATCCGTCGTTATAACGCCCTCGTTGAGCCTCATCAGCCTGTCTCACATTAGCGTGATGTGCTCCGGAAGAACAGGCGGGAGAGTCACCTCTGGGTAGTGCGACATGGTCGGAATACCTCAGCAAATGCTTGCCCTGCGTCTTATGCCCGCGCGAGGCTGTGGACTCGAGCGCAGTGTGGTGCTACGGTCAAGCACTGCAACCGGTACCACAAGCCAGGAATAGCCTGCGTCAGGGGTGCAGTGCAAAGACGAGGTGAGTGACTAGACTCTGTCCCAAGCTACTTAGGTACCAGAAATAGTCTTGCAATTTAGAGTCCGCAGTATGAAGCTTCAACAATCGTCATGACAACTTGCTATGTCTTTACCATAGCGAATTTCTGAAGTTGAGTGTTTTTGGGCATAGTTTTGGTCAGCAAATGCTTTACCGTATAGCCGTCACTCACACAAGCCCTCCATCGATGAGGAAACGCGCTTATTCCGTGAGATCTACGGTCCTGTGGCGGGGGAGCCACAGTCCATTACAGTCCCAGTTCCCACGCCATTTGGGACCCCGGTCTCTCCATTCCCCGTCCATCCCGGCCTGCTGGAGGGCCAGATACACGCCTCCCGTGCTTCAAATATTGTATATACTTGCAAATATAATCTATGCTATTGTTAGTAATATCTGAGGGTCAAAGAAGCACATCAGGCGCTCGGGAACTCTACGAACGCGCGGGTGAGGTAACCAGATATCTACCCGAGGGACTGTAAATGCCAAGGCTATGGACTGTGAATTTCGCCAGCGGAAATCGCGTCGTGACGCGATTTGGCGCGGGCGCGCGCCAAAATCGACCCCCCTCCTCAGCTAGGTTCGGATTGGCAAATTCACAGTCCCAACCGCGGCATCACAGTCCACTCGGCACCCAGATCTGTGGCTTGCCCTAGCTGACCTACTTGCTTGCTCCTGGTCTTTATTCCTTACTTAACTGCACTGCACTGTAGCTGCACATGTACTATAGTTCAAAGAATTTTATTCCGAATTTTCTACCCTACCGTACCCTCATGGAGGAGGCCGCATCTGCCCGCCTCCCGAGCTTGACTTGCAGCGGTGGCGGGAGTTGCTTATGTAATTCGATTAAGACCGTAAACCTTCCTGTGATCAGATTCACTTATAGTGAGAACTACACCCCTCCCTTGAAGGGTAACTTGAGAAAAATGATAGGGAGAGCCCAGATGGCGGCGGAGGGGGAGAGGAGGAGGAAAGATGAGAAATATGCAAGGCGGAACACTGGAGCATATTTATGCAGAAAAGTATGTGAAGAAGTTCCTTGACATATGTCGGGATCGTCGCTCAACCCAATGTAGTACTGGCATTGCCATAAATGGCGTCATTGTCGGCAGACTTCTCCCCAGCCCTCGCACTGTTACCTCACGATTCTCACGTCTATAAAGGGCATAAGTCAAGATCTGCATGTCGCGATCAAGTCGCGATTGTCTAAATCTACATGCTACTCATTACATTCCAATTTTCGAGGCCCATCCCTGGCGTTAACTCGCAGACTCGTCACCTCTCACCAAGAGGTAAAACGAATGTTCCTTGATGAAGGGTGGATCATGGGAGAACCACTATGATTGTGCGTTGCATCATAATGACTGGGGGAAGGAGTAATGCGGAGACGCTTTGTTGCAGGATTGAAGGATATAACTAGGCTGGTTGAGAATATCGGATTCTATACGACCCACATGACAACCTCCCTAGACCTGCTGAAACAGACCGGCACGGTCATCGTCACCGACACCGGCGACTTCGAAAGTGAGGGGCGACCGCATAGTCCAATACGGAGTCCTTGACTGAGATTTCCCGCAGCGATTGACAAGTACAAACCGCAGGATGCGACGACGAATCCGACATTGATCTTGGCCACGGCGGATATGCCTCAGTACTCGCGGCTGTTCGACGTCGCGCTCGAGTACGCGCAGAAGAAAGGCGGATCCTTAGAGGAACAATCCAGTCTGGCTCTGGACCGCCTGGTATGTCTACTTCCGCCGTGATTGGTGCAGTAACTCACTATATGCGCCATGTAGCTGGTTGAGTTCGGCAAAGAGATCCTGAATATCATTCCTGGACGGGTGTCGACAGAGTTGGACGCCCGTCTATCGTTTGATAAAGAAGGGTCGAAGGCCAAGGTAGGCTAGCGTCAGCTTTAGGATGTCCCCTGGTAACCGAAACTAAAGAGACGGGTCAGGCGCGACACATAATTGAACTATACGAGTCCATAGGAATCCCCAAGGAGCGCGTCCTGATCAAAATTGCCTCAACTTGGGAGGGGATCCAAGCTGGACGAGATTTAGAGAAAGAAGGTATCCACGTGAACATGACGCTTCTGTTTGGCTTCGCGCAAGCGGTTGCGTGCGCAGAGGCAGGGGTGACACTTGTGTCCCCCTTCGTCGGGCGGGTACGTGCACTGTGATCAAGTTTTGGACTATATGTACTTATTACCAACCCGTAGATCCTCGACTGGTATAAGAAACACAACCCGAACGAGTCATACGAAGGCAACGCCGACCCAGGCGTCCAATCCGTCCGGAAGATCTTCACCTACTACAAGCAGCACTCGTACAAGACCATCGTCATGGGCGCATCCTTCCGGAACGTCGACGAGATTAAAGCGCTCGCAGGCTGCGACTTCCTCACTGTGTCGCCGAAGCTGCTCGAGCAGCTACAACGGTCCACGGACGAAGTGCCCAAGAGGCTTGACGCGGTCGTCGCTGCCGCTGCGACTACAACCGAGAAGATCCCGAAAGAGAGCTACGTAGACAACCAGCCTGAGTTCAGGTGGAAGCTGTTGCAGGACCAGATGGCTTTCGATAACTTGCACCAGGGTATCAAGAAGTTTGACGAGGACGGGGAGAAACTGAAGAGTATCCTGAAGGACAAACTGAGGGAGAGGGCCCGGGGTAGTAAGTGATTCCTTGCATCATGTACAATTGTATAACTAGGTGTAATAATACTCTCTTCACCCCTTAATGTCTAGTTGCGACCGGTATATGACACGTTTCGCATCTACTCCACTCGCGAACCCATGTTATATGATTCTCGGAGTTGAGTCCTATTTACTTTGCCCCCCTGGCAATCGTCAAATCCGTCCGTCCGACTATAATTTGATGTGGTCCTAAATCAGCTTACGAGGCCTCCTGTCAGCGTGAGTCCGAGACTTTTATCTCTCCCTCTTTGCCGGCTCGATTCCTGCCTATCGCACAAGCCCACGATAACCCACTCATATACGCGGTCACGTGACCAATATACCCTTATCTTAGCCCTATCTCAGCCTTGTATCTCAGAAGCGCACCCCCGCACCGAGATAGCACGGAGGTACAAATGGCGGGACACTGCACTCCTGGGGCGAAGAGGTCGCTTCCGCCATGTTGTCTCTCGGTCTCCTCGTCCTTGCCGCGTCGCTCGTGCACGCCTCGCAAGCCCCGTACCACCTCAGCGCGCCGACCGACTTCGAGCGGCTTTTCTCGTCCGACCTGCTCTCGCGCGACAAGTGGTCCCAGGAGTCATGGAACGGCCTCGTGTCGTTTGCGCGTGCGCAGCCGCTGAGGTGTTTCGGGAGTGACGCGGACGTAAAGTACGATGTTGCAGTGCTGGGCGCGCCATTTGATACTGCTACGAGCTTCCGGCCTGGGTGAGTGGATAAACAGCAGAGAGTGCACGGCCGCTCATCTATCTTTCTATGACAGAGCGAGGTTTGGGCCTAATGGGATCCGTCAGGGCGCGCGCCGCCTCGGTGTCGACAGAATCAACGTCCCTCACAAAATCCGTGCCAGTGATTATCTGAACATCGCTGACTGCGGCGACGTCCGTATGTTGCACCCCGACCGGCACACTGCTGTTGCACACTCACTTTCTTGACCGACAGCCATGACATTCGTGGACAACAAGGTCGCGCTGCGCCAGCTCGAGCTCGCAAACAAGGAGCTGCTGTCCCGGGAGGCTGCACGGTCGTATAACGAGACGAGCCTTGCGAAGGATGGGAAGTACCATCCCCGCGTACTGACGCTCGTGAGTCGTTTCATCCCTCCGTGCCGGCGGAGTAAATCTCATTTGATCTCCAGGGTGGCGACCACACGATCACCCTACCATTACTCCGAGGTGTTGCCGAGGTCTATGGGCCTGTCAGCGTTATCCATTTTGATAGTCATCTCGGTGGGTCTCGTAGTCACTGATCGACTCCTTCGGCCTCGATCGACTGAGCTGGCTACTGTGTAGACACCTGGAAACCCAATTTCATGGTAAGACCATCCGACTCGCTGCCGCCCTGCTGAGTATCTTACGTTCCGGGTAGAGCGGTCCCTGGCTGCCGGGCGAAGAAATCCCAGTCACGCACGGCAGCTACTTCTACTACGCCTACAAGGAGGGTCTCCTCGCGCCGAATAACTCCAATATCGTGAGCAAGGGCGTCTTGTTTCGCCGACTGGCTGACCTTATCCCATAGCACGTCGGAATTCGCGGCGCCCTCGGCAGCTGGGACGACTACAAGAACGACTGGGAGGTTGGGTTCCACATCTCCCATGCGGAGGATATCGAAGAAGTCGGGTACCAGGGGATCGTAGATAAGATCCGGGAGGTCGTTGGCGATAACCCCGTCTACAGTGAGTTTGACCGGATGCTTGCGACGCTGTTAGCCCAGGCTGACTTCACTGGCGGCCAGTCACTCTGGATATCGACGTGATTGACCCTGGCATGGCACCTGCGTAAGTGCACTCGACTTGCAAGCGCGGCTCTATTTTCTGATAACTTTGATCGTCACTAGGACCGGGACGTGAGGAACTTTTACGACTATGGAGAAGCCAGCAGAGCACTGATGTATTTATACAGGCCTGAAATTGGTGGTTTCACTACACGCGTGCGTCCTTTGATCCCTCTGACACGAATAGGTCGCTCACGGTCCCGTCTCACCCACAGGAGATCAAAAAGATCCTCAAGGGGCTCGTAGGCCTCAAGATTGTCGGGGCCGATATCGTAGAAGTCGCGCCCGGTACGCTTTGTCCTTCTGTCCTTCTACCATAACCCTGCTCACCTGCCCCCTATTTGACCAGGCTATGACAGTCAGGGTAGGCCGCAATTCACATAGCACCGTCCGATGGGCACCTTTCGCTAACCATTTCATCCGGTAGATGAAATAACTCAGATTGCTGCCGCCAATATCGGTTGGGACATGCTCGCTCTGATGGCGAAGACGCCTACCGTAGCATAATGGGTAACGGCCCTAGGTATATTGGGCGCCCCGGAGAGGGTGCCCCTCACCGTGAAGTAGACTCTGTATATCATACCAACAGATGATTCACTATAAGGGTTTCAGGGCACGCATCGGAGTCTTCGGCACCAGACTCCCTGTAGTGGGACGAGTTTAGGAGGAGCGGTATGGATCGAATAGTACACCTACGACACACATAACCATCAGGATTCAGTACACATTGTCCCCCTCCGCCTCTTTCCTTCGTGAACCCGTCGTATAAACAGAGACTAGTTGATTTATAGGTACGGTACGAGTTTCTTCCGTTGAACCAACGTTGAACGGTGATATACTGTTACTGTCCCGTGCAAAGTTGCCTTCAAAGTTGAAGTATAGTGGTAATCGTTAGGTAAACCCTCGTACTTACGCATGAATATGACGACGTGCGACGATATTGGACCGCTTGGAAGTTGGAACGATTCAAGTGAAAGTTAGAAAGAGGCAAGAGCCCTATTATACCATATTGAGAAGGAAGATTACCATTCATGGAAATGTCTTATTCTGTCGGGTAATGTTCGAGACGACGATCGTTAGTCGTATTCTCGCAGTTACCGTTTAAATATCGCTGAACCGTCATTAATCTGACTCCTCACCTTCCTTTCCCTCTTCCCGTCACACCGTCGTACTCGAGGCTGCCTGCCGTTCAGCGACGGTCACAAGCTTCATCATCTCCACGTACGCGTTCCGAATTTCGGTCAGACCGTTTGTATCATTCACCATACATGTCTGTCGACGCCATGAAGCTTACTGCCGTCGCGTCCTGATCAATTTCGCCACAAATATCGGACAGGAGACGCTGAACGCCAACCTTCTTTGTTTGACCTCACACAAACGCTTGTGGACTCGAGCGCTCCGCGACCCGACCTAAAGCATTATGAGGCTAAATTACGCTCGTTGCTGGCCGGTAGCGCTGGGTATCGGCATGGATTGGCACGCTTGGGACGGAGCGCTCATAGCGCGCGCCCGAAACGCCGCAACTTGGAAGGCAGGTACCAGAGGCGCCTTGAACTGCCTTAAGCCTTGAAGCCAAAGGAGAGCTAGCTGAACTCAAGCAGGCTCTCGAACGTAAAGCAGCACGATAAGTGGGAAATCCTTGAAAACAACATCAATGCGGATGACAGTATGGGAGTCATGGGCGTCAATTCGTTGGCCTCTGTCGGAGAGCCACGTTCGCAACAGGCAGGAGACTGCAGAACGCGTAGGGCGGCACACCGTCGATGTCGTTGCATCATTATTGCCATCAAATGTCTGAGTAATTCGTTGCTGCGCGCGCAAGTGTGAAGTTTGATGGTGCCAGTGGCGGACAAGTGGCGGATGCCTATACAAAGGGGCCGGCACTGCCACATTTTCCGTATCTTTGCAAGTCTGGAACCGCCAGGCACGACTGCATTATTCAATCGTCTGGCGCCCAAGGACTCCTAAAGGCACGGTTGTAGGATGATCGCCGCGTTCAGCCTCATCCCCCTCCGCCACTTTCAAAATGGCTAGGAAGGGTGTGCACTGGAAATTGCTCAGTTTGCTTCCGATTACAGCGTAAGCAGCAAGTTTGGGAATGTGCAAACTCGTAGGGGGGGATGAATAATTCCAGTGAACGTCTAGGTACCCTGTCTCGAGAGAATTCAGACGTCGAAGCACCGTTGGATTCCTGGCTGTAGCGGCGGTGGGTGTCGAAGAAATATTGGCTTACGAGTATTTGCTGAATGGAAGGTTTACTTAGATCATACTCTACGCTGGTTTAACTGCATGGGTCGGCATCTTCTCTATCCGTACTGCAGTTCAATGCTCAAACTCCTATAGAATATCCTCACGCAGGGTCAAAATAAGACGTACACCTCCGTATTGCTGACAAGATACGTCAACAATTCTACGGTATCTTGTACCGCCCGCAGTATCAACATCGGGGACTCTCTATACTCCCATGGGTCAGGCGTGTTCAAGTGGGGCGTCACCGGTATCAAGACACCCTCAGGAGACGGGACGGGTTTCGGGTATAATGGTGCATTGCTGCAGGCAAACGTGCGTCTCTGATCTTGGCTTCGAGGCAGCATAGCGGCGGCTCATTCTACTCAGGCCACGATGGTATCCATGCTGTATTCTTTCGCCGGCCAGTCATACAATTATGAAGTCTGCGCGAACGTTAGCGTCCCGACGCTAGGCGCTATTTCCGTAAGCAACTCGACGAAGGGTTCGAAGACCGTCAGCAGAGAGCCCACCATCATTTCCATGTGCTCCACCTTTGATCCAACCAGGGGTGAGCTCTCTCTTTTCTGGCGCTGTTGTTTCTAAAGCCCGGCGATTGTAGACTACCAGTCGACATCCGGCAAGGCTACGCAGAATCTGATCCAGAATAAGGCATTCGGCATCGCTGCTTACTTGCAGGAGTGAGTGCATAACCCTATGATGTCAAGACAGACGCTCACTGCAATGCGATGTGCAGCCTCAATTTTGCCAATGGCAGCTTCCCCAACGTGCTCTTCCCTCCCTACGGCATGTCCGGCGCCACTCCGCCGAGCGACACATCGATCACGCCTGCGAAGACATACGATCTCTCCATGTGGCTGGATGGATTTCTATACCTGCCGGACAACTCTACCTTTGACAGCAATGTCAATAACGGGTTCGGCCGCACCCACTCAATTGCGCTGGCTGACCAGCCGGACCACATCATTGACATCCAGACTCTATTCGAGGAGACAATGCCGCAGAATGTGTCAGGTCTAGTACTGAACCTCAATGGAATTGGCGGTGTGCGGTTGCAAACCGCAAAGCTAAACTCTGCGCTTGGGTTCACGGAGCCGAGCACAATCACGCAGATGCGGAATTACACGCTAAACACGCTGAATCTTATCCTCGTGAGTTTGTTTGCCCTTCGCCGGTTTCCTGTGTGGTCTGACCGAGTTGACAGGACTTGGCGTCGAATGATTTGCAAAACCGGGAGGTGATGAGCTCGTACCTGTGCACTGTGACGAGCATGGAATGGAAGACGCCGCTAAGCATGATTGCTATGCTGCTGGGTAATAACGCTGCTCTGTTCGGCTTCATTCTCGGCCTGCTCGTCGCGGGGGCGCAGATGTTCGAGGAGCATCACCACGGTCCCGGTATGGACTGCCTATTTTTTGTTTGTTTGTCAAAACACTGAGCGACGGTTTCTTCCAGACGAGGACAAGGTGCCCATCTTGGGCGAAGGGAGGACATCAGTGTACTACAAGGACGCTGAAGGAGGCGCCTCGACATACTATAAGGAGCCCGCTTTCTACCCGATGAGCCCTTATCAAGGGTATGCTCCGGCAAAGCACCCGGAGTACTCGACCCAACTGGAAGACCAAATGCCGATGCTACCTCGTGTCGGGCCCGGGCGTCGCTGACAGGTCAGGGTGATTTTGCAGTGGGTGGCAGGTATGTTTGCAACGCCGGCGGCGGGGGATCGATATATTGATGGGTATGTCTGCTATATCCTTTGAATCTAGGTCAGCACTTGAAGTATTCTGATTGCATGTCGTAAAACATGATTCTTTGGTGAGACTCGGGACCGAATGTTGCTGTATATACAGAGTTACATTGTAGGGCACGGAGATTAGAGGTCTCGGGATTCAAGGTCGCGCGGCGCAATCATGAGATGACAACGTGTTATACTAATGTCGGCGGGGAATGCGGTTCGCCAGTCTAGGCTCTGGTGTCTCCTGACCATCGATGCAACCTAATGAGGTCAGTACGCACTACAAATTGCTTTGGGCGGCTTCGATCCGTTCTGGACCTCGATGTCGTACGGGCGATCGTGGGGAGTTTGCGCAGAAGCAGAAAGTAGGGCTCCGCCGTGTATATACCACGTCCGATGGCTTTATAACGAGCGTCCACATCGCCTGGAACGGGATCGACGTCGCGATGCCCAACATGATCTGCAAGCTCGACGTCCCCCCGCGCTTTTGTTCGAAGATCCCCGTTGAACTGTACCAGTTTCTCGTGGAATGTCTCGCCACACCCGTCCCCCACCAGACGACGCTTGCGCGGCTATGCCGAGTGAACAAGGCATTCAGGGCGGAGGCAGAACGGGTACTGTACCGCAATGTCCGATGTCTCTCAGCCGAGAGCGTCTCCTCGTTCTGCCGCTCGGTGGAGAAGACGAAGGACAGACTGTCGTCTAAAGTGAAATCGATTCACCTCACCACCACCGCCAAATTCCGAAATGCGCACGGGCTGGATAACATACTGGAAGTGCTGGAACGTCTAACGGGACTGAGGGAAGTGTCCTGGGACGACTCGGAATTCCATCACCTCGACTACGCACAGAATCTGCCCGGACCATTGCACGTCCTCATCCAATGCTGCCCAACTCTCGATTTGCACAGCCTTACGTGCAATTTTCTGGTCGACCGACGGATATTCACTTTCCTTCAGAGCCAGCCAAACCTACACGAGTTTCAGTGCAGAAGTTACCTTTCGTGGAACCCGTACGAACAGGGTTGCCTCCCCGACGGCTTCCTCGCCAACCTGACGACACTGCACGCGCCGGCATCCTTCGTTGCAATGCTCCGGGGAGCGACGTTGAATATTGCGACGTTAGCCCTGAGTGCCAGCATGGATAACGATATTGAGGAGCGGGCACTGCTAAACATGCTCGGCGCCCTCTGCCCGTCGTTGATCAACCTCAGACTGTACGGCAATTGGCAATGCAGCATGCTCCAAGTGATGGAAATCGTCGCGGAGCGCGTCCTCGGCCTGAAGACGTGGGTTTTCCAGGGCCTCGATCCAGTTCGTGCTCATCGTCTCTTCTGGCTCCGCGGTACTGATGTTTCGCGTTGCAGGAAAAGCCCAAGATTTCTGAGCTGTGGGGCATCGTGACGCGCTTCCGGTCGCTGGAGACGTTGGTCATGCCCCCGTTCACCTGGTCGCAGGCGTTCTGCATGCACGTCACGGACGGGCTTGTGACCTCGTGCCCGACGCTCAACCGTGTCGCGTACTACGATCTCAACAAGCGTTCCTGCTGTTTTGTGCGCTGCGAGCCCGCCGCGCGCTTGAAGGTCTCTGAGGAAGACAATTTCGCCCTGGAGCCTTCCCTATTCGACTCGATGCAGCCTGCGTCTAGCGGATGATTGACCACTGCCCTCCTGCCCCTTCCCCTTCGCTCTTCTCCTCTCCCCGCATGACGTGGCTCGTCTCGATTCTATCGCGATAGATGAATGATGACGAATACCGCTCTCCTTGGAGCTTAAGCTTGATTGTGTGTCTCGGGTACAGTTCACTTATTTTAGTTTGGGGTTCTCTTGCTGTCTCACACCATAGTATCGACGTGTACATTTATAGGTTCCGGTCTGGAGCGTCCTTGTATTCCCTCCCCATGTTTATCTTGTTAGTATTTGTCCTGCTTTGCGGAGGTAGGAAGATAGAAGAGGAAATAGCAGGTGCCACATATTTTTGGAAACACGCCCCCTCTGGAATGGCGGACGAGAAGTCGTCAAAGGTACGGTACCATCTGCACTGTTTCGCCGATGTCATCTGAGTCATTGATCTAAGGCAAGCTAAAGGAAACCGTTATATGCTGTATGGCGATCTCATGTCATTGCCACAATTACCAGAGGCGCCCGAATCCGCACCTCACTCCGATACGAGACAGGGTTGATTTTATGCGCCCTTTTGGTCCTTCTATTTCGTTATGGTGGTAGAAGCAGCGCTTGCTTCTTTGTGGCTGCGGGTCATTGCCATCCCTCTTAGTTTTCTCAGAGCTGCGATGAAACCCAGCACTTACCGGAAGGCGCGCCGGATACAAAGTCTACCCCTTGTGATAGTGCCTACCGATGGGGGTGCTGCTTGCACTTAGCTTGAACTGTATATGTCGACTTTGGGTTTTGAAAGCACTCGGGATCACCGGGCCGGATACGAAGCGCGCTATATATGCTGGACGTTCTTGGACAGTCAGTGGTAGCAGTCATGCGCCTCTTCGCAGTCCTACGACCAGCCTCGGGCGGCGTAACTGTGGAGAATATTGCCGGTGCAAAAAGGTAAAAAGGAAGAGACAGCAACGCCTCGTATTACCGCTCGTACCTGCTTCTTCGCTGTGTGGGCGGAGAAAGGAACGTTAACTCCATGGCCACTCGTGTCAAACAGATATCATCGGACTGGCAGTGGAAGGAACGGGACACCACTACTGATCCCGTTACCCATGAACTCGCAGCGAAGGACTTCCCAAGCGGCCCTGACAAATTTGATACCAGAGCTGCATGGCGCTCGGCCACCCAGTTTCCATCCGAAGTTCATGTCGAACTCATTCAGCTAGGCCGCATTCCTCACCCTTATATCGGGTTCAATGAGCACAATGTTCAATGTGAGCAGGACGTCCATGATGGCCGTGGTTCCAACTCAAATCTTGCTACAGGGGTCGGAGAGAGGGAATGGCTCTACCGGAATACCTTCGCCATCGAGGCGCGTGACCGCAACGAGTATGCTGAATTGTTCTTCGAGGGACTGGACACGTTCTGCGATGTATACGTGGTCAGTGAACCGAGCCTCAAGCCTTGCTGGACTGTAACTCACCGTACGAGTAGAACGAGGAGCTAGTCCTATCGACGGATAACCAGTTTCGCACTTACCGAGTCCCACTTAGTTCACGCCAGCTGGCGACTTCTAATGAAGTCACGCTTCTCTTGCACTTCAAGTCGGCGAAACTGATAGCCAAACAGCTTGAAGCCAAGTACGGGCGCGTGAGGGCGGGATCGACCAACCTCGGAGATCCTAGTCGCGTCTACGTGAGGAAAGCACAGTATGACTGGCGGTAGGATATCTTAAAAACTCCGTCCTAAGCTTCATCTGATTGTCACGTCCATTCAGATGGGACTGGGTTTGTCTGGCTCGTCGTTCGGTCACCCCTATGCTGATCGATGGTACAGGGCCCAGAGCTTCTGACTTGTGGACCATACCGACCGATCTCATTGATAACATACAAGACACGCATAGCTGACCTGAATACTCACGCCGTCGTAGCTGCTCCTCCGCAACTCCTGCCATCATTTTCCCTGGACATACGTCTGTCGGGCGATATATCTGCGACAGACAGGGTCCGAGTTACACTCAAAGACACCACCACTGAGAAGGAGATCCGCAGTGAAGAAACGGTCATAAATGGTTTGCAAGTGATCGACGGACAAGCCAGCGATGTCGTCAAATGGAGTTTCCAGGCTAAAGACGTAGAGCTCTGGTGGCCTGTGGGCTACGGAAAGCAGAAGCTATACACCGTAGAAGTCCTTATTGTAGACAAGGTTAGTGGATTGTAGCCATGGTAGTGACCAATAACGGTAATCTTCCTCTTTTTAGAACGGTGGTAAGTTGGACCAAGCAACGCAGAGGATCGGGTTTCGACACGTCGAAGTGGTGCAAGAACCACTCAAAGAACCGGACCAGTATGGTGGTGGTACAACGTTCCTGTTTCAAGTGAACGGCGTAAGGGTGTTCATAGGCGGCGAGCACTTCTGTTGACAGGAGGCTGAGTACCCGTGCTGAAATCCAATGCCAGGCTCCAACTGGGTCCCCGGAGATAACCTGTTGACTACGATCACCCCAGAGCGGTACCGCGCCTGGCTAACACTTCTTCGTGACGGCAATCAGAACATGGTCCGCCTGTGGGGCGGAGGCGTGTATGAGCCTGACGTCTTCTATGACACCTGCGACGGTAAGTGTCCCAAATGCATCGAGACGTACATAGTGATCAAGCATCAATCGGCGTCGCCCTTGCAGAGCTTGGGATCCTTGTCTGGCAGGACTTCCAATTCGCTTGCGGTGTTTACCCGGCCCATGATGAATTCGTGGAGAACGTGAAGATCGAAGCTGAAGAAAGCGTGCGGAGATTGAGGAACCATCCATCGATGGCGCTTTTCTGCGGGAACAACGAAGGCAGGTATTCACCCGAAAATCGTGCCTGCAGAGGATCCTAAATACGACACTCTCAGATTATCAGCAGGTCCTACAATGGGGAGGTAGGGGCCCAACTCACTACGTACTCCTATGTCCTAAGGTTCCTTATATAAGGCATCTCGGAGCTTCCAGCGAGGAGGATATACGAGGAAACTCTTCCTGAGGTGGTCTCTCGACTTACGTACCCGGAAATCCCTTACCATCGAGGGTCTCCCTACGGAGGTAAAGGATGGGATACGTCTGATCCAACCATCGGAGACGTGCATCAGTGGAACATCTGGGCCGGCAAGGAGTTACCATGGCAGGAGTACGATCGCATGGGCGGTCGATTTGTAAGGCGAGTGGGATGGCACGGATCTTGCTAGGGAGCCGACTGCTGACGGTCGGAGTAGTGAGTTTGGGGTTCCATCGATGCCAGATATGAGAACGATCAGGTACTGGACCGGCGAGGGTAAACTGCCGCCATTCGCCCAATCCAAGATCATGGCCCAGCACTGCAAAGCTGGCGCTTTCGAACGCCGCTTCGCGATCCTTATGAACGAGAACTTCCGCCTCACCAGCGATCTCGAGACGTGCGTCTCTCGAAGTTCAACGGTAGTGATCGTGTTGACCGAGAGGCACCTGGTTTAGCCACGTTTATAATACGCAGATCCTCCAAGCAGAAGCAATGGGTTTTGCGTATAGGTCTTGGCGACGCGAGTGGCGCGGACACGGGAAAGAATATGTGGGTCACTTCACTTCTATTTGAGCCGTTTGGGGCTCAACCAAATTTCTAGACTGCGGGGGCAATCGTCTGGCAACTCAACGACTCCTGGCCGGTGACATCTTGGGCCATAGCTGATTATTTCGTAAGGACGCCTGTGAGGATGAAGGACGGCAGTAAGCTTACTTGCATACAGCTTCGTCCCAAGGCAAGCTACTATGCAATCGCAAGAGAAATGCAGCCGATAACGGTGGGGATATTTCGAACGGTACGTACCCGTTAGCGATTTGCGTGGTGCGGTATTCAGAGGCCCCCCATGCAGGTAACAAAGAACAGGCCCGATGATCGGCCCCGTCAGGTATGCAGAGATTGCCTCGTTCGCAGAACCCTGTATTCATATTGAAACACTTATCAGTTTTACGAATTCGGGGCCTATCAATCTCTGGGAGCGAGGATCGACATCTGGGCGACGAACAGCACGCTGCAAGATGTGTCAACACGGTTCGAGCTTCGTTGTGTGGATCTCGAATCAGACTGGACACATGAACACCGGGAGGACGTCATCCTCTGCGCCAACAGGACAACAGAGATATTGTCAATACCTTGCCCGTGCCCCCCGCACCCGCTGACTACTGCGGATGGAGACCCGGTACCTACCAGTTCACACTCGGTGGTTGTGGGAGCACGTTTGATACGTACCGAGACTGGAGAAATCGTGGCCCGATATGCTGACTGGCCGCAGCCACTCAAGTTCATCGACTTCCCAGATCCCTGTCTCGGGCTGGATGTGGACGGTGATCGCGTACAGATCCGGGTGCGGAAACCTGTCAAAGCTCTGGTCTTGTCCGTTGATGGAGAAGAGGGGCCTGAGGTACGGTGGGGCGACAATGCGCTTGATGTTATGCCGCATGACCCACAGGAGGTACGGGTTCAGCATTTGAATGGTAGGAAGGTCAAGGCAGCATACATGGGACAAGAGAAAGCGGTAGTTTTGTGATAGCAGCTGGAACGAAAGTCAAGGAGGTGCTGAAACTCGACGCATATCCTCCTGTCTATGCAGGTATACAGTTTTGTAGCGCTGGAGTTGCGTCTGAAGTAACACCCGGAAATAAGCCGCGAATTAGATATGGCGTGCCCGCGAGTATGTTTGCTTTTAGACCTCTGCGAAGCCACGGCCCTGCGAACGCTAGACATCGCCACATCTAGAAAGCAAACGTCGTCCAAGTATAATGGAGATGCACTTATGATTAATCTCCCCAAGGAATGAGGCACCATTGAAGTGAACGAATGCTTCTAGATGCCAATTTGACTGGGTAAGAGCTTTCGGACAGCCGTTATTGACCCAGTATATTCTGGCCGCGCATCACTTTGGCTCTGATATCCTCGTATGCGACAAGAAGAGCAAAGCTGAGAGCTGACCGACTTAGACAAAATTTCGGAGGTAAGAGCAAGGTAAGAGCGGAAGCAGGTAACCCGGACACTCCGATGCGGCTGAGGGACCCCGGACTGTTTCCCCTTGTACAGTAACTTGGAGGACGCGCCTCGTCCTCGTCCTCTTCCCTAGAATCCTTACCGGCTACAGCTGTTACTCTGCGCACAGAATTATCGACAATGGCTGATCCTTCGAAGGCAGAGACGGAACAGGTATTCAAGGTGCTCAAGTCGCAGAAGGCGAACAAGGTAAGCCTCTAGTTGGCTGTACGGTTCCAATTACCGAAATTTCGTAGATGTGTTTTGATTGCCAAGCTCGAAATCCGACATGGTCGAGTGTTACGTTTGGCGTATATATCTGTTTAGACTGCTCGAGTGTGCACCGTAATATGGGTGTTCACATCAGTTTTGTGCGGTGAGTGAATCGTGTCGCGGCATACAGAACCGTCGCTGAGCTCAAGCTTCGACCACGATCGTCAGGTCCACTAATTTAGACAGCTGGCAACTAAACCAGCTGCGTACTATGAAAGTTGGAGGCAATGCGTCTGCGACAGAATTCTTTACTCGGCACGGAGGATCTGCGCTCCTCAGCGACTCGGACACGAAGCGGAAGTACACGAGCAGAGTTGCGGAGCTGTATAAAGAAGAACTCGCGAGACGCGTCAAGGAGGATGCTACGAGGTGAGTCCGCCAGTTCCTAATGCACCTAAGGTCGGAATTCTGACGGCCTAGACAGATTCCCTGATCGGATATTCGTCGAGGGGATGGCTGATGTCGTTGTTCCTGCTGCCAGCAAAGCCGAGGCGGGTGATGACGACGATTTCTTCTCATCCTGGGATAAGCCCAAAGCTGCGACGCCTCAACCGACTCCGACTGCGTCCAAACCCCCGACGATTGGCCGGACGACAACGCCAGCATCCCGGACGGTCACATCGTCTTCTCTGCGATCCAACTCAACCTCGAGCACCGCCAACCGGCCTGCGAAGCTCGGAGCCTCCCGCCTGAATTCCGCAGGATCGGCCGTATCGCTGTCCACTCCCGCCGCGTCTGCGCCAAAAAAGTCGAAACTCGGCGGGCTCGGCGCGAAGAAGGCAGCGGCACCGCTCGACTTTGAGGAAGCGGAGAAGAAGGCCGCGGAGGAGGCTGAGCGGATAAAGCAGCTGGGGTATGACCGGCAGAAGGAGAAGGAGGAAGAGGAGCGGAGGAAGAGGGAGGCGGACTTGCTCGAGGCGGCGGCGGCGAAGATGAAGGCCATGGAGTTGAATACCAAGGCGGCGACTGGCGGGACGGGTGGAGGACTCGTCAGTCCCAAAGGCAACGGCATTGGCAATGAACGGCTCGGGATGGGCATGAAGCGGTTAGGATTCGGCGGGATACCGGTCGCAGCGGCTGTCGCGGCATCATCGTCTAGGAGCAGGTAAGCCCATCTTAGCTGCAGCTCCATTTGTTGATTAAACATGATCGCCAGTTCGGTGCTGGACGACGCGCCCACAACGGCTCGGGATAAATTCGGAAATCAGAAAGCCATCTCGTCCGACATGTTCTTCGGCCGGGGCTCGTACGACCCAACGGCGGTCAGTGAGGCACAGCAGCGGCTGCAGGCGTTCCAGGGTGCGACGTCCATCTCGTCCAACCAATACTTCGGGCGGGACGAGGAGGACGAGATGGCCGCGAGTATGAGTCAAGATGGCGCGCTCTTGGGCGACGGCAGTCTTGCTGGCTTGGAAGTGGCAGCGCGTGATGCCATCGCCAAAGTCTTGGCCAACCCAGATGTGCAAAGTGCCGCCGAGAGTATCAGGTCGGGCGCTTTGAAAGTAAGTCTTGATTTTCTAGCGCTCTTTCCTCCATATTGACGCCGTCTGGTAGTTGTCCGACTACCTTGCCCAGATGTCGGAGCGGTGATTCTTGGCTGTGTTATTTCATTTGTGTTCTCAGTAGTAGGATAGGGTTTGTGTGGATTATATCGATTATAGTAGGCTGTCTGTCTCGTCAGGAGGGCTCGGGTGAAAGGCATATATACTTCGAACATAAGCTACTGCAAGGTTCTATCCACTCGCAATTAGAGCGCGGTCAGTGGTGGAAGGCATTTGCCGGGCCCCACGTGCATATGCACCACTCCGAACGCTTGCTTCGCGCCATCGCTGACTGTCGTTGCATACCCTGGCGTAAGATGATCAGGTTCATCCTGGTACAGGTTAGAACGACATTCACATATGCCAGGATCTATGTTCGCTCATATAGCCTGCAGAATCGGCAGGGCAAGACCCGTCTGTCGAAATGGTACGTACCGTACGACGACGACGAGAAGGTACGAGACATAGTACTACGCTTCAGGATCCGCGTCTTACTCAACTCAGAGCTTGACTTAAGGTTAGACTACGTGGTGAAGTGCACAGACTTGTGGCCCCGCGGGACCAGAAGTATCAGTCGAATTTCGTTGAGGTACGCTACATATGGAATTAATGATTATTGTAGTTAACTCGTTTGTGAAGTTCCGAAATTACAAGATAGTATACAGGCGATACGCGGGCCTATTCTTCTGCGTCTGCGTCGACGCGAATGATAATGAGCTCGCATACCTGGAAGCGATCCACCTTTTCGTCGAAGTCCTGGGTAAGTGATGCCAGTCGGTCCTGCCGCTCTGTTCTCACCGTTTGCATACCGCAAGATTCTTTCTTTGACAATGTGTGTGAGCTTGACCTGGTCTTCAACTTCTACAAGGTACGGAGCCGTTCGTTGTACAGCTGGAGGATCCATTGTGATGTCGTTCCTGATTAATAGGTCTACGCAATCCTGGATGAAATCTTCCTAGCGGGAGAGATCGAGGAGACCAGCAAAGAAGTGGTGCTATCAAGGTTAGATGTGTTGGATAAGCTCGAATAGGGTCGTTAGCATGTCCCGGACTGACGTCGCCGTCCTCTCACGAAGTTACGTGTATGATAATATCCATGAAACCAGCTATCTAATAGAGCTTATATCGCTTGGCAATCAGCGATTTCCTGCACTTCTTGACATACGGAACGAGATATTAGCTTCGGACTCAATGACCCTGGCTCGGCATTACAGCGTGTGTCTGCTCTCCCTGGACCCCATGCTGCTGTCACTCTCACATAAGAGCGAGATGTCAATATGTGACGGCTATCATCGCCGTCTCATGAATATGACCACAGACATTACCTCGGTAACATTGGCATGCGCTGAGAGACTAAACCGCTGTGGTACTCTGTGGACTCCGGCATACAAAACTACAAGGCAGCAATCACCCACAAATGTGTGCGGGCTGTCCTTAGTTCCCCGAGTGATTCGCACCGGATCGCCACCGGCCCCAATGACCGCTCTACGTCCTGAAATACTTGCCAACATGTCACGGAAGTGAAACAAGCTCTACATCAATATATGGGATTGTGATGGGATACCCAATAGTAGAGAGTGGGAAGGACGAATATCCATGGCGCCTATTACCAAGGACCTCTTTGACAGGGGTCTTATCAGCGGGTACGACTACTTTCAATAGGCTTCTGGTATGTCCGCTGACCTTCACATAATAAGGTTGGACGTCCGACCATCAGCTGAATTGTTTGTAGGGACTCCAGCGGGTAGGTGCGGAATGAGACTCTCGGAACAATCCAGCCCTCCTCCTCTCCTCTTCTGTCATCATGGACACCTCAAGACGGAAGAGCATTGTGGATTCCACCCGCCATTCAACGTCTTGTATGCTCCGCTAGCCGATGTGCTGCTCCGGGTCTTTGGGTTCCCATGTTCCACCAACCATCACCAAGCGTTGGTGCCGTACAACGCGCTATCGATTGCACTATCTGCCGGAGATGAATACCGGAGACGCGTCCGCGGAATTATGGCATCTGAGAAACGTTTTATCGAGCTAGCGCGATGTGAATCTTGGTGACGCCAGACTCCTTCAGTGTGTGAATGCGATGAAGTCTATATTCGCGAGGGACTGTGTTATTGGGCGACAACGGAAAGGGGTCACCCCACCCTACTTCTATTTTGCTTCTTACGATCGATGCACATGAGGACTTACAGTATCACAAAGATGCTGGCAGACAACTGTTCGCCTCTTCGACCCAAGCAGATACGTCCTCTACCTTGGCCATCCAGACGGATCCTCTTCAGAAGCGCGGAGCGGCGGCCACTAGCACAGGCATGGAGGATTTGGATCCGCTTCTTCTTAACATTGACTTACTGGCGTAGGACGCAAGCCGAGGGACGAATCTGTCCGAGCTCGATACATTCCGAGACTGTGCTGGCCGTTCTGCGAATAGATTCTAGGTAAGCTTGGCGCCCATTTATACTCATACCACGCTGCCCGAATTCTGATCGTCGAGCCTGCGCTGCGCAACGGTCGGAAACATTTCCGTTATTGTCTATTACCAGTGACATTTGCGAGGAATGTGTCCTGACCTTATCAAGTTTTGTAGTCCCTCACAGACTTTAGGGACAGCTAAGCACAATTTAGTGTGCCATGACGGCGTACTGCACCCTCACGAGGAATGGTGCCCTAGAGATTATACATGGCCGGCAGTGGCTGCCAGAGACACATGTTATCACGCGGTTCAGAGACAGACATTTGCAGCGTGCGATTTCACCTCCAGTCACAGCAGTTGGTCCACCAGCTCTTTGTGCTGGGAAAGGACTCAGAGACCTGCTGCAGTATACTCGATCTGTGGCATATTACTCGAATATTTGTGGCTCCCAGCCAATGCCAGATCCGGACAAGTGAGATAGATCTGGTGACGTGACGATACCTTCTCAGGCTTCGCAGAGTTTGCGTTGACTTCATTCGGATCATGTATCGCGACAAAGTACAACAACTCCTACTCCTACCTTGGTGAGATGTGCAACGACGATCTTCTTCGACCCGTCTCATGTCAATGATGCGTATCAGATGATTTCACCCAGTATACCTGTGCTTCCAAGAGCGGGCGGTGGAAGCGAGGAAAATATCAATCCAATCGCCGCGCACCTGCCAGATCCACAGGGTAAGTTCAGTTTAACTAGTAGAGCTGTCTGCTTTTTCTTCTCCATATATTTTGCGATGGCCGTGCATGTCCAATAAAAGTGCAAGATGACAGACGTAGCCCGCTGTTTCCTTATAATGACATGGGCCGATGGATTGATGCGGAGCAACGATATATCGATGGCCTCGCCGTCAGCTGGCACACTCCTCAAAGGCTGACCAGTGTGCTGAATGATAGCGAGGCCAGTCGAGGACATTGGGTTGGCATATTACCAGCAGTCTTTGAATTCCCTTGCTTTCGCCGCCGTGGCCGATGACTGAGGTTTGCTGACTACGATGCAGTTGAAATCCGATCTATAGAGCCTGCTGATACCATATTCCTCCGCCATTCAGTCCTTTGGCCTGATCAAGCCGTGTCCTACGTATGCTTACCCGAAGACGAAAAAGGCAAACACTATGGCGCATTCGTACAGGAGACTAACTCTCCGATATGTGTTGTATCACTCTTTGCAGAGCCGTTGCCATGTGCAGTACCTGAATTCGATAGCAACAGTACTATAGCTGTTCGCTTTCGGAAGTTCGCATGCGCTCCTTCGTACCAGGGGCGAGGCATCGGCACAGCCCTCTTGAAGCATGCCTTCATAAGCGCACGCACTCACCTTTCGGCAAGTGTAGTCTGGTGCGATGCTCGGTTGAGCGCCTCACGCTGGTACGAAAAGCGAGGGATGAGACCTTTCGGGGAATCATTTTGGAAAGGTGATATAGAATACACCAGGATGTGGATTGCAGTATGGTAAGACCTCGCAGTCGCTTCATTCTTCCCGAAACCTAAAGCTTCTGTTGCAGACTCTGTCCGATCGTAAGGAGCATAGAAGACCGCAGAACAATAAACCTGTTCTCATTCGTATATCACTGACGCTGCTCTCCCTGCTCTTGGAAGCACCCGGCCTGTCTTCTCTCCGTCTCTATCAAGGGGCACGCGAGTTTGACCCATATGACAGCACGCACCCTGGGATATGGAGCCTATCACGCCAGGCACATTGCGACGTTGTTGTTTCTGGTCATTCCTGCCCGGCCCCATGGCCACCCGCATTGGTTCGGGAAGACGACCCGACTGTTTCCTCATGCCTCCGTTAGTGTGTTGACTTGTGGACTGCTGCAGCCGAATTTCCTCGCCGTTTTTACGGACTGCGCAACGAGTGCAGCCTGCTGCATCTTGGGTTCGACCGGCACAAATGATATTCCGAGTATCTAATGTTACGTGGAACAAGCACGCAGGAACGACAAGACTACACTGAAGTCCTCTTGGTGCATTGATTCCTCGTGTCCAGGCAGCCCGCTGCGTTCCTTGTTACGAATCTTGCGACTTTCGTCCTCCGTCTATGTCATCTTTACAGGGTTCTCCAATTATCTTGTCAGCGGCTTTCATTATCCGTACACGTGCATCAGATCGTCCTGGCTGTAGAGCGTCAAGAGGTGATATGTTTTCTAGAGTAGCCTCTACACCCGAGGCGCTCCATTAGTGCGGCCAGAGGGCAGAAAGCAGAACGGTCTCCTCCGGAAGCTCCAGAATCAACCCAAGCAACATCTCCCGAAGATTCGCGTTCGTGCCGGCCTTCCTGCGGGGATTTTAGGGAAGCAGCTGTCCGGAAGAGGCTAAGACCACCTGAGTTTGATTAGAGTTCCGCTCTCTGGAAGCTTTTGCCTTTACACGTGTATGACAGGCCGATACACAATTATCGCGATCCGAACTTGGTACGTTTCGGGTCTCACTGTGCGTGTGATGCAATATAGGCGCATGTGTACGCACCTTGGCTGGGCACGTCGAAGGAATTTTAGTCAAGGCATCTCGATGCAGGGGGATGCGATCACGGTAAGAATCCCGGATTTTATCATGAGGCGGAAGATCATGTACTGGATTTTCTTCCTCTTTTTTTCCTATCAGGCTGGGGCGTCCGCTTAGTTACACCTGGGTGCGCTAGAAAGGACTGACGCTACGTCCGGGTAGCCGTCCGTTATCCATCGATAAAGGTAGGATGTCAGGGTCAACCTGCTATTCTATGAGTAGGATCTCGATGGGGCGCGGCAATTGCGTAAAGCGTAGCTTTCCCCTAATTATTCTCTGCTAGGCGCGCCACGGATCATGCAAGTGTTTTGTCACTCGCTTGGAACGGCCGGATACATGGTTCTACTCCGACCCAAACCCCGCGCAAGGTATAAAGAGCGTTGTAGGTGACGAAACGTCTTCATCCGCATCCCCCTGCTACAGGCCCCCTCCCCTATCTCCTATTCCTAGCACTTTCGGCTTGGTTCTCGGGCCATATCCCAGTCAACAGTTACCTGGGTAAGGTTTGTCATGCCTGGGACCTTGTCAACCTCAAGTTGCGCCTTCACGTCAATGGCAGAAGCTATTATACATCCAGCAAAGGGGCAAGCATATGTTCTCCCTTGGCGAACAGGTGCCGGCCGTTGCATCGTTAGCCTTGGTCCCGAGTCTCTGAAACAGATCAGTAGTCTTTTTCTGTTCATTCTTTTGCGCATTCATTACCCTCTCTCTCTCCCGAGCCCCTGTCGCTCTACATGCCGTGTTCTCTCCCCTGTTAGATGGCTATGAACCTGAGGGAAACGTACAGCCAGGCTCGTCAGTCTTCGGCGCACGGTATTCAGGCTCATAGCCAAAATAGTAGGGGAGACTCACTGGCGGTGTCGACTCGATGGTGGGGATGCGTTCGTTTGATGGACCCCCTTCCTGTAGTCTGCGCGATTATTCTTCTTTTACTAATGCGTCCCCGACAGGCACGGCAATTGAGAGAAACAGTGGGCCACTGCTGCAAAGATAGTCATCGTGTACTGTACATGCGCTAATACAGGCCATTAGATGTTCTATATTACAGCAGCTTAGACCACAAGAGCATCACCGAATGTTGTTGATCACGCTGATTTGGCTGAATAAGTTGAGCTTGCAATATACAACACACCGTGCCTCATGGCACAGCTACCCCGAGTTTACTCCTCAGCTCTCGCTCTATGTCCCGAAGAGCAAAACTTCCGCGGACGGAGAAATTAAGGATCACCTTAAAGAAGGCCCTCGAATAGACGATTAAGCTAGCCGCGTCGGGATGAAAACTTTCGCGGACGGGGAAACTGAGGACACGGATGCGTGAGGTAGAGTCTCATCTCCGGAGAAGCCAACGAACGTTATAGCGTTCTCACAGGGCTGGCAGACGAATAAGAAACTAGCAACATCAGCAGCGTTCCCCTTTATTCGGGTTTATTGAGTTCGTCCGTCACCTGAAGGGTGTCAATGAGTGATACGAGTGACAGATCATGCTACAGAGTAAGAGTAACTCGAGGATACAAAGAGATTATCTTCTTTCGCCACAACCCCTTCGAAAGGCTTTCGCTATGGCTTCAGTAATTCTTCGACCACACGATCTTCCGTGATCTTGGTGACGTTAGCCCCTCGGTAGTTCAGTCGACGCAGCACGTCGATCTGAATTGGCCGTCAGATCAAAGCCTCACCACATTGCAGACGCCACTTACCACTTTACCCCTCTCAAAGCCAAGCGCCTCGAACTGATCAACATGTGCCTTCTCTAATCCCGCCATCGCCACCTCGTCTCTCGAACCGCCGCCACTGCCACCATCCTTTGCCTTCGGATCCGGTCCACCTGCGTATATATGTGTCCAGTACCTCGCCGTCTCCTCGAAGCTACTCCGGCTAGTCATATAGTGCTTCGCAACCTCCGCATCTTGTGGGTCATCAGGCTCCGGAGAGCACAGCAGCGATTGCAAGGATATCAGTGTGGACTTCAGTGTCAGAACCGGCGACCATTGGTCCTTCAAGATATCAAGACAGATGGCACCTGATGCAGAGGATACATTCGGATGGTAGACCTTGGTGATGAATTTCATCTTTAGCGGTTGGAAGGGATACGAATCGGGTATCCGGATGTCCTGTGATAACGAATTGATGCCACAGCTTCACGTACAGTAAGGGCATGACGATACGCACCACTTCAAAGCGACCACCTTCGTATGGTGTCCCCTCTGGACCAGGAAATGACCCCTTCAGATGAAAGGGAGATTCGTCTACAAGGTCTAGTTGAATCTTGGAGGACTTGTCATTCTTGCAATCTACGGCGAACGATTAGTCACGCTATCATGTTGGGATGTTCGACCCACCAGCTATCTCCTTGTTTACGCGCCTAAGTCTCGCATCCATAACGTCTTGAAAGGCTTATACGAGGGTAATGGGCCAGGGACGCAAACAAGAACTATGTGGCTTGGTGGCCATGGCGGGTCCTCGCCACCCTTCTCAGAACCTAATCTACTTACATAAGCCGGCAGAAGCCGAGTTACCATTACCATTCCATATTACCCACATCCTGAATCCTGATGCCCCTTTATATTCTTTTCTTCTTCACTCCTCCTGGGCCTCCATGTTCGTACTGCTCTGGGGATACTGCACCGCGTGTGTCTATGGAACCTGCTGGAACAGAGATAGGCAGCTCAAGCTCGGAAGCGGTTTCTCGTCTGACCTGCTGTCTCTCGCCTTTTCCTCGCGCATCGATACCTCGTCATGCACCTATTTCTGAAATCCCAGAATATGCTTTGGGTCCCGTCTTGGTTATGATGCGGGATTTATATGACGATATCGCCCCTTGCGCGAGTCTCAGCGGGATTGTGGCCATAATCCCCGGAAGCTCGTATTGCAGCTTTACTGAGAAACATGCATGGGTTCGTTCGCACGATAAGCTATGTCTACTTGTGGTTCTTCGCTCGCTGAACATCGGCGCGGCACTTGTGCAACGGAAAGTAGTAAGGCCGTTCTGACTATCATTATTCACAACAACGAGCTTGCCCTCTCCGCGGTAGCTAGTTCAGCTCGCTTAACGACATCAAAGTCAGCGAGGTTGCCGTTCCTGCCTAAGTACTTTCCTTTACACCAGACTATCACGATGATTCACCTCCCAGAGAAGGCAACGCCAAAAAGAAACGTACGCTGCGGATTGTCTCGCTTCTTCCCCATCAACAATCAGATCTTCGGACCTTTTCAGTACGTGAATATTCTTAGAATGGATTTGTCAAGCATGTGCTGCTCGAAGTACTGTCGACGTACCATCTCTTTCAGTCGAAATATTCTCAAGCATGACAAACTTTTCCCATTTATGCGTCGCGCTCCAGAACAAAGAGGACATCTTGTACTGGCCATCTGGCGGACGCCGGATTCGAAGCATGTATTTTTTGTCTACTTGTAATTCATGAAAGCCTCCGTGAGTTTCTCGGCGCGAGTTTGGATCCACTGCAGTCATGTTGCCACGTTATGGCCTCGATCCAATGGCTGGAGCCGGACAGAGGTGAGCCGCATGTTCGTCGGGGCCATAGGATGTGCTTGATCTCCAGTCTATTTAGATCACTTTCTGGCGTCTGCTACAGGACGAGATTAGATGGTATATACTGAATATCCAGGCTCCAAAATGCTGCTCATCAAGCCAGGCGGAAGAAATGCCATTATTTATCCTAGACTGCTGGGTGGTCGGTATCAGGGATCCGTCCGTTCCTCTCGCACCAGCATCATTTCATGGATAGTCAGCTGCAGGTGGTACTTCACTACGGTCGACTCGATGGGAAAACTGCATGGTCCGTCCGTCATCGTTGCAGATACTAGATCTAGACCTACTCTCGGGCGGAAAATCCTTCCGCTTTCTTTCATCGGCTTGGGGAGGTTTCAAGCCAGTCTGACACGCGGTCTTCACGTGGAATAGTCGTGAGACAAGGTTTTCCGGAGAGTGCTTCGCATTATCAGTTCCGGACCATTGACTCCGATGGCAGGTCCTTGGATCCATTCTGGGACGGTCCTCTATTAATGCCCGCGGTCGCGATGCATAGGATAACGGTCTACTGGTTCCTGACGTAAACGGCGGGTATCCGGGTTGCTCCAGGATGTACACCTCGCCGCCAGACTTCCGGGTCTGCTATTTGGCGTAATTGAAAATCGATCCGCAACAATGAAAGAGGTCGACAGCAAGATCCGTGTTTCTACTTCATCCGATCTGTGGTAGTCGTGCAGGGATAGTTGCTGTGGCCTGGAACTTTATCTGTTAAACACCTTCATCATACCTGGCGTAGCTACCGTCACCTCCGTCCGATTGCTGCGACGTGCACTAAAGTGGCTGCGAAGGTGTGTAACTGTTATAGCTGACTGGTGAGCGGTGGCTCATCTACGATTCGAGGTCCATCAGACGGCTTGCTGACCGGCATCCAGTTTGGTTTCATACGGAACGATCCCAATGCCGATACCTCTGGAGGCGGGTCGCTTGATAGTAGGATATGTCGGGAATCGGGCCGACATTTGCACATTATCTCGAGTATCAAAAGGCTTCCAGGTCCCTGCAGAGCGCGCTCTCTACAACACGCTTGACTTGCGCGACCCCTCCACAACCATCACCATCTGCCGTACCTTAGCCAGACAAGGCCGACTTTCCTCCCTGGTCGAGGCTCTAACTATAGTCGCGCGTGGTGGGAGCACGGACCACAGCGGCGAGTCGCTACCCCCAGATTACTGGCACTCTGTGGCCGCTGCACTACGGAGATCTCACCGTCTACGATTCTTGAATATTTATATTGAGAATGGTCTCCCAAAGTCACAAGCATGGATTCTTCAACAATGCACGTTCCAACTCTCCGCATTTCACTGTGACCTTGACTGGGATGCAGACCTGATACAGTTCTTCAACCGACAACAAGCGCTCAGAGACTTGTACATTTTGGATTACAATGACCACGTCCCCGAAGGACCCTCCGATACTCTGCTGCAGCCGAGCGGTCTGGCTCAGCTCAGCACACTAGAGTGCACGTTCACCGAGGCTGCGAATGTGCTCATCCCTGGCCGACCGGTCGTCCATCTGAAAACATGTCTTTCAAGCTCACAGGAAGACGCAAAACGGAGGGAGGTGTTACTATTAATATCAAAAATCCGGCTATCCTCTGTGCCTACTCGGTCTATTGACCTAGGTGACCCAGCATTAGATGAATTGTCCTCGTTTACGTTGTTGATGGGAATTTTGGACTCTCGTCTCTTCAACCTGCGATACCTTGGAACGTTGTTACTACCGGTCGGAGGTAGACAGGTTCGTCGAGCTCACACCTTCCATCGTTCGCTGACCTGTAATCTGCCAACGGATATCTAGCGTCTGAGACTTTACGGTCTGCTCATGCGTATGCGTCAACTGGACTGCCTCGAACTCGAAGTGTCACATTGGGATCCAGAGCCGACTTCGGACGCCGCCCTGCGTTCCCTCTTTGGAGAAGTGCATCTATACTGTGAAACTGTCACTCGTGTGGTCTTTGTGTATGAGTTCGAGCGGTTCCTCGTTACCATCGTCAATGGCACCCGCACGGTTGACGAGGATACCAATGTGGAACTACTTTGGCGAGAAGTCTGAAGTGTTCGGCGACTACTTAACATACGTGGCTTGGTCACTAGAAGGACAATGATGAAAGAGGCCAGTCAACTGAAGGAAGGTCGGGTTCCCCTATCGCATCCTGAGTCTCTCTTACTTACGTAGAGCACGACCTTCCACGTCACAGACGCATCATTGGAGCAAATTTCTGACCTCCCAATCCACGATCAACTCAAGCTACCATGGACAATCAGGGCACGCCAGTCACTACGGCACTCATACTGGCTCAGGTACCGCTGCTTACGAAAGGGACGTGGAAAGCAGGGAGCATGTTCGACGATCATCGTGATATCCAAGTTGGGCGGCGATTGTTAGCGTCGTTTCACATCCGATATTGATCTTCTGTGGACGAACTGCTCTCACCTACATATCCCGGGCGATAAGCCCTCCGGCACGCTAACTTGGGAACTAGAGAGACTGAGATACTCCCCCGGTCTAGAGTTAGAGAGTGAGTGAGGTACGTAGCCGCCTTTGCGTGCTTTTCCTCCGGTGAAAAATCGGCGAATCTCTGCGTGCCGTGGCTGACCGCTGGATACGGAAATGCCATTGCTATTATGGACACGTTTCAAGTCTTGTCTGTGACACTGACGGTGTATGTTCAGGCATCCTCACAACGCAAATGGAAATGCCTCTTGTTGGGTAACCAAATTGGAACTATTGCATTCTTGACTCACTTCCTAATATATATTGGCTATATGCAAGGTAGCGGCCCGATCTAGATTATAGTAAAAACCTCCAAGACTACACATAGCATCATCCGACGCACTCCGCAACCCGCACGCATTTCCATGGCACAATTTTACCTGAGCAATCCTTGCCTTAACGTTGCCCGACGGCGTGAGTCGTCGCTCTATATTGACCGTGGACCCGTGACGTCGACGGCAGCACTTATCGGCGCATGATGCTGTTCCTGCTTCTATTGCATGACCCATGATTAGATCACTCTGACCTCCTGCGAGCCTAATGGCCTGGATAATGTTATACCCATTTGTGCGGCAGTATATTTACTGACGCTCAACTAGACCTCGAAGGTGTGTTGCCCAGAAAAATCCTCACGACGCGGCAGGAGATACACACACTGGTTTGCCACGCATTCGGCTGAGGTCATTTCCCCCTAACTGAACGTCGAAGATAGTAAACCACGACGTCCAAAGGATAACTCCACAGAAAGCAACGTTACCTGCTAATCCGTCCAGCCGAGAGAATCCAACTCTTCCTAGGTATAAGCGCAACCGGCATTCTGTCCGCCATCTACGCTCTCCGCAAGACCCCCACTATGCCAGGCTTCACGACAGCGTCGGTGTTCCTACAAACCCTCTCTCGTGGAGGAGTAAAGTATGCGTTCGTAAACTGGGGCTCTGACCACCCTGCGTTCCTCGAGGACCTAGAACGGCAGCGGCTGGACACTAAGGATCCGAACGGAGATACCGAGCCGAGCATTGTGATATGCCCGAATGAGATGGTCGGCCTGAGTGCTGCGCAGGGGTATACGAGCGTTACGGACAAGCCGGCGGCTGTCATTGTACATGTCGACGTAGGGACGCAGGTGAGCTCCGCCCTAGGTTCATTCATCGTCGGCAGCCTCCCAAAAACGCAAAGGCCTTAGCCGGAGCAGTACATAACGTTGACAGGGGACGAGCACCCGTGCTGATATTCGCAGGTGCATCTGCGCACAGCGTCAACGGAGAATTGACTGGTAGTAGGAATGAGTTCGTTATGTGGTTGCAAGGTGAGGGCGCATTGCGAAGCTTGCGCGGAAGTGACGATAAGTATTCCGGCACAGATGTCCCGGACCAAGCTGCTATAGTCCGCCAGTATATGAGATACACCGGTCAAATCAACAGCTCAAAGAACGTAGACAAGATGGTCATGAGAGCCTTGCAAGTGTGAGAGGGATAACCGTCAGCTTGATGTATCTCTGTCCTGACGGCACATACAGTGCGCAGAGTGAACCGCGGGGCCCTGTATATCTATGGGCCCGACGGGAAGTGACGGAGGAAGTCGTCGACGAGAGTGTGATGAACCGTCCATCGGAAGTACCAAAGTGGCCCATTGTGGCACCTTGCGCTCTTTCGCCTGACGGTGCGTTCAGTCCTGCGGTGTCCCTCAAGATTGCGATATATTGACTGCGGTGATAGTTGCCACCACAATCGCCACTGCGCTCCTCACAGCAAAATTCCCCTTGATCATCACCTCTCACTTGACACGGAACAACCCAACCGCGATGGACCCGCTTCTCGAGCTATCTGATTTGCTGGCTATCCCGCTCTTCGCGAACTGCCCTTCCACGATCAACTTCCCGTACTCTCATCCGCATTTTGCCGGCGTGTCGTACGGGACGGGTGTCTTTGAGCTGCTGCACAGGGCAGACGTTGTCCTGATCATGGACTCCGACATACCGTTTATCGAGCTGCAGGGAAATAAACCACCTGATGCAGCTAGAGTGTTCGTGATTGACCGCGGGGACGTGCTAAGGACGACTACAGGGTACTGGCACGTCGACGCAGAGATCCTGGCCAGGGCGGACGGTAGGGTTGCACTCCAGCAACTCGTGTCGGATTTGAAGAGACTGGATTCAGAGCGTACCCAGTCGGGTGAGCTCGGCATCCTTGGAGGAGACGTGGTGAAGGTCCGGAGGCAGGACGTCAAGGACTGGCATGACGCCCTCATCCAGCGTCTCGATGAAGCAGAATTGACGCTTCCCACCCGTTCGCCCGAGGCTTTCTCCTCACCGAATGTGCTGGGCGCTCTGAGAAAGACGCTGATCGCGCAGGATCTCCATCGTGACACCCTCGTCTTAAACGAGGGTATCTCCAACTACGTGGAAGTCTTTAATCACTTGAGGCCCGACGCACCAGTGTCCTACCCAGATGGCGGCATGGCGATGCTCGCCTCTGGCGCAGGGTCGCTGGGGTGGGCTTTGGGCAACGCCATCGGCGCTTGTCTGGGGGAGTGCGAGGTAAGGAAGCAAGGCGGACGGGGGTACAAATGCGTGGTAGCTGTTATGGGCGACGGGTCTTACCTCTTTGGTGTTCCTGGGTCAGCGTTCTGGATTGCGAGGAGGTACGAGACGGTAAGCTGCCTTACTAATGCCTGGTGGGCGGAATGCCGGAGGCTAACTGGTAATGTGCTTGACTGACAGCCCTTCTTGACCATTATCTTAAACAACGGCGGATGGAAGGTAGGTGTCCTTTCTCGCTGCCTTAAGTTCGGCTTCTGACTTCTTCCGAAGTCTCCGAAACTCTCGTTACGGGGCGTCTATCCAAACGGCCTGGGTTCCGGTGCCCACCCAGACAGGCTGACCGTCGGCTTCGGGCCCAGCTTGCCCGACTATTCCCAGATCGCGGTTGCTGCGAGCAGTGGGTGGGTTTATGGGCGCAAGATAGAGAGACGTGACGAGATAGAGGAGGCCATTAGGGAGGCTGTTAGGGTGGTTGTGGAGGAAAAGAGATGCGCTGTACTTGACTGTGTGTTGGAAGGTATCGAGTGAACGAAGAGGTCGGTGCCCTGTTATCCATGTTGAAGCCAGGGACCCCAGAGATCCCCTTGCGGCTCGCGGCGTATCTCCTGAGCATACTGAGTATCCTTGTAGACGGGGAGTATGTAAGATTCGCGGCTGACGGGTATGAATTTGCGCATGGCGAGTGCGGCAAGACTAATATGCCTTCCATGCGACGGCTCCTACCGTGTACCTCCTGTTATCTTACAAGGTGTGGTCCTTGTAATAGTTTCATTAGCTATAAGGCCAGAAAGACACGCCCGGCATGCCGATATTCTCAGAGTCAGCTCTGCCTTTCAGAGGCATCTATAAGGTACTCATTTGTCAATTGTACCGTAGGGTCGCGGAAATATCGAGATTTAGTAGAGTCCCCTTGACGCACCTATGCTCAGGGTACTTGAAGGCATTTCACACATTCACGGCAGGTATCTGAGAAACTCAGTCCGCATTGTGGCGGGAGTCGACTGTGCTTCAGAACTAGCCATGTAGATCTGGCTTTCGAGTCCCATTTGCGAGCTGTTACATGATGCTATACGGGATAGTGGTGAGCTATGAGCAAGGGCAGATAGGGTACCTCGGATCTGGTTAGCCCGTTAGCACTTATATTTGAGGCTGTGGACGCGGCGCTGGATTGCAGTGGAAGGCAACGTAAAGAGATCTGAGACAACTCAAATCGGGAATTGCCGATGCGACTCTCTTGCTCAGGCTGTGGCGTCTGCAATTGTCGACTCGCGCTCACCAGCAACACCCCGCATTGCCACAAAATGTCTGTTATTACAACGTATCACTGGAGCCGCACAAAGCGCGGAATAAGAACAGATCTCAGTGTTTATCATGGCGCGCCTCTGTACTGTCGAAGGCGCTAAAATAGACACACATCAGATGCAGCGCCCATACCGCCCCCAGGACATTCTCAGCCTGAATAGCCCTGTCAATCAACGTCCTATTGTCCCACTTTGCATATCCATCTCTTTCGGTAGGTACGTGTGCCTGCGGCTCTATTCGATTCGGTCTCACTTTCCCCTTTGACCACCAGTCACTTGCCATTTCCAGTGATGCGTCGCGCAAGGGTCCTGCACGAACTAGTAGCTGACGCAGTGCATTCGTGCAGGGATCCTTGAGGACGATGTATCAAGCCACTGCTTCCTCCGATGACAAGGGAGCTTGGCAAACGCCGCCCTCCCACTTGCGCAGTCCCCCCGCGCCCGACCCGCCCGGGGCTGTCCCGCAGCGATTCTGTGTGGGAACCTTACATGCAAAGGGTGCCCGACTTCCATTTCGCCAGGGGCGGGGGCGCGAATAATGATTCGCAGCGTCAATTAAGTGCTTGCACTGTTGCAAATATGCGCACGGTTCTCCGAATCCGCGATGCCGTCCATTTCGGAGCGGACGCTGCGTCTGTATTTATTGCGGACGTCCTGGAAGCAGACGCGATGCTCCAGCACACGGTTCCCCTCCTCTGCAATTGCTGCGACTCTCTTCCCTCTGCGCTGCGCTGGCTCAAGTGCGTCTGGTTCCCCGTCTGTCGGTGAGAGTACGGCGCGATGTCTTCCGACCTTGAGAAAGGGAGTCTGAGCGAGAAGAGCTACGCAGCGGGAGCTACTCTCGGAAACCCTAATGCTTCTACAACACAAGAAGCGTCTGCCTTCGCGGCATCTATCGCGGATTCGGAGCCTACTGCTGTCGACCACAACCACCACCCAGACGACGCTTTCGTCGAGGGCGGATTAAGAGGCTACCTCACCGTCCTCGGCGCATTTCTTGCGCTCTTTTGCAGCTTTGGCCTGATCAGCTCGTTTGGGACGTTCCAGTCTTGGTATGCGGATCACCAGCTCTACCGCTCGCCTTCCGCCATTTCTTGGATTGGGTCGCTGCAGCTATGGGTATTCTTCTTCTCGGTAGGTCCACTATGCTGTTGTCTTCGTCTATTCTTTTCCTACAGCTCGTATAGGGTGGATTCATTGGTCGCATCTTTGATTGCCACGGCCCTCGACTCGTTATGGTCCTCGGCGCTCTTCTACACTCGTTTAGCCTCATGATGACTAGCCTCTCTACGGAATACTATCAGTTCATCCTATGCCAAGGTATCTTATTCGGGCTTAGCACCGGCATGTTGTGAGTGCTCCTCCGCTTTGGGATGGAGAGCGAGAGTGCTAAGCCACGCAGATTCTACCCCTCTCTTGCCTCGGTCTCCACTCATTTCAAAAGGTATCGAGCGACTGCCATTGGGATTGCAGTAGCTGGGTCCAGCGTAGGTATGTTCGAGTCCGACCAACGGATACCATGCATCCTGACGGACGTTGAACAGGCGGAATTGTGTACCCGATTATGCTAGACACTCTCTTCCCGCGACTAGGATTCGCATGGACAGTCCGGATCCTAGGATTCATGGGCCTCGGCTGCTCTTCCATAGCTGTCGCGCTCGTCTCCAGGCGACCCTCTCCAGGGAAGACCCCCGCCACCCGCTGGTGCGACTGTCACATCACGAAAGACGCTCCTTTCCTGCTTCTCGTCCTCGGGAGCTTCTTGGTCTGCTTCGGTGAGTCCTACGCGCCCATCCCCATCGGATCCGCCAGCAGCCACTGATCGGACTCCGCGCACCTGTTCAGGCATATTCATTCCCTATTTCTACATCGTGTCCTACTCCGCCGCGCACGCCGTGTCCGTGACGCGCGGCATCTCCCGCTCGTTCTACCTCCTCTCGATCATGAACGCGGGCGGCGTCCTGGGACGCATCGCCCCCGCGTACCTCTCCGACGCGGTCGGGCGCTTCAACCTGCTTGTCCCGTCTGCGCTGCTGTCGGGCGTGCTGTGCCTCGCGCTGTGGACGACGGCGGAGACGCGTGGCGCGCTCGTCGCATTCGCGTTCTTGTACGGGTTCTTCTCGGGTGCTTTTATATCGGGCATCAATCCCTGCGTCGCGCAGATTTCGGAGATGAGCCAGGTTGGGACGAGGATTGGGATGTTGTATACACTGGTCTCGTTACCGTAGGTTTCACTGTTCGTGGAAGAGGCGACCGAGAACTGACTGGTTTTTTTCCTGTAGATCGCTCTTCGGTGGTCCTGCTGCTGGTGCCTTGCTCGCAAGAGCGCATGGCTCGTACATACCTATGACCATCCTGTCCGGCGTCACTCTCGTCGTCGGCTCGCTCATTATCCTGTGCTCGAAGCTGAAGATCGACCGACGCGTGTGTGCCCAAGTATAACACAACATTTTAGCCCTTCCATTTAGCATATCACATCTGTACTATATGATATTATATGCTCACGTTACCCTGTATTTTTATTGTCTCGTATCTCTTATTAGTTAATTAACATACCCGCCCTATAGCTGTCTTGTGATTGCTTTGGCATCGTAGACTTAGTCAAAAATTGCCGTAGAGAAATGACGTACGGTATGTAGATGTTGCCAGTCTCATTATTCCCTTCCTGCTTCAGGTTTCACCGCGGATCAAGCGCGACTGCTCCGACCAGGAGATGCGCCGCTACAGCCCTTGGACCGATGAACCAGAACAGGCGTTAGGCTACATTGAATTCATGAAGCGTCGATGCAGTCTATATCGTAATCATGTCATCTATAGCAGAACTAAACCATCCGTGACGGATCCTTCTCCTTGACATCCTCCTGCAGCCCTGGATCCTCCGCCCCGCCCCTCTTCTCCGTCCTATCCTCCTGCCCACCCTCAACAACCTTCTCATCCTGTCGTTCATTACCATCGTCATTGACACGAACGCCGTTCTTCTCGGCCTCCTCTCTCCGCTTGCGTTCCATCACCACGCCCTTGCGCGGCTCCAAGCCGCCCTCGTACCCGAACCACGTGAAGCGGCCGCAGTGTGGGCCGCGGAGGAGCAGGATGAGGAGCTGCCAGCCCAGGAAGCCCATGGCGAGCCCCGATGCCGCGCGCCAGCCGTGCTCGACGAAGATTTTCGTGCCGACGGACGTGCCCATTACTTGGCCGATGAAGAGCTAGAAATGGAATATCAGGCGCTTCCGTACAGACCTGACAACTCGAGAGCAGCTAACCGATAAGAGGACGACAGCGTTTAGCCGCGCTCTTGCCTTCTCATCAATGCTGCATGCAGTCGGTCAGCAGCCCGATCTGGGATATGTACACAGTAGTACTTACGTATACACCACAGTGGTCAACGAGACCTGCTGCATCTGCCTGAACACGTCCAGGCCGAAGCACACAATAATGACGGCGGCGATGTTGACTCCACCGGCACCCGTCTGTATGGACTGGAACACCAATAGCGCGAGAGTTCCGACCAGGGTGGCGTACCACGGGACCAGTCTGTCGATGAGGCGGCCGATGAGTGGACCCATTGCCACGCCGAACATGCCTACCAGGCCAAACAGCCCGATATCTACCCTATGTCATTAGAGTAACGTGAGATAAGCTACCGCGATGTCTTATCGAGCGGCTTACGTCGAGTAATGATAGGGCGGCCCGCCCAGGAGGAACGTGAGCGTCACCCAGAAATTCGTAAAATTCGCGCTCGACGCAACGTTGATCAGGCACGTCTGTATCAGGATCGGCTCTGTGACCGCAAACTTAGCCATCGTCCACAGAATCCCAAAGTACGACATGTCCGGGTTCTTCGCGGGGTAGTCGGGGAGCACAAGGTAGAGCATGGCGAGGCACAGGAACTGCACGCCGACGGCGAAGTAGTACACGACGCGCCAGGACGCGAACTGCGCGATGATGCCCGCGAGCACGCGCGCGATGAGGATGCCGAAGAGCAGGCCCGAGAGCACGATGGAGATCGCGGAGGCTTTGCGCTCCGGCGGGGCGAGGTCGGCCGCAAGCGGCATGAGAATCTGCGGGGTGACGGTCACGACGCCGACCAGGAAGCAGAGGGCTTCGAAGACGGCGAGGGAGTTTGTGATGCAGAGGCCGATGGAGAGGGAGCCGGAGAGGATAACGAGGAGGAGGATGAGCGGGCGACGCCGGACGAGGTCGCCAAGGGGTGATATTAAGACAAGACCAGTAGCATAGCTGATAGGGTGTCGTATTAGAGGTAGGACGGGAGGGGGGGACTATGGGACACACCCTGCCTGGACTAGAGTTGGAATGCTATGTGTACGTCAGCATACTGAGGGTACTAATCCTCCGATTCGAGTCTGCGAGAATTCGTGCATAGATGCATCATTCGTTGGGGACAAGCACTTGGTTTCGAGATAAATATGCATTGCAACCTCATTCAAACTCTTTCAGTAGATCACCCATCGCGCGCTCGATCTTCGATGTGATACACAGGCGGTGACTCTTCCAGGATTGAACAGGGCCTTACCCACTCGCAAGTAAGCAATAGATGCATCGAGATTGGAGCGCTGCGCTGCCTTGCAGCATCATAGTGCACTCAAGACAGGCAGTCAATGTCTTCCAGAACTCGTGCTTCAGTCTCATGCATCTCTTGCTTATTGGCGAGTAGCTGGTACTGTATACGTTTCTTACAGCTGCGTCCACTCGCAAGACACGCTTGTCCGCAACGAAGATGCATCGTGCATCATGATATCCATTCAACAATGGAGTGTGGTGGGGGACTAATGGCAGACTCTGGCAGATGATAGGGAAGAAAGCACGTACTTTGATACTCGATCGTAAGATACATTGAAGGATTTTGAGAATTCGACTATACGAATGAGTTAGCAACCAGCCTGGCCATGCCGATAACATGACAATAGGAATGGCACGTGTCAAAGGTACTGTTGGGCATTGAATATGAAGCCTCCGAAGGGGCGATGCGTGGATAGTAAGGACCTGCACCAGCAAACGCATAGTTCCCCGGACGCGCAAACCTGTAAGAGTGTCGGGCAGAGATAGCCATAGTCCAACTTCAAATTGCCGCTGCCAAAGCCGAAAAAAACATGTGACTGCTTCAAGGCTTGGCAAGACAGTTGGAACAATCGTCAAAATCCAAGTCTGCCTGCCGGTTGATTTCACAACTCCCCGTGGTTGGTGGTGGACGTATACGCCTCCCAAACGCCCGTAGTCGAGCGACAGGGTATGGTATCCGAAGCCGCTATACATGCGGGTGGAGTGATGCTCTTCCGAGCCGCGACGTTACCCGGCCCCCAGGGCATGCCAATGAATAACCACTCACTTAGCAAAGGTTGACAGTAATAGAGATTTGAGACCACTATTGCGTACACATCCATCAGTCTCAATTCTCCATTCGCATACCAGTAACTGAAAGCTCACCGAAGGTGCTCGCGAAACCGAAGGTTGCATTGAGCACCAGACCAAACTTGGGCGGGCTCTCTGGGTCGTGTCTGAGTCGTTTCGGTATCGGTAGGAATCCAAGGTCCAATGCTATCTGCTTCTTCTTGAGTTCGCGCTTACCGCCGTCAGCTGGCGGTGGCGACGCCGACAGGGTCGCCGTAGACGCTTCCGCAACGTCAGTCATGGCTGCCAAAGGTGTCGACGAGCGGACCGATTGGTATCGCCCACTCTTAAGAGACCACCGGCTCCGACAACGGCAAGCTCGAGTCTGTTTGCCTTAGTCATGGTCATTTTTGGCTCTCGTCGGAATGCCGGAGGGCGACCCATACGTGCGTACGGCGCACTTTGTGGGTTTGGGATAGCGCCACCGCGGCGAGGTGAAGCGAAGCCGTTGCGCTCTGGAGCAGACTACTTATACTGTAGTACCTAAGTATAGACGCTACGTATTTCAGCTGGAATTATAGACTATGAAGACAACGGCCATGTGGGTGTCTAGCGCGTCGAATGCACTCAACAACCAGCTACTGCAGAAACAGACTGACAGATTGGACTGTCGCCAAACGTACGGTTGTGCATCGCCCAGGTCCTACTGAGAGCGGCGAGTACTGTCGCAAACTGGCAGTACGGCTCACAAGCAATGCTGAGCGTGCAGTAGGCACTTTACGAATCTATACGATGAAGGTGAGCATTCGTTCAGGTCAGTACATCCCTTATGCCGACTCTGGTTCGTCTTGTCTGTGACTCACGGGCCTGAATGCGCGAGCAGCGTCTCCGAGAATCAGATACCTAGGCCTGGTTATAAACATACGAATATTTCTCTGCTATCGGTGACTTGCAATGGGTATCGGGATTCATGAAGAGTCTGATACTATCATATATTGCAGTATCAGGTGACTCAATAATCTCGAGACTCTCATATGCCTCCAAACTATCATCGTCCTTTTGTTTCAACCTCCCTCCGGTTCTGGCCATATCCTCTGGGGCCTGACGAATTCAATACACAGCTGTATAAGTTACCCAGTCACTTCTACATCGGATACGCGATCCCAACGTGGCGCCGTCCTACATGCCTCTGATGCCTCACGACCTCTACCCTTCACAACCCTTGTCATTTCATCTGTTTCTCACCGTCCTCAAGGATTACACGTGCTGTCCTAGGCCTATAACTATCACGACAACCCCATACTAAGGCCACGAAGCGCCTCTCAGTGCCCTCCTCTGCTTGTGGACGGGATATGCGAAGGTGCTACAATGGCCGCGAGCATATGGGACAATCTACTATCTCACTACGACCTTCTTCTTGCCGTCCTCGACCACTGCGGTCCAGCCTCACTATATAACGTGGCGAAGACATGTCGAGCCTATCACGCAACCATTTGCTCCCAGTCTCAGCTGATATGGGACATAAACCGACACCTGCTGCGATACTTCTCGGATCCCGTGGCGTTCCGGAGCCTCCAGGCGCGGACTGCGACTCTGATATCGGGGTCCAGCGCCCTGCAGTTCCTCGACCGGACTTTTTACAGGGGCTCTGATCTCAATCTCTACGTCTACGAAGACCATGCTGTGGAAGTATGCGAGTGGATCATGCAAGATGACTATATCTATCTCCTCAGACCTTGCCAGGGCCCCAATATCCACGCTGTAATGAACGCGTGGCCCCAACCGGTACGTTGCATAGAGGTGCATCCCGAGGTGATGTGGCATGTACATAAATGGATTTAGCACCTCACCTGGTTCGGCGTCCGTGAATTTATTGACTTAAAGAGGAGAAGCGATGGGCAAAGGATCCAAGTCGTGATCGCCTGTACCTCCCCAATGGAGATCGTCCTTAGCTTCAACTCCAGTACGTCCCTTTACCATACAAGCTGTTTTGACTTATCAGCACCATTACAATCATTCAGCGTGCCTGCTCAACATCATCAGTGCAGACAAAGCGTACTCGTTGTATCCCACGGCCACCTTCAAACACCGGCGTTCTCTCACTTGCTCGCGCCTCTGGTTGGGCCTCCAACCCCGCCCCCTCAAGTGCCAGGAACGAGGCTGGGCCGTGCTGAATACGCTCCCAAAAGCCGAGCAGCAAGCCGTCCACTCGTCCTTCGGAGCCGGGCGGCGGTCGATAGACGACCGCCTAACCTGGGTACTACCGCTGGGCATGACGGATATCTCTCTCCGCAGAGCTGGCGTGCCGTCCATGAAACCTCTATTAGAGGACCCAGTGCGGATGACGGCATGGGTGGTCGAATACGATCGTTGGAACAGGGCGCATCTGACGTGCAAGGGCCTTAAATCGGCTGGATTGCGATACAGATGCGTCGCAGGTACCCCTCTGGACGCACAATTCTTCGTGGATTGCGGCAAGCGTTGTCGAGCTGCGATAGACCGTGCAGGCGTCGCGCTTGTTCCGTATTCCCCCGCTTAGTAGGCCGGGGTCTCGTCCAATATGATGGGTATACGCTGATGAGTCGATTTGTACTCTCCACAGCCTTGACATGTGCAGTCTGCACATTACATCTCAATACTACAAGCTCTACTGCAATGCCCTGGTAAGCCTTCTGAACACGTGCACGATACAGGGCCAAAAATTTAATCCGTTGGCCAGGTACTTCTGGAGGAGAACTCTCGCAATGTCGATGATATCGTTCAAACTCTCTCTGAGCAATTAGATGCAGTCGCGGGGGATATCGCTGGCTATTTCGGATCCTCCTATAGCTTCGGCAGGCTGCACGAGAAGTGCAGGCGGGAGGTACTCAAACTCGTTCAAAAGTAACCGAGATGCGTGGCCAGAGGCTGCATTGTGGTATATAATAGGATCCACGATCATTGCGGGGGGAGTGCTGTCTGTACTTTGGTATTCATTTGAGGAGCGCCTATGTGGAGTCATGCCCTGCGCACACTCCTATGGATTTACTTATTCCGCTTAAGTGCTAGTAGCCTACTTCCGCACTCCTCACATGATCCCCTCCAACACGCAATCGAGGACAGCGCACCGCTTCTCCTCTACAACCACTCTCACAGCTTCTCGGATCGCCTCCTCCAGTTCATCTCGTCGTTCTACTTTCCGCCCATATACCCATCCGCTACTAGCGGCGACGGCAATCTGGGAGTAGTCAGGTACGCTTGGCCCGAATCCGACGGTGAGCCGATCGCCGTGGACGCTCGACCCCAGTCCGTTGGGGTACACACCCAGCATCGCGACTTTGGGAGACTGCACCACAGGCGATCAGAATCTGTTCCAATACATTTCAGGCGACAGCACGAATTACTCACCTTCCATCCTCCATTGTTTAGGATGATAGTCAAGAAAGGCTATGGGCGAGAAGTCAAACAGGCTGCTAGAGATGGCACAGGCCGCTTACGGTTTCATATCTCCTAGCAATCCAATACGCCGACCCAGGGACACCGAATAGATAGCACCCGTCACCCATGACAGCCACCACACACTTGTATCCCCTCCCGCCCTGTTTCCTCACATCCCGTTCTCCGATGCAAGCACCGATAGCATTCCCCAGCGCCCACCCTAGTGCCCCGGCCCCGGGAGCGAGCATCGCCATCCCGCCGCCTGGATACGACACGGGTGCATCCGGCCGCAAGTGGTTGAAGACCTCGACGTAATTGGAGATACCTTCGTTGAAGACTAGAGTGTCTCGATGGAGGTCCTGCGCCATCAATGTCTTCCTGAGCGTGCCCAGAACGTTGGGAGCGGAGAACGCCTGGGAGGAAAGTGCCGGCAATGTTGACTCGGCGTCGTCTAACTTCTTGATGAGGGCATTATGCCAATCCTTGACGTCCTGGCCCCGCACTTTCACGACGTCGCCGCCCAAGATGCCCAGCTTGCCAGACTGCACCCGTTCCGCGTCCAGTCTCTTTACTTCAGAAACCAGTTGCGACAGTGCGAGCGCGCCGTCCGATCTGGCCATGATCTCCGCATCAACGTGCCAGTAGTTCATTGTCGTTCGCAGAACGTCCCCGCCATCAATCACGAACACCCGCGCCGTGTCCGGTGGCTTGTTGCCCTTCACCTCGATGAAGGGAATATCACAGTCGATAATCAAGACGACATCCGCCCTTTTCAATAGGACGAAAGGGTCATATCCGAACGAAAGGCCGGCAAAGTGCGGGTGCGAGTACGGGATATTGGTCGTGGATGGGCAGTGCGCGAAGAGCGGGATGGAGAGCAGTTCGGAGAGTTCTAGGAGCGGATCGATCGCGGATGGGCTGTTCCGCGACAGGTGGCCGGTAATTATCAAGGGAAACTGTGCCGAGAGGAGCGCACTTGATATCGTTGCGACAGCTAGATCATTAGTATCAATCACCAGAAACTGTTGATGCAAGTGCGCGATCTCTGCAAAAGCAAGAACGCACCAGCAGGCGGAAGAGCGCAAGGTAATACAATCGGCCATTTGGATATCTGGGGTGATCGGTTCATCAAGCTCTCCTCTACGACTTCTTCGGTTACTTCTCTCCGAGCCCACAGATAAACCGGCCCTCGGGGCTCGCTCTGTGCGCTGTGTCATGAATATCGAGTCAGGAAAGTAAACGCGTCTGATTGACGCGTTTCCACACATACATTTGCAATGCTCTCATGACCATTTTATCAACGTTCTTCGCGCTGTTTATTTGACCGGTGTATCTCATATATTGACGGACGATAGCCGGTTGGTCCGGAACATCTGCGTGGGTATCCTCAATATCCTCTCAGACCGTCTGCAGTCTGCACTTACCCTGAAGCCACATCACGAATTCATTCCTGCTGCCCATCAACTCCCCATCCGCGCTATGCGCAGACGCACCCGCGTAAATCAACACCGGTGCCCTGGCCCTGTCAACATTGTGCACCGCGCCCGCCAGCGCCTTCAACCTTCAGCTTCTCGACCACACACCCGTGACGACAACAGATACCAGCTCACCTGCGTCCCGACATCGACGTGCACGATCACCGCCGCCGGCTTGCCCGTGACGCTCGCGTACCCCTGCGCGGCGCTCAGGCCGACCATCTCGTTCGGACATATCACGATGCTCGGCTCGGTGTCCCCGTCTGGGTGCTTGTTCGTCTGTCGCTGGCGCTCGAGGTCCTCGAGGAAGGCGGGGTGGTCCGAACCCCAGTTGACGAACGCGTACTTGACCCCGCCGCGCGCGAGGGTCTGCAGGAATACCGACGCTCCTGTGTAGGTTGGCATACTAAGGGTAAGTTAGGTAGACACCTTGAGGGGACGAATGCAGGAGATATGGATAGCGAGCGGTGCTCTTGCTGAGGCTATTCATAGGAAAGAGTTTTCATTCTCGGGTAGGAAGGTGAGTAGGTATAGATGGCTGGAGCGGAGATAGAAGGGCAATAAGCTTCTGGGTGCGTAGCTTTAGGGAGGGAGGTACCCACGGCGTGCTCTCGGCAGCTTGTTCTCAAGATAGACACTCGTAAAGTGATATTGGCCACATGGGAATGAACGAAGATGCATACCCTATCATCCCCGTGTAGCCGTCCAGTTCCTGAAGATCGGACCCAGAGACGAGTCACTGTATGTAGTATTATTAGTGCAAGTACAAAAGCAACCTCGTACCTATGAAAATGACACAGCGGGTGTCATGCGGAACGAGTAAGCGGAAACAACGCTAGGAGGATGGGGTATCGCCAATAGCACTCACGATGAATTGCGAAACGAGCCAGAAAAGCATCCCGAAGTCATTCTGGAGAGCGACAGGAAGATTGTTGCCCATGACGGGCGATGGCATTATGAGTGATGCGATAAATATAAGATCTCGCCTTCCAGCGAAAATGAAACATTCCCGATTACGATGCGTACACACCGTTGATAGTATTACAGACCGTGACCTTTTCCTTCTTTCCTTCTTTCGTCCTGACCCTCCTCCGCTCCCCCTCAAAGCTACACCCTTTCATTGCTCTATTGCACCCATTCCCTCGGCTTTTGCAGGACCTCCACCAAGCGCCCCTCCTCCGTCCCCTCTCCGCCCATATCACACTGATACTCCCACCTGACCGTCTCCGGCAGCGTCATCAAGATGCTCTCAACCCGCGCTCCAGGAGTCATGAGGCCGAACTTTGTGCCTCGGTCATAGATAAGATTGAACTCGACGTAGCGTCCCCTCCGCACGAGCTGCCACCGGCGCTGGTAGGGTGTGTACGGCATCGATATGCGCCGCTCGAGGATGGGGATGTACGACGGCACGAACGCGTCCCCGAGCGACCGGACGAACGCAAAGATCTCATCTGCGGTGCGCGGGCGCGGGGCGTCGTCCGGGAGGCGCGCGTGAGCCGCGTCACTAAGGTCGTCGAAGAAGAGCCCGCCGACGCCGCGCGCCTCCTGCCGGTGGGGGATGTAGAAGTACTCGTCGCACCACTTCTTGAACGTGGGGTAAAATATCGTGCTGTGCTTGTCGCACGCGGTCTTGAGCGTGGAGTGGAAGTGCACCGCGTCCTCCTCGAACAGGTACGATGGCGTGAGGTCGCTGCCGCCCCCAAACCACCAGGCGAGAACCTTGGGCTGCTCGTTCGGGTCTGCGCCCTCGACTAGGGGCTCGGTGACTTCAAAGTAGCGGTAGTTGGCGTGGCAAGTGGGCGCGTTCGGGTTGCGTGGGTGAATCACGAGGCTGAGGCCGGTCGCAAGGAAGGGGATCGACTCTTGCGAGTCCGGGTTGTATGGAAGGGACGAGTGGTCCGCCTTCATCTGCTTTACCGCCGCTGGTGGGAGTTTGCCATGAACGATGGAGATGTTCACTCCCGCCTTTTCGAGCACCGTATCGTGTTTCGTGCTGTCGTCCGAGGGCACCTGGAAAACGCAAGACTGCCCGAGCCCTCCCTGCGCGCGCGTCCATGAGTCCCGCTTGAACGCCGGCGCCTTCGGATCGAGTCTCTCGAGCGCAGTCACGATTTGCTCCTGCAACGATACGATATATTCTTCGACTTGCGTGCGCATCGGCTTGGACGACGAGGAGGACATGGCGGCAGATAAAGGGTGCTCGCGCCCTACTTGCTGGATTTATATCCGTACACTTGCGATCTCGGCCTGTCCCGGCCTACGTTTCGGAGGAGCAATCGTGCGCATCGTACGTTTCGTCAAAGGCCAGGTCCAGCAGGCGTTAGACCGCACCCACTGTCAGTTGTGCCCGGCTAGAACGCATAAACGGTGGACGATACACGTTGAGGAAGAGGGGCAAGAGCAAGGCAAGAGGAGCCAATTTTGATTATCTACCAATTACGACGAGGGATAGAAAAATACTGGTATTGCCTGTTATGTTGTTACTGGTCGGTTGGAAGTCGGTTTCGTGGTTCTTCATTCCGATGACCACTTCCTTGTCAGGGAGCGAAGGATGCACCTCTGGTTCAGGTATGTTGGCCGCGTTCAGTTCTAGGATTAGCCTAGGGCTATGTACTCGGTACTTACTCTAGAATATGTTCGTTTTCGCTAATTCTGTTCAATAATGGTTATCGCAACAAATGGAAAAATTAAATCGGAAACACCTCCTGACCTTCCTCATCATCTCTCTTGCTCGGTGTTGGCAGGACTGCCACCGAACACAGGACCTTATTCAAGTGAGGCGGTATAGCGCTGATATCCCAACTTTGGTGGAATCCTGAGACGCCGGAATGATGCTGCCTCGAATATATCTTGCGCTGCCCGCGTCCGAGTCATCTTTCACCTTATCCTCGCTCAAACTGTCAAGTCTACCATATGGCTGAACACACGCCAGAGTCTTTCAAACCCCTGCTGAAAAGGCTGGTGGAAACTCCAGAGTACTTTACACCGGAGGACCTCAAACTCGCGCTGAACCATATTTTCACTCCGGATGCGGTTCACCCGGCACAAATTGGCGCGTTCTTGAGTGGACTACACATCCACCGGATTGAACGACGACCGGAATCCTTGGCTGCAGCAGCAGAGGTGCTGAGGGAGAGGGCGCTGAAAGCCGCAGTCGAGGACGCCGATAAGGACTTCGTCGTGGATATCGTCGGAACAGGAGGGGATGGCCACAATACCTTCAACGTGAGTACGACCGCAGCGGTCGTTGCAGCAGGCGCAGGTGCACGGGTAATCAAGGTGAGCTATTTGATGACAGCAAAGCGCGCATCTGATATCGACTTGTGTACCAGCACGGCAGCCGAGCATCCACGTCTTCCTCAGGCTCCGCCGACCTCCTGCAGTCCCTCGGATGCCTGTTCACGGCGCCGACGCCCGGGACGCCCATGCCCATCGCCCGCGTACCCTTCACCTTCATCCTCGCCCCGCACTACCACCCCGCGCTCGCGCTCCTCGCGCCGTACCGCAAGGCCCTCCCCTTCCGCACCATGTTCAACGTCCTCGGGCCGCTCATCAACCCCGCGCGGCCGCGCGGCATGGTGCTCGGCGTAGCGGAGAAGGAGCTCGGCGCGACCTTCGCGAAGAGCCTGCGCGACGGCGGCGTGCAGCGCGCGATGGTCGTGTGCGGCGCGGAGGGCCTGGACGAGATCAGCTGCGCGGGGGAGACGTTCGTGTGGGAGCTGAAGGAGGGTCAGATCAGCGAGAAGACGATACACCCGCGCGACTTTGGGTTGCAGGCTCATCCACTGACGCAGGTGGCCGGCGGGACGCCGGAGGAGAACTCGGATACGTTCAAGCTCCTGCTGACCTCGGGAGAGAACGTGCCGAAGGAGCTGGGCCCCGTGCTGGATTTCGTCCTGCTGAATGCGGCGGCGTTGCTCGTGGTGGCCGGGTTGGCGCAAGATTTCAAGCAAGGTGTTGAGTTGGCTCGGGAAAGTGTGTACTCTGGCAGCGCTTGGAAGGCTCTGCTGCTCTTTCGGGAAGCTGGTGAAGCCGCCGCTTCGAAAATCTCGAGTTAATTTATTATCATGGTTACTAAAGGGTATCGTTGTATTTATTATACAGGCGTACCTTTCCTCGTTTTACACTGGTTACATGCAGCATACATCTAACATACATCAAGAAGCCAAAATGCGGGTATTTCGAAAGGGTGCCAGTGATATCGTGCAATGGACGCATAATGTAGGAAGTGGACATAAGACAATAGACTGATGACTTTCGGGCATAATTATGGATGCATGATGCAATGAAGGTCCATGGGCTGAGGAATAAATGAAGTATAACTAACGATATCCAGTCGTCCTGAACCGGGACTCGCGACGACGCACGAACCGTATGCCACGGTGGTCCTCGCATATTAGACCTTTATAAAGTGCGTAAGCTTCTTTTCGTTTTAACCCAACGCAACCTTGCGGGCCGACGATGATCTTTTCAAGCTTGGGCAGCACTGGGTCGTCAGGCCATCCAATGACTTCGTGACCCTGGTCGTTCAATAGATCGTACAGTGCGCTTGAGTAGCCCGTACGCCAGTCAACACCGATCGCGCCTGTTGCAGAGGTCCTCAGCCTGAGATGTCAATGTAACCACGACCAGGCGCTCGTACCTAGCATAGCCAAGATCTCGCTATTGACAGCATTCATCTAGATATCGAACAATTAGTGCACTGACAAATTTACAGGAGTAAACTACGCACCATCGGCTGCTGCTTTCTGGCAAAGATGTGAGCGATAGTCCTTATGTCCGGTCTGTCATAGTAGGGAGCCCAGCAGCGCTGCATCAACTTCCACAACTCATCGTCAATCCGCTTGCCCGAGCATTCATCTGGAGAGGGCCTGGACGGCTGCATGCCGTTCATGACAGCGTTGATGATGGCGCCTTCGTTGTTGCCAAGCTCCTTGTACCAGGGAGAATAGCCTGTGTAGATCTGAGACGCATAATGGAAAGGTCAACAGCCAGAAGTGAATTCGAAGAAAGGAGTGATCCCACCTCGTAGCAAACGCATCCAAATGCGTAGATGTCCGTGCTCCGAGTACGTTGAAAGTGGTCAAAGCCAAATTTAGTGGGGTTGTGGAGTTCCGGCGCCATAAACGGCATACTTCCGCGGGGACCACTCGAGGTGGTTGCGTTAGCACCGCGCGTGGTTTCAGCGAAAGTGGAAAGGCCGAAGTCCGCGAGACGGACGTGGTGATGTTCGTCGATCAGGATATTCATCTGCAGGGGCGTGTAAGACATCGGGTATACCGCAGCTTAGCAAGGGAAGTCGAACCCCTTTCAAGTCTCCGTGTACGAGATTTTCCCAGTGTAGGTAAGCTAAACCCTGAGCGACTTCATAAAGCTGATTCATTTATTCAGTTGTCAGCATTCTGAAAGGGATGTCCTAAGGGGAAAACGCGACAGACCAGGTAGTTGACAACATGGATGTCCGCTGGCGGCTGACGTCCCCGCAGATACCTGACAATGTCCTTGTTGTCCATCCAGAGAGATACTAAGCACCACTGGTTCGGATACAAGTCGCATTCCACACCCAGGAACGGTAAAATATTCTGATGTGCCAAATATTGCCAGATGATAGCCTCACGGCAAAGTTGCTGAGCGGGCGCGTTCAAATTGATAAACCAAGAACAGAAGTGTCCATGAAGCAGCTGACCTTCAAGTTGGCTTTCTGGCGTTCTGACATCCGGTCAGAGTACAGTCGCCATCGTTTCAAAGCGACTAGCTTTCCATCTACACGTCCTCGTATGATGTCAGCAGAGCCCCCCGATTCCTCCGGCGTCTCATGAGCGCAGTCTTGCACAGCTTGAACGTAGCAGGTATGGGGGACGTCCCCGACTTTCGCGCATAGCTTCACCAAGAGTCGCTGTGCCCACGCATACGGGTTTTTGTACGTAGGTAGGGACTCTGACCCACTGAGCCACATATCGAACGCCCTGCCTCTCTCTGTCTTGGTTCGTTCAATCTGCTGGAGATGTTAGCAAACAGGCAAAAACGGATGAAGGGAAGGTAGATCTAACATAGCGATGCAAGATATCTATCACGTCCAGAGTAAGTTTGTCGGGGAGCTCGAGAAATGGCGACGTATGGGCCTCAAGAATACTCTCCAACTGCTTGGAGATTTCTGCCTGGTCTTTCTGGTATGCTTCAGTGGCCTCTAAGTTGGGAGGCAGTTCGCCGCACTCCATGTTCATGCTCTCCCAGCACTAGCAGAAAGACAGGCTACAGTTAATTATGGCGCTGCTATACGAGTGTTGCAACCTCACCCGTGATATCTCAGCCCAGAATTGACCGCTGCAAGCCATAGCCTTGATTATATTGAGCCTATCAAGATTCTCCAATTTATCCCGGAGTCTAGTCAACGAGCTGTAAAGCCAGGGCGGTGACTACATTATATTGATGCAAACACCATATCTTGGGTTGAAAGCTTACCGTCTGATATTTGAGATGTTTGGCCAGCTCAGCCGACGGGGCCATATAGTCGGAAGAAAATTAACAACAATCAATAAAGAGTTCTATCGGTGATTGCGATAAGTAATTGGTAGCGTTGGATGAAGAAAGAAGATTTACCCGATAGAATTTCGGTCGACATCTCAGCAAACATTCAAAAAAGTCTCCCACGTTCGCGCGCCATGGCTCACGATCGGCATCCACTGGGCTTGGTTTCGGCACCCTGATGAGTGATGAATACCATTTTAATTCCTCTGGGCTGGGCTCCGCACGGGCTGGAGGAAGATTATGACCGCTTTTACCAGGGAAGAGTTCCGTCAAGGGTATCGAAGGGGATGATGTCGCATAATAGTGCGCCAAGCAAGCTGCACAGTTCAAGAAGACCGGATCGTAATGGTCCCGTGCTTGCAGTGGCTCCAGCTTGATCATGGCCTCCCCGTAAAGGAGAGACTGGCTGGAGGCATACAGCTCGACGAGATCCTCGCCATGGTGAGTATAGCATGTGTGACCCGTGCGTTCCAGATAACGGCAGAACGCACTAATCCCGGAAACGCAAGAGCAGGGAGGTAGTCTCGTCCATAATGGCTTGAGTCTGTAACAAGACTCTACCCAGTCATCCCATTGAGAGACATAGGAACGCGCCGGGCTGTCGTGCAGAAGCCAGAGGGCAGTACCGAGGAGAGTGCGAAGATCGACTTCGCCCTCATGCAGTGGTGCAACCCGTCCCCCCACCTTATCGCTATCGGACAAGCCCAGCAATGCATGCGCTGCATGAGCCGCTTGCCAATCTTCTGGCGTCAGCCTCGCCAGTGCTTCGCGCCATTCAGCAGGATATGCGTTAATCCACCAGAAGTACCGGCTGTCAGGCGGATCTTGAGCCACGTATTGCCATAACTGATCTTCGATATAAAGGACAAGAGGAGCTTGAAGCTTGTCGTAGATGCGGGAATAGATATTTTTCATCATCGATGCGAATTCTTCCGGAAGGTATTCTTCTCTTGACAATTCTGACATCATAAGAGCGGCTAGCACCTGCCACTGCTGCACGTGCAGCTGCTCGTCTTTGTGGAGGAAGGGGTCCATTTCAGACCTGGGATGAGAGAATCTGAAAGGGATTTCGATCGGTCAGTTGCTTCGTTGTCGAAAGGGTATGCAATAGACACGGGATACCTTTCATTACACAGGGAACAACCATTCCGGTTGAAGTAGACTGGCTCGACATCCCGCCGATCATCCATCCAGGATAGAAATGAGATCCATTCCTCCAATCCATCAAATCCATAGCTATTATCTCGGCCCCAATGACACTTGTGTCCGGTATTATCCATGCTTTCCAAGAACCGGCGGTATACGGGACGCATCTGGTTAGAACGCAACGCAGCCCGCAGCTTATCTGGGCAAGACCTCCACCAGGTGTGCACCAGGGATCCAAGATTATACTTGATCTTGAACCGTAGACCCCTATCGGTATCCAGATCTCGCAAGGCCTTCGAGCTGACGATACGCCATGCAATCGCTGCGAACCGAAGATGCCGGTGCTGTGCTTGGTGTACCCGCCGGCTTTCATCATCCATGACACGGAAGCCACGCCCTCGAGTACGGTCCACACGCTTCTTCAGAGCGATTTGTGCACATTCCCAGTCTTCCTGCTCAAAAGCCACATCATCCGTCAGGCCCATGTCGCTCAATGCTTGCTCGTCCCCGTCTCTCCAAAGCCATATATCTTCGTCGTCCGTGCCTTCGATGAACGATAGCCAAAGAGGCACCACGGGACGCATGTTATATGAACAGCACGCGTACACCACGTTGAAGATAAATCTCATGCGTGCACACGAATGACCTCCTTCGAACGACTGGATCTCCAGGAACCGCTCATCGTCGCGAAGGACGTTCATGGAAGTCAAATGAACCTGTTCGATCGGTGACACCTGAGGACGCCCAAAACTAAGGCAAAGTAATATGTGAAGAGTCTGCGGGATGGATGATATTTTCGAACGCTTCGTACGGCTTCGCCAGTCACTTGATTGATATCGTCCACGCTTCACAGAAAGAGGTAAGGGTGAACCTCTCTAGTGAAGGCGGAGCAGCGAGACTGGGTCTGGGGCAAGCGATAGTAGATAATCTCACCAGAGGGGGTAATGAAACGTTGTTGGGAGCGCTCCCCAGGATGCTATATCTTCTATGAGAAGCACAGCACTGCTGTCCCACCACAGCATCTCTGCCACTGACTCCTGTCGGACATGAGGCACAGTCCCGGAGAACAAGGATAGCTCCAATGTCATTGAGCCAATTGAAACCGTAGGCCATGCTTCGGAGATGCCATGGGATTTGGAGGAAAGTGCGGCAAAGGAGGTCCGAAGAGACCTAGATCCAGGTACCACTGGCGCCCACAAACCCTGGCGGATGTAATATGCCTCGGTCACGGGAGTGACGATACTAAACTATGTTGGCGCTGCGGTTTACCTGGTACATGCTATGTTCCTTATTTCTGTAACTGTCCTTTGAGGTTCACGGGCGTTAGAGGGCAATAAGTGTGATGGAGCAGAATCCAACATACCGCACAACATTTCAGCACATTACACTAGCTTTCCGACTTAACATCGGCTCAGTGCTTTCTGGTGGATACGGGCCGAGAGCCTTTATGTTTATCTATACTTGTCCATAGCGTCGCTGGAAATGCGTCCTGTCCCGAGACTGCCTGCATCTTCGCGTTTCAAGGGCGATCGAAGGCATCCAATTGGCAAAAGTGGCGGGGTGGTTCGAAAGTTCGAGGCCGCCATCCTCATCTCATGTACTATCGATTGTACAGCATGACGGCAAATAGAAGGAGGGATTGATTGCTGTCAGATTCGGCCAGATAGCATATATCACCGGTAACTTACCACGTCGGCGATTGTTCCCTGGTTCGTATATATATGATATCTCCCTGACATACTCAAGGACGAAAGGCACCGGCGTGATTGCCACTGAGCTCCTTGTACTATAGACCCATTATTAGACAGTTCAATGGTGATTGAGTAGTTCGGAGGTCACCAACGAGGTTGCATCGATTTCCATCGTATAGTAAGCTTTGAGACGCTCAGTCGTGAGAAATCATGCGTTAATTTCGTCAGACAAACCAGTCCCCTGAGTGGAAGTTCCAGGGCAAAATGCGGTTATGCGCAGACATCGTTGTGGCGGGGAGGTGAGAAGGAAGTTGTGGCGTATACAGGCGTATACCCGAACTTCACCTTTAACGTTGGACTTCAAGGACGTCTCCTGGAATTTTACTGAGTAGCCGAGCAGCGGGATACCTTTACACGTCAAGGTGTGTGCATGAGCTTCGCCTTTCTCTCGGCCACTTACTCCGAGAAACAGGCGACGTTGCATGATACTATCGTCTACGGCGACCACTAATCGTACAAAACTATAACCACAAGCTGCGTAGATACTTCACTGGCCCGCAGCAGTTGCAAGATGGCTTCCTATACCATTGGCCAAGGCGTTAGCGTCGATAATAACATTAATCTTCCGAGAAAGGCATGGTTAGTTCTATCCCGTAAGCTAGCCAAAGGTCTCTCACCATGTCGAATCCTTCCTTTGCCCGTTTAGCGGCCTGCTCGCCGTTAGTGCAGAACATGACACTACGGTTGACATGTGTTGAGCTCGCATGCTAGCCGAAAGGTATAGAACTGCCTACCATCTCTTTCCCGCTTTGTGCGCTACCTCTTTTATCCTCTGAATCAACTTCTCAGCCTCCGGATGAGGGTCCGGAGAAGGAGGAGGCAGTCCATGGGATATAGAGAGGTCGTAAGGCCCAATGAACAATGCATCTAATCCCAAAGCATAAGCACAACTCCAGGTTCTCCTAACACGGAGCACAACGTATTCGTTACGTACCTATGCCATCCACCGCTGCGATTTCCTCGAGGTTCTGCATCCCCTCCTGGGACTCTATCTGGCACCACACTTGGACGCTGTTGTTCGCAGATCCCAAATAATCCCCCGCGCTGAGATTCCAAATGCCATGGGTGTATGGACTTCCGAAACCACGTCTGCCCACGGGCGGGAATCGCGCCTCAGCAACTATCTCTTTCGCTCTCGCAGCCGACCCGACCATGGGAACCATAATGCCCCTTGCACCAGCGTCCAAGGCGTACTTGATCTGCCAGCCCAGCCCGGTATCAGCGCCGCTGATTCCTGTCGCGGGGATCCTGATGATCGACGAAGGAGGGTTAGGTCCCGAGCCTTCGATTGCTGAGATTGTCTCCGCCGCCCCGGGGTTCAGGGAGATCAGCCCATGCTCACAGTCGATCACCAGCCAAGACAGGTGAGGGGATGCTTGTGCGACAGTCCGAGCGTAGATCGCGCCGGGAAGTGTCAGCCAGGCTCCGAGAGCGGGGGTGGACGACTTCAGCGCAGTGAGTAGTTTGTGGGTGGCCATGGCTGGGGTCGAGTTCAAACGCAGCGAGGGGAACGCGGGAAGTACTGTTCTTTCATTGCAGATGAATCAGCCCGACGGGGTACCGCCGAGGTCTTGTGGTACCAACGAAGGCTGGGAAGTTCCAGCATATAATTTGGAAGGTTGCGTCTTACGTCTACCTCAGCAAATCCAGAGTAACATGACTTAACGTTCACAGTGCAATTTGCTGAGAGCCGGCGGCGGCGGACGATAAGAAGACACCGACTAAACATAGCCACCTGGGTAAGTACGCGGAAAGATGCCGGACCGGGCCGCTACCCTGACTCCCTGAGGCACGCGAGCGCTCTGTAGGTCCCTTTCTTAGATCTTACACTTCTCCGGTATATGGGCACAATGGTTCACGAAGTTAAGTTGAAACATGGATGGTTATAGTTATCTCCTTTGTTCAGAGCACTCACTACACACGATATCTCGGAGGAGTTATCTCGTATCTCTTAGATATACACCGGACTCAAGCTTGCGCTCGGGTGCCCGAAGCAGCCGAAACGTCTCATAGGACCACATATCTGCAGTCAGCACTGCTCGGATGCGGATGACCTCTACCAGTGGGGGTTGGGTTCCCATTGGTGTCGTTCCTCGTAGGTGTGTGGACGACTCGTTCCTATACTCGTGTCATTTCTGATCAGTAAGCCTCGGCGTCTCTCTTCAATCCACGAGCCGTGGCTTAACGTCCGGGTCGCGTCTAAAAATTCGGCGAGTGCATCGTGTGCCTGCACACATGCATACAGACCTACCAAGCCGCTTCTTTCCACCACAAAGCCTGGTTATAAGTATACCGGGCATGCCCAAACACTCGAGCGTTTACAAATAGCTACAACGACTCATCCTTATCTCAACCCTTGCCATTTTTTCCTGAGCATCGTCTCACCGCTCATGTGCCAGGCAAAATCGGACAGATTTAAAGGGGAAGGAGAATCTGGAATACCCTGGGACTCCCCTGATCTCTGATTGGCGACAGTCGTCTTGCAAAACCAAGACAGCCATGTTGCTCTCGTGGTCCCTTTTTATCCTCGCTCTGGGCGGTCTGACCTTCGCGGCCCCCTCTCGCCGAGCCAACTATGTCGTCCACGAGAAGCGCGCTGCTGAACCCTCACCAGCATGGGTGCAGTCTCGCAGACTCGAGTCCGACAAGATCCTTCCTATGAGATTCGGCTTGACGCAGAGTAATCTCGACAAGGTCGAGGATATCCTCATGGCGGTCTCGCACCCGCATTCTGCCGACTATGGCAAACATTTGTCGCCGACCGAGGTAATCGAGATGTTCAAGCCTAGCTCTGAGACCATCGAGGCCGTTAAAAATTGGCTGATCGGATCCGGTATATCTCCCGAACGCATCAGGCTCAGCGGTAATAAAGGCTGGATCGAGCTGAATGCTACTGTGGCTGAGGCGGAAGACCTGTTGGACACGGAATACCATGTCTACGAACATGAGGAGTCCGGGCTCGAGCAAATCAGTTAGTTGTTACTACCGCCAGTGTATCACGCCAGGCTTATTGAATCTTCGACTAGGCTGCCACTCGTATTCTCTCCCAGCGCATGTTCAACCTCACATCGAGCTCGTCAAGCCTACGGTTCACTTTAACCATCGCGTCGCACGGGACGAAGGCGCTCCGGGAAAGCTGAAGCGTAAAAGAGAAAGCTCCTTGGGCAAGCCGTCACCGTACAACGGGCCGAAGACCAACGGAGAGCATCCCAGCGTAGCGCCGAGCTTGGACTCCTGCGACGAATATATAACCCCCGCTTGCTTGAGGGCATTGTACAATATCTACTATGTCCCAACACAGACAGGGAAGAACACGTACGGTGTCGGTAAGTGGCCCCCAGTATCTGGCAGACACAAGAGTGGATAAACCTGACGGCCATTACAGTGGAGTTTACACCTCAAGCGTACCTGCCCACAGATCTCGATATGTTCTTCAGCAACTACTCGCCAAGTCTGGTCGGTACTCGCCCTGTACTCGTATCCATCGATGGAGGTTAGCATGAACAGTACCCATTGCATGTCAATGCTTACAAGAGAATCATCAGGCTATCCTCAGGCCCAATACCAGGGATTCGACTACAATGGGGAGAGCGATCTCGACTTCGAATACGCGATGAGCCTCGTTACCCCTCAAAACGTCACTTTGTTGCAGACAGGCGATATGGTAGAAGGTCAGTCACCCTTTGTGGTCCGCGAGTTATAGAGCTCAACCAAAATCACCTTGGACAGGTGCCGGCTTTGATAACTGGCTCGACGCCGTCGACGCCTCTTTCTGCACATATGAAGGCGGGGACGATCCCAGCCAAGACGGTATATACCCTGACACCGCTCCCGGCGGATACAACGGTACGTCTACATCTCCTATGCTGAAACCGCTTATCTGTCACTCATCCTCTTTTGCAGGACCGGAATCGTGTGGAATCATCGCTCCTCCGTATGTAGTGTCCACTTCATACGGCCAAGACGAATTCACCGCTACGCCCGCGTACGCCATCCGGCAGTGCAACGAGTACGCCAAGCTCGGTATGATGGGAACCACCGTTCTCTACGCTTCGGGTGACTACGGCGTCGCTGGCTTCGGTGGCGAGTGCATTGATACTGCCACAAGTACGTCCTACGCTACTCGAGCTGGCCTTCATGCGCTCTGTGCTAATCGACGTCTAGACACGGAGAGTGTGAATGGAACGCGGTTCAACCCGGACTTCCCTGCTACGTGTCCCTACGTCACGGCCGTGGGTGCGACGCAAGTGAGCCCTGGGTACACGGTATATGAACCCGAGAGTGCGGCGGAGACGGTCATCTACAGCGGTGGCGGCTTCAGCAATATATTCGCCATGCCGTCGTACCAGGCTGCTGCGGTCACGCATTATTTAGAGGCGTACCCGCCTCCGTACACCGCGGCACAGTACAATAACAGTGGGAATGTAGGTGGATGCTGTGCTTCGGGCGAGATTTGCTGTTAACTATCGTTGCACACAGGTTCGAGCGTTCCCTGACTTGGCCGCTAATGGGTGGGTGTTCACTATGGGCTATTGGACGAACCTTGCTCACCTGCGCATAGTGTCAACTATGTCATTGGTCAGCATCTATTTGGTCGCGTACTCTTTCATTTCAATTTACTTACCGTATTGCCAAGCTATTGATGGGGAATTCGAGCTGGTATACGGGACTTCTGCATCGTCGCCGGTGGTTGGATCCATGATCACGTTGGTTAACGATGCTCGATTGGGCGCGGGGAAAGGACCGGTCGGTGAGTATCTCGCCCACTCTGGGGCCGTACATCCATCTGACTGTTGTCAGGCTTTTTGAACCCTGTGGTAAGATCACTGAAAGCCTTTTTGGCTAAGAGAAAGCGGCAAACCTGATTGCTACTTAGATCTACACGCCTGGATTCGCATCCGCTTTCCATGATATCACGAATGGTTCCAACCAGGGCTGTGGTGAGTAGCGCCCCTGCTTCCAAAGGGAGGGCTGTGGCTGACAGGGTCTGAACGAAATTAGGTACAGTAGGTTTCACGACGTATGTTACTCCTTTCTTTTTCGCTGGCTATAAGTAACCGGTTCGCCTGTTTTCCAGCGAACCTGGATGGGATCCCGTCACTGGTACGTGCTTGACATGATCCTGGTACTTGCACGCTTGGCTAATGTCCTTGCGTAGGTGTTGGTACACCTGATTTAACCATTCTCATGCCCATGCTGCTTGGTTTGCCCTGATCATGAGATAGAAGGGCGACCCAAACTCCCTCCGTTGCACCTTGCAAAGGTCGTTCGGCTGGTGGAAAGCGGCACGTCAGATTGTAAATCCTGTTGCTATAAGATAGAGAATGAAAATGAGAGGTACAATCCACAATATGTGTTGTGTCAATTACACGAAGTCCCCTGTGTGGCCTGAGGGCCATGGAGACGCGCTCATTTACGCGTCGGTCACGCGAAGGTGGCGCGTGTGGTGCCAGCCTCGGAAATTCACGTTCTTTCTCCGCCACTCAGGAAGTGTGGCTGGTGGCGCAGAATGACGTGCCAGTGACATCCCACCTCATCGATTCGATGACATCATCGACCTTCTCAGCCACACCTCTAATATATAACCGCTGTAGATCATCCTGACGAAAAACACAAACCATCTTCGTCTCGACGAATTCCCCCGTGTTATTGCTCACAAATCATCCTCATTATCATCCACGATGGCCACGACTCACAACTTCGTTGGTGACAAGCTCATCGATGAGCTCCCGCAGGAGAGCAAGCAGAAGTTGAACGACGACAAGTTGACGGAGACCGAGGCCCAGCGGGTGCAGGGCTCGACGCAGGAGCCTGGCGCCAACAAGCGGGCTGGTGTTGCAACGAGGGATCCCGCAGGTATGTCGATTTTGTCTCGAGGCTAATGACATCCGGATGTTGACCAGGATCTCGCAGAATTCGACACTAAGGGTCGAGGAGCACACGGCGACACTAAGCCGGTCCAGGATCCCGTGCTATAGATGACTGTATCTCTGTGATTGGATTGTGCGTTGAGCCTTCTGACTCGCTAAATTGGCCATTGTCTTGACCAAGGTCATTCCAGGCTCTCCAGAGATCATTGGTCGATCGGGGGTTTGTCAGCAGATGTATCACGCAAAGCACAATGTATCATTATACGCCATACGCACCGAATTAATATTGCATAATACCCCGTCGCATGAGTGATACAAGTGAGTCTCACACCTCGGCAACCCCGCTCAAGCGGCTCCATTCTTCGAAGTGACGAACTACATCGGGTGTGATTTGCTTCTTGATAACTTTTGCGGCGGAGACGAACGCGTTCTTCGGTACCTGTGATAAAGCGTGGAAGCAGTCAGTAACCGCGAAACAGGATGTAGACTGCATACGAATGGTGCATCCAAATCTCTTCTCATTGTTAGCATCGCAGCTTCTTGGCATAGTGAAGCGATTTCCGCGCCCGAACAACCCTCGGTCTGCATGTCATACATTAGCAACTGGGAGGTTAGCAGACTTGCAGATATGATGCATCGGCGTACCAATGTTGCGATTTCGCAAACGTCCAACCCGTCCTCGACACTCATGCCGGCGATCTTAATCTTCAGGATCTCTTCCCGCCCAGACTGGTCCGGAGGGCCCACGTACAAGATGCGGTCCAGGCGGCCAGGACGCATCAAAGCGGAATCCTAGAGACAGCAGTCAGTGGCTTTTGCAGTAGGCTGCCCAGCCGAAGACGTACGATTGCTTCCGGCCTGTTGGTAGCTGCTACGACGGTGACCCCAACCAGTTCTTGCACACCGTCCATCTCATTTAGTAGAGACGTGAGAACGCCCTCGTTCGTGTTCGAAGAGGATGCAGACGAGCGCGAGGTCGCTAGCGCGTCGAGTTCATCCTAGGAAGCAGCAGTATGAGCACTGAAGGACAAAAGGAAGATATGAGAAACTCACGAAGAATATGATCGCGGGTGAGGCTGCGCGCGCTTTCGCAAATATATCCCTCACAGCGCGCTCGGACTCTCCGACGAACTTGCTCAGAAGCTGCTCGTAATGTAAAACTCATAATCACCGGACGCACGAATCTGAATATCACTCACCTCAGGCCCCTTCACAGCAACGAAGTTTACCCCGCTCTCGCACGCCAGCGCCCTCACCAGAACCGTCTTCGCACACCCGGGCGGCCCGTACAGTAGCACGCCCTTCACCGGGCGGACCCCAAGCCTCTTGAATGCCTCGGGATGCTTCATCGGCCACTCGACGCACTCGCGGAGCTTCTGGATTGTCTCCTTGTGCCCGCCGATGGATGAGAAGTACACAGGCGTGGTGGGGAGGTAGAGCGAGCGCAGTGCGGACGGGCGAATTGTGGGAAGGGCGGTGAGCAAGTCGGAAAAGGTTAGAGAGGGTGGGGTCGGTGGAGGAGAAGGGGAGGAGAGGTAGCGTTTGATGGTGAGGGTGCCTGCCTCTCTGACAGCAGCTGAGAGGTCGGCGCCTACATAGCCATGGGCTTGGGAGGCGAGAGTGTGGATGTCACTGTCTGTGAGGCTGTGGGGGGTTTTTGACAACAAGACTTTGAGGATGGAAGAGCGAGCTTCGGCGTCTGGTATACCTATTATAGTGATAGACGCGTTAGCAGCGTTTCTTGCAATCATAGAAGGCGCTGGATGATACCTATTTCAATCTCTCGATCAAATCTTCCGGGTCTCCTCAGAGCAGGGTCAATAGCATTGGGCCTATTAGTCGTAGCCACAACCACCACCCTTCCGCCATCCTCGTCGTCCTCTCCCTCGATCCCATCCATAATCGTCAACAGCGTCGCCACGACGCGCTTCTCCACCTCCCCGCCAGCGCTGTCCTCGCGCCGCGGACACAATGCGTCCACCTCGTCCAGAACGACGATGCACGGCGCCTTGGCGCGCGCGTCCGCGAAGACCGCTCGGAGCTTCGACTCGGTCTCGCCGTGGTATGCGGAGGAAAGCTCGGGGCCGTTGACGACAAGGATGGAGGAGCGGGTAGAGGACGCGATGGCGCGCGCGAGGTGCGTCTTGCCGGTCCCCGGCGGGCCGTGCAGGAGGATGCCGCGGGGAGGCTTGAGACCTGGAGATTGGTGTCAGCGAAAGGGTTGTGCTATTTCTGAAGGGACGGGCGAACCGAAATGCTTGAAGAGGTCCGGTCGGGTGAGCGGTATCTCGAGGAGGTCCCGAATCTGGGAAATCTGCTTATCGAGCCCTCCGACGGATGAGTAGGCATCTTGGATAGGTACGTTCGGGAGCGTTTCTACTTCTGGCTGCGGTTAACGAGATGAATCAGACGATATTTAGGTTGTCCCATTTGTGAATTCCATCCAATTACCTTGTGGGATGTAGACTTAGAACGAACTACTTTACCCTTTGGCTCATCGACAATCACAGTGGTGTCCCACCCAACTGTCCATAATTGTGTGGGTGAGTCTATGGAGAGGGACTGCAGGGTTTCCGTAAGGTCCGCTATTCCTTTGTTATCGGCTCGACTTGATTGGGACGAGACGGAAGAAACTGTGAATTGCCGTCGGCGGCCTTCGTATACCACTTCAACGGTTTGGGTGGGTGTGAGATATTTCAGATCGACTAGATAACCCTCGTCCAGTGAGATAGCATTCCAAGGATAAGTACTGCAGATTGCTGACCAAGAAGCTCCCGGACGAAAAGAGAGAGCCAGTCCTTGCGCTTTTCTGATGCTTTCGTCTTGTCAGAGAGACGAACAGCCTGATTTGAAATATCGGGGACTTCTGCGAGGACAACAGCCCCGGCTTCCTGGGCTTGACGAAGCGAAGGCAAACCGCGCGGTAGCTTCGCGGCCGCTGAAAGAGGGTAGAGCTTGACCCTCGACCCTTCCGACAAACGTGCGGTCAAGAGCAAAGACGAAGATACCGATATCGCTGGAAGTATCATGAGAAAACATCATTTTTGTCATCAGGGAAGAAGACGGAATCGGAAGAGTTGATCCCTGATGGTGGTGTAGTAGTCCATGTGCTTGTACTTACAGTCTTGTGAACAGTCAAAGGAGGGCCATGCTACACCAACGGAGAAAGCCTATCAGCATGGTCTCTTGGTCAGTGGAGATCATGAGTTCGCCCTGAGAAGCAGGTGACAGAGGCGAGAAAGAAGGGGATATTCTCACCGTCTTTGCTCCGGCTGGAGGATCGAGGGGTGATAAGGCAAGTACATCACCCGCACATATTTTTGCGGTTTTCAGGACGTCGGCGTGGATGATAACGCGGCGAGCACCACGGGGAGCCTCTGCAGGTTCTGCAAGGGACACCGTGAAGGGCCTTGACGATAGTGATGACATGTTAATGCCACTCAAATTCCGCGCTGTACAGGACCAGTGGTCTGCTATCTATGCCTCGCGTTGGGAGTAGTTCGCGGGCACAAGCAATTGACGGAAGCTACGGAGAACCGCTCAAATATACAAGGCAAAAAATTCTGAAATGACCTCACCCCTCAGCACTCAGGCGGAAGCTTCTGAATCTATGCTTGACCTGACATTCGATGGGCTCACTTTAGCCTCTGTACAAAGCAAAACTACGAAAATGTCTGGTTTCTCGCTAGGCGTCGCGTACTAAATATTCGTTCTTATCGACCGTTTATGGTAATTTCACGTGGAATGCGGTGGGCTTCTCTCTGTGGCACTCGCGTACCTGTTCCCGTCATCATCGCGTCGTACTGTACGGCCATGCTATAAAGTCGAATCAATGGTGCACTGGTCAACGCTTCCTGCTACGTTGCTCCTATATATCCTGGGGACCGTTGCTGCAACTCGACCGGAAACGTTCAAGGAAGAGCTGACGCTGCGGCCTTTACGCGATGGCAAAGTTATATCCAGATTCTCGTTTAGTACTTTGCTGGAGGGAGGCGTTCCCAGAAACCCGGAAAAAATAGATGCGGGAAATATACGTGAGTGTTATAGCAACGTATGCGGAGGTTGCTCTTTCCTGGGGTATGGCAGAGAAACGTTCTTAGAGCAGTTCTCGCTGGACGGAAGAGAGAACGGCAGGTTAAGGTTTGCCTGGGACGATGGACTCAGGTTTACGGGATGATTTCTCTTGCCTCCAGTGCTGAGCTTTTATTCCCTTTTTTTCTTTGACTACCCACAGACAATGCTGGGACAGCGATAGTCTGGCTTCGTGGAATATAATGCTCCGAATACCACGGTCCATTCTTTTGTATCCCATGTCAGTCGATAGTTGTGCGAAGTTGACGGCTACTGCAACTTTGGATAAAAAGTATGAGCTGCAAGGGTTAGGCCACGATTTACTTGCCTGTCGTTCCCTCATATTGTCCAAAGTTATAGTAGCCCTTGACCTTAGCCTCCCGTTAGCTGACATTGGTCTTTGACGGAGTCAATTACGATTCACATATGTGAGATAACTGCAAAGATATTGACGAACAACCCAGCCCAACATTACACATTATTCCCACTCGCACTGGGTCAAGTACTCCAGGAGTATGCTACCACCGAGCTGCACCTCTCCCTGAACGCCGGAAAATGGGACTACGACCGCTGGGGCTATCCAGACGAGCAAGAAGTCGGGACTGGAGCCCAGCTATGGGCGTGGATTGGCGACGGCGGTTCATCCTCGTGAGTACGATTATGACACACGCAGCAAAAGACTGACATGTGTCGCATTGCTGCAGCGTAGACGAGCGATGGAAAGGCCTGCGCAACGCCCTTGCCGGGCTCTTCTGTGCGTCAATCGGCTCCCTCGACGAGCAGCGCACCACGATACCCAAGCTCGCATTCGCACCGGAAGGCGACCTCCCAGCGTGGACCCTCCCGCACCAACTGCGCCATGCAACCTTGCCCTCTGAGACCGTCTGCACCGAGAACCTGACGCCCTTCCTCAAGCTCCTGCCGTGCAAGGGCATCTCGGGCATTGCGACCCTGCTTAACCCGCACCGCCTTTTCGGGGCGGACTGGCACGGCATGAGCGTCCACGTTACCTGGCATGCGGAGAGAGGCGTCGAGGTACGGCTAGCGTTCCAGGCGGTCTTTGACCCGGTGCGGTTGTCGTTCGACAAGAAGCGCGGTGAGCATTAGCGTCGCTGGATTCCGTGCTCCGTAGTTGATGGATATTAGACTGGTCTCTGCAGTCGATTTTTGGTAGGCCCATCGGCAAAGCATGTCCGGTTGCTAGCGCCAGCCGTATTGTCGTCGAGCTGCCCACGAATGAGGCGTACTCGATCGACCCGCAGCCGTCCACAGTTCAGGATGGCAAGGCCATCTATGATACGTCAAATAGTAAGTCCGGGACGTTGTGCACCCAGTTCTCCAAGACTAACGCGCCAATGACAGTTGAGAGTGAACTAAACTTGGCATTAAGATGGCCGCTGGAATCTGAATTCGTGTACCGTAAGTAATGCAGCAGATCCAGCGCGGCACGCTCATCAATCGTCCTTGGCTAGCCCTGGATCCAGCCTCGCAGCCTCCTAGTCCTCTCTCGGTCCAACGCACAATGGCAGGCACCAGCCAATCTCGCGGGCGGCTATCGGTGTCAATACGGAATAGCCTGCCGTCGGAGATCCAGGCGGTCTACCTCGAGACGATGCCGTGGCACGTCCAGTTTTATCTCCACACTCTCAAGATATCCAACGGCGGCAGCGCACGTGGTACGTCCACTGCTCCATCGACGTCAAAGTCTCCTGATTTTCGTTCTATTTTGTCTTTAGATGATTTGCTGTCCGATATAGCCTACACCCCACCGGTCCCGCACGGTCGCCCGGCGTTGTTCGAGTCCGTGCTGACGCTGCCGCCGAACAGCACCACGCAGCTCGAGATGGAGGTGATGAAGTCGTTCCTGCGGTACACCGAGCACCCGCCGGACGCGCAGCGCGGGTGGGACCTCCCGCCAGCGGTGCTTGTGCCCCTGGCGGATGTCCTTCGCGCTCCTGTCAATGGATCTGAGCCAGCAGGACGCAGGGCGAGGATCTACACCCGGGTGCTCCTCGTGGACCTCGCGACGCCGGACTTCAGCATGCCGTACAACGTGATCATCATGAGCTGCACGCTCATCGCGCTCACGTTCGGGATGGTGTTCAATTTGATGACGAGGAGGTTTGTGGTGGTGAGGTTGAAGACGGGGCCTGTTGCCGAGAACGCGGCGGAGGAAAAGGACAAGTCGATATAGCGCGTCGATGATTGCTTCCGAGTTGTACGGAATTATCCCCGCCCAATGCGCAGTAGCTCTGCTCTCCATGGGGTGCTGTACTCAGGACATGCCGAATTGTTTGGCTTGCACTTTCGGATGAGTCCGTATCCGCATTGTGACAGTTCGCGAGCCACGGGTTTTACTGAAGTTCCCTCGCTAAACCGCCCAAAATACGACCACTTCTGCGTCAAAGGTCTAATGCGCACCAATGGGCCACTTGTTGCCGGATAGAGTCCAATGGCCGGCAAGGGTGTTGCACTTCTGAAACATCAGATGAGACTGAACGACAGGCCACAGCGCGTCCAAGTGCTATTACTGTATAGTTGCGCATGCAAAGTCATAGTCACTGTAGCTATTATCTTGACAGTTCCAAGCGATCCTGACGTCCTGCTTCCCGCTGCATTGTCTTGGAAAGTCTGGGCATTCTGACGCCACAGGGAAACTCAAGGCCATTGTGCCGTACACGGACTAGGGCGCGTCACCGGTGCGTCTACAGGTATGTCGGGGACTCGATTCGACTCGTTGTTGATCGAACCCAGATATCGAGAAGACGAGCACATGGGTCTAAACCAAATACGAACCGCACGGAAGGGGACGCGCCGCGGGACCGACGTCTTGCCGCACGCTATGTAGACCGATTGGCAGCAGAATTATCAGATAGCTACTGCGGCATCAGAGGACACGGCAGCCCTCAGAGTTGTGGCGTGCGATGATGCTGTTCAAGTCAGACCGGGCGACACGACCACGACAGTCGACAAGACGTGTCCCCGATCCCAAGGCTGGCAATGCGTGTTTCCGTGCCGCAGCGTCACAGGGACAGGTCATCGCAGCCTGCCGTCAGAGAGGTGAAGCACCACTACGATGTTTCTGATGTAACTCGAAAAGTACTAGCCATCCGGAGCATCATCTGCTGCTGGAGGTGTGAGAGCAGCATCGGGTGATAAAGCGAGAAGCATCCTCGTACGCCGGGGGAATTCGCGCATCTCCTTCCGCCACATCCACAAAAGGAGATTGCTCGCAGCCAGATACGCCTATCTAAGTTCCAGCCGGGCAGAGGAAGTCGAAGTCGAGGTTGCCCAGGGTTGCCCGCCCGAGGCACATCATCGGAAGACGCGTTCTTTCACCAAGATAGCCCGATAATTGCCTCAGTCTGGCAGCCGAACCCTGCGATTTGCTTCCGAAACGGACAATGCAGCAGGTTCGGGCGCATGACAGCCACCCCCCCAGAAAGGCACTTGCAGCCGTTGATACGACACACGGCTTCGCTGGGAGACTTCGAATGGCTGGAAACATGTGCGCTGCTCGGCGGCGTCCCACGGAGATCTGTCCAGCGCCAGCTGCACTGCTTGTAATTAATAATAAACCGCTGTGGCTGATATCATTTTAAATGACTTGGCCCAAGCATCCGGTCTTTGTCCTTCGCGAAATCGCATAAAGGACGCGCCTCTCGGGAGCCCGCCGTCTCTTGCTTCCCCCCTCGCGAACCTAGTAGACTCGCGCCCCACTACGCAGCACCCGGAGCACCCATCTGTTCACCCGGCCGAGTCATTCGCGAGTCATAAGACGCTGTTGCACGTTCGCCTGCCTCTTGTTCAGACTCAGCACACTCTCGAAAATGTGCCAACAGGTCGCGTACGTCGCCTTACCCGCCCCGACTCACTCGCGCCAACTAACGTCCATTCTATCCAGCGAAGGAACGCGGTGGACGAAATGCGGGGTACATGTCATCCCGTTCCTTGACGCACGTCGATCAAGCAAAACTGACGCGCCCTCTTTCACTATTCGCAGCACTTCCAACGCCATCTGGTCGTCGCGATCATGGACTGCAGCTCTAGCCGGTGCGAGCGGAGTCTCCGGCATCCATCGACGTGCAGAAGTCAGAGCTGCCACAAAGTACGTGCCGCCTCCCTTCACCGCACCGACGTCCGGTGCTCATCGTGCTTCTTTCTTGCTCTTCACATAACATTCAAACAAAGAACTTTGGCCAGGAAGTGCAGAAAGACATCGACGCCGTCGACGAGTACTGCTGGGCGTGCCGCGCAGCGGCTGCAAAACGACAACGATGAGTCCCGGCCCAGGACGACACACTCGAACACGCACCTCTTGGCCCCCGCCCGCCCGCTCTTGCATCATGACCTGTATCATCACCCCCATGTACACTACCCTGTAATATACCCCCGTAATGTCAGCACCATCTTCTCTCCGAAGATCCACGATGGAAGATGGGGATGGAGCACTCTTCACATCCGTCACGAGGGCGCAGTACTGTACCACGCTGCCCAAAAATACACAGGCGCCCGCATGGACGACGTCCCTTGCAGTCAGGTGAGCCAGGATGGCGTAACCTTCCTGCTCTAGAAAGGATATATGCCCACTCCGGCAAGGATAGACTGGCGACAAGACGGCCTTCACAGAAGGCGCGGGTGAATGTCAGCAGAGACCTGCCATGTACTGCGAAACACATCACATCGTGCGCTTTGTATTCCGCTGGCCTTATCGGGGTTCGCATGAGAAGGTGAAAATATGATTCTGGCGTATGGCTCACAGCAATCAGGGACCGGAGCGGTGCCACAGCTCGATCGAAGGCGCGATGTCGCCGGCAGCTATTTCAGAGGCTAAAACTGTATCGGCCGCACCGCGCATACAGAATGGAGCCAAGGTCCAGGGCAAGTACGTGTGTCGGATACACGATGCTTGGGGCCGGATGGAACACGATGCTCTTCGTTTGTGCCGACAGAGACGGAATGCAGTGTAAGTCGGTCCATGGAAGCAGGTGAATAGGTGTAGCAGCTGACGAGGGAAGCACGTTCCCGGCACCGAACGTCTGGCGGGCTGAAGTATGGAGTACTATTCGGTGGGGCGCAAGGGTGCGGACGTTCAACGGCCCGAAGAGTACAATTCAAGAGGCCGCATATAGGTTTTCTTGGCTGTAGTAAACTTCATTGGGATTTATGAACGGGCCGCGGTGGCGTCCGTTCTCCTTTGTCAGAGGGCATCTCGTAAGGGCGCTTACCTAGCCGTAGTGTCAACAATGCGTACTACATAGATCTCGACACTTAGCTATGTGAGTATCCGGGCGGACGAGTATTCGACTTGCGGCGTCAGCTAGAGGCCTCGGACACAAGAAGGCACGACGAAATCTCAAGCATCACGCGAAACCGGGATGCCCAGATACCTCGATGTATCTGCGAAGATCCCGGTCAACGCGCTCACGAACGAATGCATATTCGCGTGGGTTCAAGAACCCAGGAAATAACGGCTGCTGAGCAGATGGGGGCCAAAGCCAGCCCGAAGAAATGTCTCCGACCCGAAGGCACGGACATAACCTGCGCGCGTCGGTCCTTCTCAGGTACTCAGGGTCCTCGCACGAGGAAACGCAAGGTGGGCCTCAGCTGACGATTTACGACGGAACTTTTTGCCTTGACAACACGCCAGCCCTCGTGACATGGACCTGTATGAGCATGAGACTGGTGTTCGTTTCACAAGGATGAATCGGGCTTACATGTTTTCTCTCGTGATAGACCACTAGCCGCCAGGGAAGATAGCACACCTGGGGAGCAAATGACTCTCTCACATACCTTAGCGGACGAACGAGTCGGCGGATCACTTTAGCAGGGAGATGAACGTCTTGCTGGTGAGAGCAAAATCTATCATTCGCGTCGAGTCCGATGTACATCCTCTGCCTACACCCCCGCTCCCCATTCCGCCCTCTAGTGCGCGTGGTTCTTGTGGTGCTCTAGAAAAAACGTTCAGTACTCCCGACATACTCTTACCGCATACCAACTCACTCAAGTGCACTAAAGATTGGCGGAGCAGTTAGTTTTCGCGTCAGGATACGAATATTTGATGCAGACGCACTGTTATAGTCAATCGTGTACCCGATCGTGGCCATGCCAAAAATCAGGACTAGCAGCGGCTTGCCAGAAGCGTTCTTGCCGTTGAAGTAGCGCGCCTTGATACCGTACCCCGCAGTCGAGGGTGCCGGGCCCTTCGGCAGCTTCGAGTAGAACTGCACTAGCGGTGCGAGGCCTGCGCCTTGTCCCGAAGACTAAGAATAATTCGTCAAGCAATTACTGAGATATTCAATGTCCGAGAGCATGGAAAGACTGCTCACGAGAATGGATGGGGTGGCGATTTTGGGGGGGACGAGCCCCCCGAGCTGGCGGCGGACGAGCGAGGCGTGCATGATGTCGGTTTTGCTACAGCGCGAGTGCTCCCGAACGTTGCCGACGACGATGGCGTTGTTTGCTCCGTATTTGCTCTTCTTTATCTCTATTTGGCGCATATACTCAGCCACCGCCCTCCTGCGCAACTGCGGTGCCACTCAAGAGCCTGAGGTGCCTTTGTCGCTGATGACTTCTCCCACTCGTTTGCCCGTGCTTATTTTTCAAACCAGCGGTCCATAGCGACTGAACTTTTCGCTTAATTCGGAACTGCAGGGGGGATTCTGCGTTCAATACTCAAACGCCGTGCTTTCGACTTCGCTGTTGCCATAGAGCTTGACATTTAGGACATTGGAACATGATCGTGCCCGCTATGTCACGCTCCGTGCCAACACAACGGCAATTGGGAAGCTAAGTAATCCTACCATTTCATTCTTGAACACCTTCTCTCGATGGAGCATGTGCTTACTTCAGTACTAACTCATCTTCCAATTGTGCCATCCACTGTAGCCCGTGGAGGCTCGAATCTTAGTGGATTGAATATCATGTCTGCGACGGTTCCACCCTACCACCGGTTAGCTTTCGGTCCGCTCATAGCGATGGCCTACATCATGCCCATCTTCCATCTAAGCTGAAATCGAAGTGAAGCGGTGTTCATCCTCAAGCAGCTCAAGTGTGGAAAGCATTCAGGGCACCTTGACGTGTATAGAAGATACCTCGCCTTCGTGCGGACCTTCGGCGCTCCGATAACATCCTCAAGAATACCGCAACAGACGCACGTTCGTCCAGACATTGCCTTAGAATGATGGATCGGCGAAGTCTCTCCGTACCGTCAGCCGGGTAGATGACCGTCATCCGAAAGAGCTACCCTAGGCAGGTCCCAGTCGAAGCAAGAGAGTACAATACATTAACCAGAACTTCTACGTATGTCCCTCAGACTCTACAATTATCCAAATTAAATATCAACACGTCCTCCGCCCCGATCGCCACCAACTCGTCCATCACGACCGCCATCCGGCCCTTCTCCACCATCGCGCTCACCGCGAGCCAATTCTCGTCCTCCAGCGGGCTGATCGTCGGCGCGCGGCGCCCAGGCGTGACCGCGGTCGCCTTGGCCAGGCTCTCGCGCGGGATGTTGTACTCGCAGATGACATACCGGCCGGCGGCGACGACGCCCGCGATGCGCGAGGTTATGAGGTTGATGAGCGACGCGTGCTCGGTGCGCTTGGGTGAGTTGGCTTTGATGAGGACGGCTTCGGACTGGAGGACGGTGGCGATGGCGTGCAGACCTGCTGCGCGCATCGTGTCGCCGGATTCTGTAGGAAGTCAGGATATGCCGTGTAAATGTCTGAATGTGCTGCTACGAACCGACAAGGTCGACTGTACGCAACGTGAACATCAGGGCTGTCACAGCTAGATTTGAATGCGATAGAACACACCGATTCCGTCCGCAAGTCCAAGGGCACAAGCCGCCTCCACGCTCCCGCTCACATACTCAATCTTCGTACGGCTCTCCCCCGCAAGCTGCAAGCGGTCATCCACCTTCGAGAAGTACTCCCCCGCCAGCACCTCGAAGCTCGTGACGACGCGCTTTCCCGCCAGATCCTCGACGCTCTTGATCGACCCCGCCTCGGGCACCTGCACCTGCAGCGCACACTTGCCGAAGTTCAGCTGCAGGACCTCCGTGACGTGCTCCTCCATCTTCGCTTCGAGGATCACGTCGTGTCCTGTGATGCCGAGGTCGACGTTACCTTTGCCGACGAAGGACGGGATGTCCGCGGCGGGGAGGAAGACCCTGCGCGCGAGTGAGCACAGGAGGGTAATTGGGTGGAGGGTGGGGGAGGACGTACAGGGCCATGGGGTGGTTTTTGACGAGACACACATCTAATCTGTGATGCCTTCGAAACTGGATATCAGCACCTGCGTAGGTGGTTTGCATGTGCCGTTAATGGTTAACGGGACTTGCGCGGCGTGCTCACCAGCCAGGAGCTCCATGCATTTTTCGTGCAATCTCCCTGGATCAGCCTGCGTGAATATCGTCTCATTCTTCGGACTACATATCGTACACACCTTTCTTAGGGATTGCGAATAATAACCGTCCGTCCAACGATTCCGCATCTAGTACCCGTCCTTCTGAGCATTTTATTTCGCGATAAGTCCGGGCGTGCACTCACTCATGGCTGCCTGGTACCTCTGGCCGTCAGATACACCCGATGGCGCCGACTGATAGTCGATGTCTGCGGGTCGGACAGAATATCGGACGTTTTGGCCGAGTCATTTCGAAAAGTTTCATACATGCATTTCTATTTGCGGATTCGCCTAAATGTCTATAGCCGATCCACGGCGGACGGTCCCCGAGACATGAAGGTGCTCACGCTCCCGCGCATGTACTTAGCTTTGACTCTGTTCTTGCTCTACTTCACCGGCAGTATTCTCTTGTATACAGTGCCCACTATGGTGCCCTGCAAATTTGTCTTTAGGGGCTTTAGGATGGCAGCCGCCAACTCGGAGTAGCGTCGAGAAAGAGAGGCCGATTTCAACCTAAGATCGAAGGGTGATCTCTCGAGCTGAATAGCGGAAGACACGCAGTGTATGTGTCTCTCCATTGGCAATCCGCGGACGTACGCGACTTCCTCCAGGACAAGCTTGACGCCCTGAAGTGTGTCCCGAGGCGGTCTGGAACACAGCACAATTCATGCTACAGTAACATGTGGCTGCTTGCTGTGTTGCTTGGAGAATAAGCTGGACTGCATTATAGGTATCACATTCTGGTTGAAAGACTGCCTTCTCTCTGCATTGACTGGCTTCAGACAGGTTCCTATTTGGCCGTCAACGCAGCGCATCGATCCCTGCGGCATCAATATGCGATGACCATGACGGTGGGTCTCAATACTATCCCCGTGAATTCCTAAAACCCCCTTTGCGACGTCTGTACGTTGCGAGCTAACGCAATGCGTGGGCCCGGGCCACGCATATCCTGCACCAACACTCGACTATGCTTAGCCGCCATGAAATCCTTCAGCAATACTGTCGCTTTTATCCTCCTTAGTAACTGCACGGAGTCTTGAGAAGCTCTGCGTAGCAGAGTGATCCCTTCCGGATCTTGCTGAAACTGGATGGCGAAATGCGTCGTTGACGTTGCGCTGCTCGTGGTACCCTGCCACACGATCATAAGAGCGCTTGTTTAGATATCCTAAGTTCTTCCCTACGGTATTGCTTGAGCGCGATAGTAAACTCGTGCTTGGTCAGTACCGTAGCGGATACCCTAGTATGCCAAATAAGACGGAGGAATTGCGCGGCGCTATCGCTCAACGGAGATTTCTCGACTGATCTGGTACAGGACGCACCACTTGGCAGAAGCAGGCCGCTTCAACGACCTTCCAAACCTAATACACCCACAGCTCGCTCGCAACCCATAATTTATCATCGTCCCCGGATGGAAACCCCGTGGTTGTATTATGAATGACCCCAAATATCAACAGACCGACGGTAGGGGTGCACCCATAGCCGCTCACGCACTATTGGTGCTCGATACCTCTCCCGGATGTTTCTAGGCATGGAGCGTCATTCAGAGCTTATTCAGAGCCTCTCTATTGCGTCTTCTGTCCGCCACGACCCTATTATTCCCAAGCTGCGCTGTGTCATGCGCCTGATAATCTGGTGCTTCTCGATCCTCCTGGGTCTGTCCTTGTTCGAGCGCTGGGCATACTGGTTGCTCCAGAACCCCTGCAGGGACGGTATATAAAGCGACAGTTTTCGAGAGCTATCGGCACCTGCTTGCCAGACGATGTATCGTCAACGAGGAGGCCGATACCCTCTACGGGCATCCAACACTCCGACGTCTGCTCCTACCACGCCTCGCCGTGACTACCATGAGGGTCTCGAGGCGACAGCTGTCAAGGTATTCAGCAAACCTTCTGCAGAATCATTCAAAGAAAAGATAAAAATAGAGAATCTCCAATACCTCGCCTCGTACAACTGGGTCGAGGCTGCGAAACCAACGATTATCGTCCCAGGTGAGCTCAAATCCTCCCTTCCACCAAGATCGTGTTCTCACCCGCATGCGACAGGGTCGCCGCCGGAGTGGACGGACAGGCCTCTCCCGTTCATGGTCCAACGCGACAGCGGCACTGTCTTTGTGGACCAAAACGGGTTCCGCGTCCCGCGCGCAGTCCTCCTCCCCCTATTCAAGTCAGTCGACATGGTAACGGAAGAAACGGGGCGACCCGACTTCGACTGGTCCTCAGTCGACTTCGTCACGGACCGCAACGGCTTGCGGAAGATATTACGATGGGTGAATGGCACGGCCGACAAGACCTTTAGGATCGACATGCAGCTGGTAGGCAAGCAGACTATCTTGCTGAATAGATGGGAGGCGACTACGAAGGAGCCCGCCAGAGGCAGTTTCGGGTTTGGGTTCGAGAACGCGACTACGGAGCCTGCCCCGGGATGCGAGCGCAGCACGGGGCATCATAGGATCGTGACTTATGCATGTCCTTCGGTCTGCACCCGAGACACACTGCTGATATGTTGTGATGCAGGACATGAACGGCCTGAAGATGGTCGTCCGCTTCGAAGTGGACGCCTGCCTACCCCCTCCCCGCGAGGCCACCAAATTATCCAGCGCAACCACGCTCGACGATCTGACCGCCACGCTGAGCGGCCTCGGGCTCGGGTCCCGCTCAAAAGCGCCAGAGACCACCAGCGACGCCTCTGGACTGGACATCATCCACGCCGGCTCCGCCGACATCGCGCAGGAGCGCATCGTCGAGCTGACGACGCGCTCCCAGCGCAACGCCGACACCTTCGACTGGGTCGACGCGTACCCGCAGCTCTTCCTCTCCGGGACCCCGCACCACTTCCTCGGCATCCATGTTGGCGGGAAGTTCTACGAGGTCGTGAAGAGGGAGCTGAGGACCGCTGCGATGGGCGGGATTGAGCGGGGCGCGCAGGCGGGGCTTAGGAAGCTGAGGAAGGCGCTGGGAGAGATCCAGGAGCTTGTTGTCGATAGCGGGGACCGGGGGAGACTGTCCCTGGTGTGCGACGGCGGTGTACTGAAGGTATTTAACCGGAAGAGCACTGAGAGCTGCCTTCCCGATGAGATTATGAGGCGCTTCGACAATTAGCAGCGTGGAATCTTGGATGTGTAGTAACTTGTTGTACGTGCTTAAGGCTCCTCTCACTATCTTACCTTTTTGATTCAGTTTGCATCCCCCTCTTATCTCAAAGAAGCAGACTGTCTACAATGTCCTACACATGATCTTTGTTGCATCACTTCATCTGCCGCTCCGTGCACTACGAGCTCATTAGCCTGTATACTCCGCAGTTGTTCAGATATGTGCACGCTCAGCCAAAGCTCTTCCCGCGTGGAGAACTGGTACAATACTCGAAACCACGATGGCACAAACTTTCAGTAATGGAGATCTTGGGAAGTTGTGGTACGTGTTCCTTCCAGTTGTCAACTGATCAAATTATTCTCCAACGGAGAGTCCACTGGAACCAGTGCCGGCAAGTCCGAACAGCATGCTCTATGTTCTCCATTCTTTTGCCTCTGCATTCTACCGTATTGCTGTAACTAGTGTGAGTCGTGTCGCGTTGCTCGTTCAAGCTGTCCCCTCTTCTCTGGCTCTGAGTCAACTCCAACGGAGATGGGATTGACTGTGGAGTCCACCATGGGTTTCTCCAGTCTATCTCGCCCTATGTTGAGCCAATATCAATAGAGGTAAGATCTTGTGTTTGTTAGTCCCATATCCTTGAATTCACACATGTACTCGGGCACTTGTTTCCCCTAGGATATTGTTTACGTGCATGGAATGTGAGTGCGAAGAAGTTATATACTTCAGGTTATCAGTCATCGCTGATTACGTTAGTAAGGTTTACTTGCTATGAGTTGGCCGCACACCCTGGTCTCAGCTTTTGATCCTTCGCAATAGCATTGGCACAGTGACTCACGTTCGTCAGAAGAACCTGCTCACGCTTCTGCAAGCAACTTCCACATGGTCGGTCGAAGAATAGGCATGTCCTAGCTCTTCCCTCAGATCGTGGCTTTATGCTAGCGTGAGCAAGGGGGGACTACGAGTGTCCTGCCTTCTCTGTTGCGTTGCTGCTCAAGCACTCACACCGTGGTATGACACGGCGGCACTCAGTCGCGCATAGGCCGTGAAGCTCGACAAGAAGCGGTGCGCATTGCGTTATATGAACTATCGACCATCGCACCAGTTCCATCACCCGCTTCAAGCCTCGTGTATCGGATCATTTCAGGCTCGCGCGATTGCTGCCAAGTACATCTCCGCGCCTCCAATCTGAAGATCTAGAGGAGCTTTTGTCCATGCCTACTACTTACACCGGGACTCGTCCATACGTCCAGCTCTTCTCGTCTAGCCTTTCCCCGGAGAGGCCAACACCGTCGAGGGGTTTGCAGTTACCATCTCCAGCGGACTACACTCGCCGATATACACCCGATCTCCTCTCGAGCTCGTCTCTGTCCGATAAACGGCTGCCATCCTCGACAGAGAAGATTGCACACTCTGAAGAGAAAAGCATATCATGTGCTTTACAGCCCAAACGAAAGAAATCCCTAGCTCCCCCCCTCTATAGTACGGTGGTGCTGACGTATCCGAACCCGTGGCGCGTCCACGTACTACGAAACGCGCACATATAGGCCTGGGTTCAGATCTCAGATGCAGCGCGTTTCGCATCACTGTACCAAGCACCACCCGACCCGACTTATCCTCCAACCCAATCTGGTCCGTCTCTCCTTCACAGCTTGGAGCGCGTCATCCGCCTCTCCCCACTACAAGCCTCCGCCGCGGCCCGCTTTTCAAATCCAAACCCAAATCTAACTCCAATCGGAGTCGCTGCATGCACAAGACCCGGTCCCGGGTTGTCAAGTTAGACTCAACCATCAAGCTCACCGCCCGAGCGCGATTATACAGTATAGCAAACTCGCCAATCCGCATTGTAAAGACTACGCTAATATCCCTCAACGGAGATAATAAGACTGATGCGGTTCCCGTTCTCCCCCGGAAATGGTGATCCAGGGTCGTTGCGTAAGTGTTTGCTCTTGGATCGGGGAGATGATATTCCCCACCCAGTCTAAGGTATGCTGAAGGGCGTCGTCGCTGGGACAAGGGGGCGTTTCCTCGCGCGGACGCATGAACAAGCGGCTCCGTGCTATGCGCCTCCCAGTCGCCAAATGATAGATCGGTGGAATGTGGATGGCCAGTTGAACCTGTCTTTGCCCGACTGCTCGCATCGATATCAACGGAACAACTTGAAAGGCGATCGGCATGTCTTGACCGTTGACGCAGATTACAAGCCATCGGGTACGCTCCGTGTGTCATCCCACATCCTTACCTATGTTGTGATATGACCCCGGATATTGAACGTAGATCTGGGATCCGAACGTCGCAGGCACGAGAAAAGGGGTCGTGCTCTGAATTCTGGACGAGGTATAATCACACTGAAAGCCGAGGAGGAGGAGGAGCGAAGGAAAGCAGCAACCCGCAAGCGAAGGTCGGGTAAGTGCTACCATACAGCCTCATCTTTCGTGGTTCACTCTAATCGGTACATCGACTTCATGCAGCAGCATTGGTAACATGGAAAAGCACGGGGATCAGAAAATATCCTGTGTCAGCTGGGGGATGCGCCCACCGCCTCCTCCGCAGGATTTCCTGCACTCTCCGAGTCACCGTGACGCCCCCACGTCATGCTCGTCGTCCGTGTACAGATCCTCGTCCAGGTCAGGATCCAGCTCGACTGCATGTAGTTACTCGTTGTGCCTACGGGTGAAGCATTGCGAGCCTCTTCTTGTTCGAAGCTATGCTTGCCGGTCCTCGCTGACCCCGTTAGTAGGGAACTACTCGGCCTAGCGCTCCATGATCTATCGACTACCCTGGATTAATGGATCACAATAGCTCATGTAGCTGACTGCGACTGTGCCCTGAACGGCTCGCGTTCTTCAGAGCGGCCGATGGCCCGATTCACGCTTCTGCAGGCAATTCCACGTCGAAGAATAGGCCTCCCGTGGCGCTTCTCCCAGATTCTTGGGCAGGGGGCCGGCCTTCAGATCATCTCAGGAAACTCGCCGCCCTCCCGTCAGGACCCGCAACCCTTCTTGTACATATGAATCGGAAAAGACGCTATGGAAGCACTGGCCGGCGACGTTTTTTCCAAGCCAACCTTAATACAAGCCCCCTTCCCTCACCACCGTTCCTCTCCACCCCCCCTCGACCTCTAATAGCAAGGTTCATGCAAGCGCGCTGACGAAGTCGCAGGGTCTCGAGCACCTATCGTGGGGGACGTGATCGTATTGGACCGACGCATGTGGGATACGTAGTAACTACATACATACCCCTCTTCTTCTTCTACGCACATACTAAGAAGGGGTCTGCGGTTCTTCCGGGCGACTTGTCTGGGCATTCTATTCTATGCGTGCTCCGCCGCCGTATGACGCGCGCGCTTCTGCTCGTAAGAAGCTTCTACCGCCCGTTGCGTATACTTAATCGTGGATGGTCCAGCCTGTTCCACCGACGATGTTAATGGATAATAACCGACATAATGCTTGTTCTCGCCGTGGCGTCTCGCAGCGGAGCTGTGGCGACATCCTGCGGTTACCTGAGATCGGCCACTGCGCCTTAAACAGGTTATAATACTTCCGCAGATGAGATATTTGGGTTAGGCAACTGCGACCCACAAACGGTGGACAGGTGTAACAGGATTAGCACAGATAACCATCAGATGATGATAGTATAATATATAGTTACGCCCGCGACCTTCACCGCGCAGCGCGCCCGCGAGTTGCTGCTTTCCTCGTTCCACCCTGTCTTTCTCTTCAGCATGTTCACACCCAGGCCAGGTTTCCGCTCGCTTCCAGATCGCGGTATCCAGGAGGGCTTGGTTTTGGACCCACTTCTCGTGCTCGCCAGACCTGAGAGTACAACATCTGACGACGCTCGGATTGAGAATGTTCAGTATCTTGGCTCGTATCACTGGGTGGAGTCTGAGACACCCACTATCGTCGTGCCAGGTAAGCTTCGAATCTTTACACAACCATATGTGCCTTACCACACCTTCAGGGTGCCCGCGCCGATGGCTAAACAAACCGCTACCGTTCAGCGTGACCCGCGACGAGGGCCAGAGCTACCTGAGCGAGAACGAGTTCCACGTGCCCGGACGTGCTTTTGTGCCGATGATGCGCGCGGTCGATATCGTCGAGGAGAAGAGCGGCAAAGATCCGTTCGATTGGCCGTCCGCTGATTTCTTGACCAACAGGAGGTGCCTCCGCAAGCTATTGCGCTGGATCGACGGCAGAGCCGATCGCGATTTTAGGATTGATACGCAGTTGTTGGGATCACGGACGGTGTTGCTCAGCCAGTGGGAGGCGCGTACCACGGAGCCTTCGTCCGGGAACTTTGGATACACGTTCGAGCGCGTGGCATGTTCCAGTCTTCCCGGCTGCGAGAAAGGACACACCCGGATAGTCAGCTATGTGGGTAGCGTTGTCCTGCGGTCGTCGACCCTCTTCATTACGTTTGCTTTCCAGGACTTCAGCGGCCTGAAGGTTGTATTGCGCTTTAATGTGAACGCCTACTTGCCATCCCCCGCGGAGGATGCAGAGGTGGATAGTCTCGCTAGCGAGCTCACACACCTGGGTCTCGAATTGCCTCAGCGGCTGAACGCCGATGATGCTGTTCCAGATCCAATGTCGGGGTTGCGGATAATCCACACCGGCTCTCCGGACATTCCTCAAGATAGCTTGTTGGAATTGACCACTCGCACTGAAAAGGGGGTAGGAAAATTCAGTTGGGCCGAGGACTACCCTCAACTGTTCCTCTCGCAAACGCCAAATCACTACACGGCCGTCCACAGGGATGGGAGGTTCAGTACCATACGAAAGCGGAGGTTAGGGTCGCCGGAGATGCAGAGAGTTGAGGAGAGAGCCCAGCCGAGTCTGAAGAAATTACGATCCATTTTGCAGGTCCTCCACGATCTCGTTATCGAGCACGGAGAGACCGGACGCCTGAGCCTGATCTGCGTGAAAGGCATCCTTCAGGTCTTCAAGAGGAATACGACAGACAGTCTTTTGCCGGACGAATTCTTGACGCGATTCAGATAAACATAAACCAGGTAAGATCAAGCAGGAGTCAATGACTAAAGCCCACTCGCTGAACTTCGCTTCAGTCTTCTCCCGCTACCGAGAAACTCGGTTGGGCTCATTGCAGGACCGCATCAGCGTACATCTTGGTATGAACCTGCCTCTTAGCTTCCTTTCTTCGCGTGGTGATGAGCGTTTCTTGGGATACCTTGTCAAGATAGGACAGTGAAGTTCGGCTACATTGCCGCTGTAGGGCGTTTGCATCAGTAGCCTATAAATTCCTCAGGTTGTTTCCTCGTGAGCCAATTATTGAAGACCCCGTAGGTAGAAAATCCGTATTACCCTTTGCCGCGTGTTGCGGCGTTCCTACGAGAGCGGCTGCATCATAGCAGAAGCCGCTCCTGTTCCATCGCGACGCAGAAGAACGACATGATATGATCGCAGGAGAAACCTCGGAAGTTTCGCAGCATTTGTCGATAGCAGGAGGCGGGCGGTATCTTCTCCATCAGGCATGAGGGATGGATGCGGCAGACAAGAAGTCTCGCTGTTACTGGCAAGCAGAGGTCCCAGGAAGGGAGTAAGCGTGGACTTTCTCCTTTTTGTGCACGGAGCTGCCGGTGTTATGAGACGTCCTGATCAGCGGTAGCCCAAGCCCGGTCAAAGATTCCACTAACAATACCCATGGCTCAGCATTGTAGCGATCTTCTGAGTTCTTGGGATGATGAGAACGCAACGGCTAGTAGCAACTGTCAGAGGAAGCCAGTATCAGTGTTCTCCAGCAACCAGACGGAGGGCTATAATCAGCACGTCGAAGTCGCCGCCCCTCGGACTGCGAGGATATACGACTAGAGCGGCTCAGAAGTCGGTCCAGAACCGTATATTCTCCTGGGGTGGTGGTGCACCATGCAGGGCCGTCTTGCAGCATCCAATGACATCCGTAGGTATGGAGGTATTCTCCGCTCAGGAGCCTCCCTTGACGCACCAGGTGCCGTGTATTATCCGGCAGACAGGTAGCCGGACAAACCCCGGGACGCCTTACCTCACCGCAGCCTTATAGCTTAAGACTGGACCTGCACCCTGTTTGTGAACACGCAGCAGTTGGACATGAAGGCCTATCTTCGGATAGGCTTGGATGGACGTGCCTGAAAGAACGGTACCGAGGACCGAGACGACTGCGCCGTGCGAAGGCGGATACTGGAATGGGACGAAGCCGCAAATCAGGAGAACAACGGCGAGACATCATGGGAAGGGCATTGTGAGTTGGGAACGCGAATGTCGCGGCCACGGCGAACATGTATATGGTTGATTTTTACACATGAATGGAATTCTTGGGGCCCGCTTCTCCCCCAGGCAAAGACACGGACATTCGCTACTTTCTCTGAAAATAGAAGAAAAGGAAGGTCCGTGTCCTTTCCCTTGGGTGGTCTGGTCATGAAAGCTCAGCCCCTGCCACAAGTGAGTAGCAAGTAATACGTGCGCCTATTACCGTTTCGTGGGCCGAAGTGAAGTCACCGCCAAACCTTCAGATAAGATTCAGATGAATCAGTGACGAGCGGAAGACCACGAGAACGCGCCGCAACGCGTTTGTGGCGCCTTCGCGTTCCCGAGGATGTAATCAAACGGGTGGTCGAGTCCAGACCTGCTCGCTACTGCAGATAATAGCCAGCTGGTCCTTGGTTTAGAGTTTCCAGTATTGCGCAGCATCGGGCCCTGGAGAAAGGACGGATCTGAGGAAGCCTGATTCCTGACGGTGTCAGTGACGCCTCGGGCACGTTGGGGGTTGCGTGAGTTGCCGTGAGGTTGGGGAGACCTTTACGAGTATAGGCCGTTCTCTCATCCCGAGATTACTATTGGGCTATATGAGGTGGGTCCTGTGAGAGTGACTAAGTCGCAGCGCGATAGTCGGGACCTAGACTGCGCAGACGCGTACCGTCAATGAAGGCCGATGAAACGGCATATCATGGGTGTTAAACATTGGCAAATGTCAGTTTCTCTGTGCACCATCCGAGGGTATGAAATTGCCGGCCCAGACTATACTGCATGGTCAGTATTTCCGACATGAAGCACATGATCCGACCAATTGGCGGCGCAAGATTTTCCTGTCCTAAACGCAGAATTTGTGTGTTTTCAAGAATCTACGAACCGCGACATAGCGCGATTGATGGAAGGTCCGGCTCGTCGCTGGCCAGGAAAGGAATTGCGCATACCGTCGGGCGGTGATAAGAACAATTGCCCCGCTCTGCAGTTTAAGACATATCCGCTTGCGGAGATTATGTCGGGGAGAAGTCGGAAAGACTGGAGGGGAGGTGATGGCCTGTCGACGGCGTATCAGATATAAAGCACGGAAAAAGCAGTGCCATCGCTGCCCGCGTTGACAGAATTAGCCGGTGTTAGCCGGGCTATTTCCCCGGGATTGGAACTCCGCCGTCACTAGTCCGTCAAGAGGTCGGGGGACGCGCTGCCTACAGTGACGCGGCCTTTCTTCTGCTATTCCCTGTAACCCCCTGCCTCCATCTGCTCGTCGTTGCAAACAGTGTACGCGGTGGTCCCGATGATAGTGGTACCGACGATGAGCTCCTTGAACGACGTCGCAGGCCCCCAGCAGAGGCAATTCAACCCATACACCGAGAATGGAGGCACTATTCTGGCCATTGCGGGCACAGACTTCAGCGTGATCGCTGGAGACACGCGTCAGTCTGAAGGATATAACATTCAAACGCGATATGCACCAAAGGTGTTCCGATTGTACGTGCCTTCGTCGTGTGCGCGTCACGAACCGCGGATGTTGACCGGATTGAACACAGAACCGACCGCGCAGTGCTAGCTGTGAACGGTTTCGCGGCGGATGGGAACATGTTCGTGAAGAAAGTGAAGCAGCGGCTAGAGGCGAGTGCTATCACTGTTCCCAGCAACTTTGTGGCGCTAATCCACGTCCGGACAGTGGTACCGCCATGCACATGCCAAGGACATGCCCCTACATGCCATCGCCCGCCTTATTCAAACAATGCTCTACGCCCGCAGATTTTTCCCCTACTACGTCTATAATATCCTCGGGGGTATTGAGGATGACGGTACGTTGCTCTTCTTTATTTACACTATTTATATCCGATCGTTCCCTTATCTCACCACCTCATTCGACAGGCTCGGGCGCCGTGTACTCCTTCGACCCCGTCGGCTCCTACGAGCGGGAAACATGTCGAGCCGCTGGTGCAGCGCAGTCGCTGGTGCAGCCGTTCTTAGACAACCAGGTCAGTCATTTGACTGTACTATGCTCCGTTCTTTGTATAAGATGACTTATTGATCCGCTGTATGTCAGATATATTTTAAGAATCAGCAGCCTGCTCCTGGGACGTCTTTCCCTGCTCACCTACCCCTTCCCATCGTTCTTAAGCTGGTAATCGACTCCTTCACGGGAGCGACGGAGCGCCATATTGAGGTACGCTGATCGCTGCTCTTCTTATGTCCGTGTACTCCGATCCTGACGTATGTTTCTACGTATAGGTCGGTGATGGCTTGGAGATGTATGTCGTGTTAGCCAAGGGGCGTGATCTCAGCGGGCTGGAGGGCATCGTTGGCCTGCAGGAGCTCTCGACAAAATCGGACGGCGAACGGATTTTCGTCATTAGGAGAGAACTTAAGAAGGATTAATTGCATCACTGTATCCACTCTTGTACCACCGCTCGGACGGACTACTTCCGTTGTTAATATTTAGATAGTGCTCGTACTTCTTCGTGCCAGAGCAATTGACCAATGGTCATTTGTTCGCCATTCGCGCAGCGAGGTGTTCGCTATGCAGCTGCATTGTCATAATTTATTATTTATCCCTTCTATCTTCCGAGTGCACGTCTCATCCAGTTACTGAAAATGCCATGATATTGATATCTAGAACTCTTTTGACCGTCCTCTGGCAAGATAAATTGCAGATCGTCAGTTAGATGCTAATCCGGCATGTTGTTCTTGACGGGATGCGCGCTCCGGACCTTCGGGAATGAAACTCGGGTCAGCGTTTAACCGTCGTTGGAGAATGAAGCTCAGCTGCATCCTGGATTCCGACCACGTCAGGTGGGCTGCGTGAAGGCTCTCTACCCAGCAACTGAACAGTTGCTTGGTCAGATCCTGGTTGGAGACTCAGGTAAGCCTAAGAGGCGATCTACTTCAACCGGTACCATCCGCTCACAGTAACTTGAATACTAAATGTTCCCCATACTACTTACCATACTGTACCCTTCATGTAATCGTACTAGCAGCATCACACCCGAGCCAGGCCGCTACCTAGTCGGGCTTGAACGTGGGGGGGGGGGGGGGGGGGGTTATGAGTGGATTATGCTTTATTAGGCTAACAGCAACACCCTTGTCTGAGCGGTTAACCGCGACTCTGCACACCCACGATGACCTCGACGAATTATGGACTACCAGAAAGACACTCGTCGTAAGGATCATCTGTGTCCGTCGAGAATCCCCGACGCAGTACCTCTACCTTTGTGCAGCCTTCCGGTTGGGTACTAGTGAACGATGGAGATTGGTTCCGGAGTCGGGGAGGTGGAGATCATCTACGCCAGCGAAGAGTTACCGAGCTATGACAAGCGATCGGAGCGTCACCAACGGCCTGCAAGGAACTTCCGTGCGTCATGGGACATAGTTTTACAGGACTTCCTCCGGGGAATGTACCAGACTCGGACCCCATAGCTAGCTAGATATTGGTACTGGAAATCTCTGCGCAAAATAGTAAGGAAGCCTCACATGCAGCAATCAAGGTGGACTAGTGATTGACATACCCCCGCCCGCGGTTCAATAATCTGGCATAATTTCCATCAGATCCGCCTTCCCCTGAAGCTAAAGATGAGCTGGCATCACTCGGTCTCAACGTCATGTCAATTAATCTGCGTAGTCTCCATGGGACGGGGTATCCAGCATTGTAGCTCTCCTTGCAATGGAGTAAGTATAGGAATAAGTATCCAGCGACATTGCTTTACACAGATGCATCTAACAGCCTGCGTACCTAGGCTGCTGCGAAGTCTGTGTGGTACACGCTACCCCCCGATCAGCACATTCGGACTCCAAGACCGATATCTGCTCTGCGAGATAAGCCAGTTCTCGGATATCCTTCCAAAACACTACTTTGAGAACCTCCAGGGAGCTAAGGGTATTTGAATCCATGATAAGGCCTGTGACGTCTGGAAGCAAGGACGGGGGCAGCCAAATAAGGTCCAGAGAGGTCAACTGGGGCAAACGGCCGATCTCCCTGGGAAATACGTATGGGACGATAGCGCCAGTAAAGTCGAAGGAGAGGACGAGCCGTTTGAGTCCGTGGAGGAGCGAACAGTCAACGGTGCGCACTACTGCCAGGAGGGATAGGTCCTGATATGGTCCCTCTATCACCAGGGCTTCCAAGGACCGGTTGTATGCTGACTGGATTACACGTGAAACGCTGTGGTACGGGCTGTCGATTCTGGAGGTCATGAATTCCAGCGTCGCGAGTCGCGTGACCGGGAGGTACACAGAAGATGTCAGGTGACAGCATTGGATCCGTAGCGTGCGCAAACCAGGGAGCTTCGAGAATTGGGAGTCAATCTTAACCCCACGAATGGTCAAGTCTCGGAGGACAGGGAAGAGGATTTCCTTGTCCTTGAAGACGATGCGAGCTGAGGAACCCCACAGGGAGAGCACTGTCAGCCGCTTCGGCCAGGCCCACTGGCGGAACGTCTGGTGTAGGCCGTCAAGCCGACCCTGAACATGATAGGAAGGACGTAGGGTCAATTTCTCAACAGCACCACATGACACTAGCAGTGAGTCGATCGCGAGTCGGTAGTTAAGGGCTTGTCTTCCGCTTAGGCGGGCCACGAGAGAGGTTATTGTGGCCTCGACCTTCCAAGTGTCTTTATCCAGAACACGAACCTCTCGCACAAGGATAGCCAAGCTGGGATGTCTTTTCAGGGTCCTGGCGAGCCTGCGCACTTGCTCATACGATGTCACTATTGGACAGTCGTATAGAAGGGCGGTAGCAGAGAGGTACCACTGCCTGCAGACTTGTAAGAAGGGAAGTAGGAGTGCCTGTTCTCGTCTGCGCGTCGCGTCCATCAAAGTGCTCCAGTAGTTGTCCCTACCCTGTGTGAAGTCTGTTGAAATATCTTGACTCATAGAGATGGGAAGCATGGATTTGACGATGAGCAGAAGCACATCATGAGGTAGCGGGCCCTCGAAAGATCGATGTCCCGCCTCGTCCCCCGACCTCACCCAGGATGGGGTAAAAGTGCTGCAGCTGTTGTCGCCTTTCTTGTAGGAATGACGTGGGCGAAGTGGGAAAGTCATGATACTGCACGAAAGCTCGGTAAACGATTAAACTCAGGTTTACAATGGTAGTCAGCTTACCTGCTATAGTGTAAACACTAGTTGGGTGCGATGTGGTCACTCTCAAGATGATAGTTACTGGCGCGCAGCGCTCAACCCAGGAACATGCACAGCCTTCCTGGTCTCTGTACTGATATTGATAGTCTTTCGACAGCCTGGAGTCATTTTTTGGCACGAAGCTCGAGCGTATGGTGTGAAGTACGCGTTCCCAATAAGGCTATCAGACACAGGTTACGCCGGCGATTCTAGATGGGTCAACGGTGTTGTGTGCTTCTGAACGTCAATAGTCTACTCATCCGATCCGAGTCGAAATGTGGACCTGTGGTTGCTGCGACGTCGACTGAGAAGGAAGAGGAAAAAACAAGGACAAACACAAGGGGCGGACAGAAATAAAATTTTAGACCACATGCCACAAATCTCAGTTAAGGGTCTCCAGGGGACCCCCCCTCCCCCCGTGGGACAGTCTCACGGTACATAAAGGGAAGGTATGTCGCACAGCAAGCAAGGGTTAGGGTTACTTTGTCACGGGGGGTGTCACGTCTACTTCGGTCACAATTCATATGTTTTCTGAAGATCGCTACCAGGGGTCATTCTTTCTCACCGCTTTCCTCTGGGATCTTCAGAAAGGCATTTAGGTTATTGGAAAGTACCCAATAATGTGCTAGATAGCTTCCCGTTAGCCCCCTTACCCCAGATCGCTGGGCGCTTAACTGATAATAAATCTCAGTTAAGGGCTCCGAGGTCCCCCCCTCCCCCTGCATGTGGTCTCGGCATCTCCCGGTGTCCGCCCCTTGGACAAACATCACGCGCCGCGGCTTCCGCATGCCACAGCTCTTGCCACTCTGGGAGTAACGCGAACGATACCTGTTCCACATGAGAACGGGAAGAAGTAGCAGTGCTTTACTTCCCTCCCTCCTATAGCTACTTTTAATTCCCTATGCTTTGTATCAAAAATGTAACTATCATGCCGGCCATAGACTTGGCGCCGGCAATATTGTTGTTTTGCAGGCTTCGCGAGAGGATCCAACTACAGTTATATTAGACTGAACATATCGCATTGCATCGAGTCCGATTCAGATATCCAATATAGGGACTAAAGCGCGCGGATTTTGGGATGCAAGCACACGCCTTCCTCTTCCCACCGGAGCCTTCTGCTGTATATGTGAACCTCACAACACAGGATGCTGGGAGGTTGGATTTATGCATTAGTTATGACTGCGCAACAGCCTCGGGCAGATCGGTGAGAGAAACGTCCGAAAGCTGTGGCTGACCATGACATACCACCCTTGGCGAGTTGGTGACACTGACTATTCACGTCAAGATGCATTGCAATGAAATGAATAACAGAAAAAGAGAATAAACATAACAGTCCCTTGTGTTCTCTAGTACTCGGGGCTTTACTGTAACTGCTGCTATTCAAACATTGTGGGGATGCAAACGTCAATCGAACGTGTCAAACGAGCGTGGTTTGCGCACCCGACGGGGTATGCGTCAAAAAGTATAGACAGATGCAAACGATATTCGCTACGGGTGATGACGGGGGCGCGGTTGGATGACAATGTGCTCTAGTCCGAACGGTCCCAAGGCCGGGAAATGTCATACACATAAAACGATCCTGCTCTCCCCATCATCATAGGAACAGCGATGCCACACCGGCGCCAGCCAGCACGGTCCCTACGAGCCCTGCGCTCTCCACACTCCATCTCCGCTCGCTGCCGCTCACCGCAAGCGCGTTCTGGGTGTTCAGGCCATTCGACGAGCCTGAACTAGATGCGACCTGCCCAGTGACGTTGCGCAGCCGCTGCGTGGGCAGCATGTTCGGCGTCGTCGAGACGAGGTTTTGCGGTGCCAGCGGGCTGCCGTCGTACGAGTAAAGGTAGAGCCGCTGGCCCGTCGTCTCCGCGTACACCGCCCACGCGGATAGGAGCTCAGTGTCGTTGTAGTTCTCGATGAAGTTGGATACGGCGCCGCAGGGATTCTGGATCTGCTGGTAGCCATCGCCGAAGGGCGTGAGGACGACGGAGCCGTTCGGTTGGGTTTCGTACGTTCCGTGCACCCAATTCATGACGCCGGTTATGCAATTAGGTTGCGAGGCTGACACGGCGGTCGATAATCAAAGTAAAGGTGGATGAATGAGCCTACACACCATTGCTAGAGAACCGGTAGCGCGCAATCTCGTAAAATCCGTCTGAGGTGCTATTGATCCTGTCAGACACCAGCGCGACACAGATTTACACACGACGTACAATGAATATGATATGCCTGTGTTCTTGGGGTATGTGAATGATAAGTTTCCGGGGTTTGCAAAGCCCTAGTCAATGTTCATGAGCAACACGCCCGCCTCGCCGCCGTCGTTGCGGTACTCACTGAACCCGTTACAACAGCTCCACTTCCTGAGCTCCAGGTTCCAACGAAGCTATCCTGTGCGAGTGCCGGCGCTGCGACAGCGAGCAGCGAGATGAGAGCTGAGAAGAGCATCAGACGATGAGCAGAGGGAAGGCGACCAAAAGAGTGCGACTAGTGATACAGGTTTGCGGTCGGCGAGGGGTCGTGGATGACGGTAGTGATGCCGGAGGGCTTTTGTTGTCGCCTGTTGTCTTGGAGGCGCCGTATGGTATCTTTCCCACGTATTTTATTATGGCACTTGCCAGAAACTGCCAATTTTGGTTATCGTACAGAAATGACGTAGTAAAATAGGGGCCTGCTCCGGTCTGTCTATCCAATTGATAGCCTGAAAGTCTACAGTACTAGTCATATACGTTCATTATACTGTACAGCGAATTCTGTTGGGGCGACCCAACGACGCTCAGACATCGGCGTTAGCAAACTCATCCAGAAACTTCTCTGAGGCCCGGACAACAGTCCTGACATGGTCCATGGACAGCGGTTCCTTCCTGACAAAGTTCGCGATGAGCGGGATGATACATTTGAACGGAAGGTTAGACGTACGAAGCGAGTGCCAGAGCTTGCGCCGTCCTGACCAAATTCTTGATAGTCCGGCCTGGCAATCATTTCAGCGAGCATTCGGGCAAATGCGCAGTGATTACCCACCGTTGAAAGGCTTGATAGACAACTCGTCCAAATGCTCCGCAGTAAACGCGTGCCCATTTCCATCATCCATTGCAACGTGCTGGATTGGTACTTTCGCTAATTCGAAGAACTTTTGCCAGACATGACGCCTCGCGCTCTGATCAAGCTCGGGATACTTGATACCTGGGGTCAATGTCTTAGTTTTCACATTTTCGTATAAGAGAGTATAATTGTTGTGCCTATGGAAAACCGCGAGAGGAAGGCATCGTCGAAGTTCTTGATACGATTCGTGGTCAAGAACAGCACGCCTCGGTGATATTCAAGCACTCTTAGGGCCACGGAGACCAGGGCATTACGCGACAGCTATACATAGGGGTGAGCGAGCCGTTAGGAACAGTCATTACCACTCACCTCGTGCAGGCTACGTCTTTCCAGATAAACCTGCGCAGGCATGGGATCAAACCGCCAATAGTGATGAAGACTGTACGTACATCAGCTTCATCGATCAGGAGTACTGCATCCCACGCGGTCGCTAGCTGTTCCGCGATCAATAATCAGCAACACCCTCAGTGGTGATTGACCTGCCTTCAATATGCTCCGCAAGCTCCTCTCGAGCAATGAGGACTCAGAAGGGAGCTCAGACGAACCGACCATATACAAGGGCCGCTTCAGGTACTCTGCCACAGCTTCCGCGGTGAGTGTCTTCCCCGTCCCAGGCGGGCCATGCAAGACAGCGATCTGCGAAGCCCGTTCCTCAGTATTCTTGAAATACCCCAGGATAAAGTTTGGGAGCAACAAACCAGTCCGCCACCCTTGCCCGAAATGACGTCGGAGATGATCTGCTTCGTGGAATTGGCGTTCTTGGTCACGTCCACTAGGCCTTTGATGAGCGTCTAGAACAGAACGTGAACGAATGTAACTAGGGACAATGGGGCCTCCCACCTTGGTGTCCGGGTCAAGGACGAGGTGATCCCAAGCACCCTCATCGAATGCGACGGGAGAAAGCTTTCTAACGAGGAAACTGGACCATTTCTGTGTACGGAAATTAAAAGAGTTGATCCAGCAACGCCGATTCCCTCACCTTTCGAGTCAGGTCAAATCCGTATACGCGCGGTTGCAGTAGGTACAAGAGATCGTCGGAGATTGCTGGTTTCTCTGCGTCTCTGCGGACTGTCGGCAAGCTGTGGGCGTATATGAGGTATGGAAGACGTACGGGTCGGCTACGTATCCCTCCTGGTTCTCGTACGCCCGTCGGTCGACAATGACCCTCCTCTAATCTCGAAAGGTATGTGCTATTCACCCTCAACGGATTGAGCACACTCACGTCTTCATCTGTGGAAGCGGTCAGGACCAGGCGGGCGATTGCGGAAGACATAAGAAAGATAACGAACATGCCATATAATGCATCCCTGAGTACGAGGCGTATAATCGGCCACGTTCTAAGTCACCGGTCAGTACACGTTTCCACGCAAATCGGTCTTCGTACCTTGGAGCTCGCTCTCCATCTCCGAAGTGAGAAGGGTGCAAGCTAGGTCTTCCAACTGCATAGTACCCTGAAACCGCGCGTGAGATTGAGTCGTAGAAAGTGTAGAGAAACAATACAAGACCTTGAACACCGGTAGTTTATGGACGGTTTTGGACCACAAGTATGCCGATCCACCCCAGTACACCCCCCTCCCTTTGATATAGAATCCCGGGTTATCGCCTCTACAAGCATCTCATAAGGGACTTTCATATCCAACAGTAAATGCTTCGGCACGTACGCATTATAATACGTGGACTGCACCGTGACGGCGATCTTCTGCCCAGTGGGGCCGAAGTCGTCCATCTCGTCCGCTAAGACTTTCGCCCCCTTCTCAAAGTAATATATGAGAAGGTCATAGTCAATTTGGTCGTATGAGACCAGGAGCTTCAGCCGATCCGCGCTGCACATCATCATAAATTATGAGGGGCGTGGAATGATGAAGCCTGGCTTACGTGGGTTTGAATTCTTCATCGATGAAGTCCAGAAGAACTGAAGCGTGCTCTGCTATGTCGGACAGATACCGTATGATGTGTTCGTCCCCGAGGTGGCCTTCGCGGAAGTGCATAACAGGTACAAGCTTCGAATAATCCATGTCAACCTACCATAGTCCGCATCTTTGGCCCCAAGCTTGCGTGCTAATTTACGACGCTGGTCGGCATCCGCATCGGGGGAATCGCAAGCGTCTTTGACTGCGTTATACTGCGAGTGAAGGTCTTTCAGCTTGCGGAAAAAGTGGCGGAGCTTGTATTCCGGGTCCTTCTCAAAAAATTCATCGCCGATGTACGCCCTTCGCGAGAGCTTAGACACTTCAAACATCAGAGTTGTTGGACTAACCTCAGGAAGCTTATCAGTATCGGGCTGAAGTGAGTCAGTATGAGCTCCGGAGGATCTGTCAGACGGGTGATATGAGAAGTGTTTCCAATAGTGAGGCTGAACTGCAACCTAATGGATTCTTGTAGCTGTAGCGAACATCGACGTAGAAGTAATTTTCAAGATCACATCGCGGTGGCGCGGGTTTGTGCTGGGATGGATCATAATCCACCCAGGCATACTCCTTCTGGGACCTTGGGTAACGGCTCATAAAGCAATTTAACGGAATATATGGCGCCGAGCTCGTACCATATCCTGGATCGCTTGAGATAGTGGGGAGATTTTTCTTTCTCCTGACTGGCAGTGTCCTCTGTAGCACGTCGCGTGAGGTATACTGCTAGTCCTGGGCACTGCAGCGCACTGAAGTTATCTCACCTTGCGTAGATTTGGACGAGGGTTCCTCAACGATCGTATCAGTAGAGCCTTCGATTGCAATCCCGTCACTGCTAGCTGCGTGCACCTTCATGCTGTGGTCGACCTTACCTTCCACGGGCTGCGACGCAGAGCTCGTCTCATCGTGATCACAGCTGGCAGACATGGTGTTAAAAGCAAAGGGTGAATGACCAGTGGCAGTAGAAGCGCAGAATTCAGGGGACGACAAGTGAGTCTACAGCCTAGGGAAAGAGGTTGACTGCCTGACTCTATATAACCTGCGGCTGACGAAACGTGGTATTCACGACGGTCAGGTATGTAACATTTTTCGACGCACTCCGAGTCATGGCGCAAACGACGCCTCACCCATGAGAAGTAGTGTAGCTTCTAGCTGCGATGGACGCACGCAAATGACTCTCGAGGCTCTTTACGCGTCAAGCTTCGTCGCCTCATGGTCAATAATTATGCGCATAAGGTACATGGTGCCCCAAATATTAGAGATGTCTGCGTAATGGCATCAATCGACGTAAGAATGAACATGTTTGCGACGGCGAAACTTTTACGAACCTTCACACCCAAGACTGTCGGTACCGCAAAGTTCGAGTCATCGCCACTGCGTTCTCATACAGATTACCGAGATCCTGCAGGGAGGCGATAAAGTGGCCGATCGGATTGAGATGAGATGGTACCAACTGAAAAAAAGGTCAGCGAGACTACAACGTTGAGGAAACGCCTCCCCAATAACTCAATAATGAGCATAAATATATAAATCTATCAAGCCCGTACCAATACAAGCCGCTGTAATTTATTAAACGTCGACATCCTCGAGCTGCGTCGTATCATATGTAGGGATCAACGTCGTCGCACCGTCATGATTGGCCGTGAAGTCCTCCAATTTTAACGGTCGGATCTTGAACCCCTGAACGTTGATTGAGTTCCGTGGTATTTAATGAGGGCAGATGGGGTTACGTACCTCCAGTTGTCCCTTCGCCAGCACTTCTGGATCGTGCCCCGCTTCTCTCATGAACTCCCTTACAGCAACCATTGCGGCATTCCGACATAGCTCGCGCAGATCCGAACCTGAAAGGCCTTCTGTCCGCTGAGCAAGGGTGTCCATAGACAAATCAGGTGATAGAGGCGTGTCCTTCAGCATCTACCAAAAACTGAGTATGCGATGAATTCAAACAAAGAGTGCACCGTACTAGGGACAAAATCTTCTTCCTCTGCTCAATATCGGGCAGGCCTATGCCGAAACGCTTAGGCATCCGTCGAAGGATGGCGGAGTCAATGTCATTTGGCCTATTTGTGGCACCAAGGATCATTATCCGGTCCGTACCGGACGTGAGCCCATCCCAGAGCCTGAAGGAAGGTGAACGATAGACGATAATATTCGGTGCATTGCTCACGTCATGAACTCCGCCTTCATCATCCCCGTCACCTCGTGGTCACCCTTCGTTCGCTCCCTCAAGAAACTATCGATCTCGTCAATGAACACGATACTCGGCTGTGTCTTCCTCGCAAGCCCGAAGAGCCCAGCGACGAGCTTGTTACTCTCGCCGTACCACTTGTTGGTTAACACAGAGGCGGCGATGTTGATGAAAGTCGCACCTGACTCTTTAGCAAGAGCCTTTGCGAGCATGGTCTTCCCACAGCCCGGCGGGCCATACAGTAGGACACCTTTCGGGGCTGTGAGGAGCGAGGATGACGAGGTGAAGAGTTTGGGGTAGAGAAGGGGGTATATGACCGATTCGCGGAGGGAAGAAATTATTGGCTCCAGACCGCCGATATCTGGCACACAGTAGCGTATATGTTAACAGAGATACTATCGACAAGGGAGGCAGCTCACCAGAGAATCGGACATTGATATCGTCGGGGTGGATGACTTCGGCGGCAATAGCCTCTACAAAGACATAAGGGAAGCTGAGAATGAGGCAAACGATTCACGCACTCTCATACTCATTCAGCTCCAGGTCCTTATGCCCTAGTCTGTCTAGCGCATCCTTACTCTTCGCAGAAACCTCCTTCCGTGTTTGACGCTCGGGCAAGAATCGCTCTACTGCCCACTGTAAATAATTTAGTGAGAGTAGTTGAAGTTGGTATCTGCTTGACGCATACCGTCAAGGTGTAGTACAAGGCTGCCTTCGATTCATGCTAGTAAGGATACTGGACTTCGAAGGGAAAACAAGACGCACTTGAGATGCCAGAAACAATGCAACTGAAGCAAGTGAAAAGTTCAGTGGTATTCCGTATATTTGAATACAAAACTCACCGTCTACGAGCGTCCTCTTTGTCGAGGCAGATACGGCCATACTCGAAGACTTCACGAACTCGTCTTAGCGCAGACGCGTGCTGTCATACTCAGGGAGTCGGCTTTATCCGCTACCGGCTAAATTCGGTTCCGCTGCAGCTACTTACTGCCACTTCAGGCTTCAGCTACCTCGCACTCGCCAGGCCAGCAAGGACTAGCCAAAATACACAGTGCTACTCTCACTGCGGGCAGAGGCCGATGTCCCGCCGGCGAGCATGCTAGGAACATTCCCCATTTGGGAGACCAGTTTCCCAGAATGGTCTTTGCTGGACCATGACCCGGGCATGGAGAATATTAATCCTTGGAATGAACAAAGGGAGCTCTGCAGGACATATAACATGATCTCTAAAACTTAGGGGACATGTTATTCCCATTTTTCTCTCATTCTTTATGTCTCTCTGCCAAGTCCCACTAGTACTTCGGAGCAAAGTGTTCTCCCACCTATCTCATGCATGATGAATGTCGACGTCCGGTGCTGGGACATTGGTGCTTGCACTGCGGACAGAGACCGATGTCCCGCCGGTGGGCATGCCAGGAACATCTCTCAATTGGGGGAACACTTTCCTAGAATGGTCCTTGCTGGACCATAACCTGGACATGAATGTCCTTTGAGTGAACAAAGAAAGGTCTATGGGACTTTTACTATGGTCCCCAAAAATTAGGGGACATTTAATTAACATTGTCCTTTGATTCTTTATGTCTGTATCATGTTCCACTCCGGAGCATCCCAGGAAAGTGTTCTCCCACCCTTGCTGTGAAAGATGAATGTCTGGGACACCTGTCCTTGCCCGCTGTGAGAGATATGGCCACGCTATGCAGCGGTGAGCTATATGATGTGCTCACAGATTCCCCTTGAAAGTCCCAGTTTTGTGATTTCATCTATGATTTTGTTGTAAACCCCATACTGTCCCTGATTTATAGGGTGCAGCGGGGGTACGCAAGAGAAACAAGCAATATATTCAGGTGATAATCAGAATCTGTCTAACTTTTAAGTGTACCACGGGGCGCATAACGGGAATAACCATGGGAATGCCACAGATGCGCAGGTATTCAATGATTCGTCCATAGTATTGATCGCTGATCTTTGATCTTTGTATCTCCGTAGAAGCGTGCTTCGCGATCGAGTGAGGCAATGTGAGCGTTGTCAGAACACAACCCAATTTAGCCAAGAGACTTCCAAATACGGAGGTCTGCCCAGATGACGTCACATACTTCTGGGGAGTTCTGATGTCGATCGTGACGCTGACTATGTTGCCCGGTATAGAAATACAGTTACCGGATTCGAACATTCTCTTCGAGGATGCTTGTCCTATATTATAACACTGGGTACAATAGCCATATTGAGTCACTGAGAAAGTGTGAAAGGAACTGGACAAAGGTCAAATTTTGTTCATAGTGTTGCCTCGCAAAACAAATGGAAGTTCAATGAACAGTGCTGAACAAAGATCATATCCCGTGTCACAATCAGATTTTTGCGCACTCAAGAGTAGTATTATTTTAATTCGTTTCAGTGACTGTGCAATGGACAATCATGAAAAAGTTTGACCTTTGACCGGTTATTTTCAAAGTTTTGTGCATGCTCAATATGGGTGATGTACCCAGTGTTACTGGGGAGGAGTTTTATAAAGCGGACGACGTCCAGACCTGGAAGATTTTCCCTGCCCACTAACCAAATATCTTCTCTATCTTCAACGTCGTTTCTCACGACGGCAACGAATATTCATGAGCAACCGCGAAGTGCGACCGCCTGTATTCGTGTCGATCGATTAGTCGGGGGGAGAGCTGTGAACAATCTCAGACATGCTGCTAGTAGGTTCAAGATTATAACCTCCCGCATATAGTTGCTGAATCCGATATCAATGATGGCAATATGTTCCTGGTTCTAAGGAGCCGGATCCGGACCGGCGACACATTTTCGCAAGGTGTGTAAGATCGACTATTGTGCCATATTCCGTGTGACATTTCTGATTCACTGATGTATCATCTGCAAGACAGATCGGTTTCACTTCTGAGCGCCATATCGCTATTATTTATCCAAAGGATAACTCAGACCGGCAACCCGCGCCGGTTGTCCTTCCAAACATGAGCTCTGCAGTCAAAGGCTTATTCCTCCATTGTCACCACTGATAATTCCCGTCATACGGGACTGAGCTCACCGTAACCCAGCTTCCAGTCAAAGTCGTTATGCGGTGCCCCACGCAACTACGTCGACGTGCTACGCGAGTCACGGACCACGTTAGTGGCATTGGGATTTGGAGACAAGCCCGTGTCCCAGACTAATACCATCACTTGAACTCTCCACGAAAACGCCAGAGTAGATGAGACCCTCCATTGATCCTTCTTGCAAGCCATAGTGGGCGACATCTGTCTGTTCAGTAGGCCTATCGTTCGGGTTTACTAGGGGCAGCTGTGGCATGACCATCAGGCCAGTACTCGCTGGGGAAGCGACACCCACTCACTTTCAATACGCCAAAGTGGTAATCGCCCTGACCAGCGGCACCAGTCGGCGCACTCAAATTGGGCGCCACCTCGGTGACCTGTTGTAGCGGCGCACCATCCGCGGAGTACAAGCCACACAATGTGCGGTTAGACCAGTCCACCTGGACCGCGAGATTGTGCCACGTTAGCGGTGTAAAGGGTACTGAGTATAGCACGTTCAGAGCATGGTCCAGGAGCTTGAGCGAGTGGGCGTTGGCTGCCGGTAGCGGTCCCGTTGGGTCCGTGAAAGGCGAACCTGTCAAGTCCCCCCATTAGGATGGCACATCAGCACAGAACAATCTCTTACTTGCCTAGCTGGATGCCGAAGATATGGGTTCCATCCGAAGGTTCGATGAATACGATTTGGTACTCATGCGAGTAATTCAAAGGCAGGATATCATTCCTGATGATGGAGAAATGGAACACCGTAGTGCCGACGTCCAGCACCTCATTCAGCGCTGTGTGGTTCCCGTTCGCTTGGGCTATGAATTCCGTACGCCGGAATCCGTACTGTGGACCTCCGCTGCCTGGCACGAAAATGGAAGTGTTATCAATTGAAATGGATATCGACTGCTCAATCGGCTCGACACCATACGCATTCCAGAGCGGAGTGGGCGGGACGGCCAACCCCAGTAAGGTCGAATACTATGCGAATCGCTTTACTTCTAAAATGGGTTCGGTCATGGACGCCCAGACTTACGTGAGATGCATTTTCTGTGCTGCCCTTGACGACTCTGCCAAACTCCTCGCATCAACGTCGCCGTAGATGCAGGGAGGACGAGTTACGCACGTCAAGTACGGGCCGAGAGAGTCATTGAGGTCATTCTCCGTCAGATTGAAAGGAGCGCGCCCATCATATAGCAGAGGCGTCGCACTTGCAACCGCCAGGAAGCCGAGCACACCAGCCAATAGAGGTCCCATCGATATCGTCAATGTTCACTGGTCCCACTTACGGGATGGAAGGATGAAGTGCATTAGTTTATATGGGAGTGGGGAGGAAAAATCGCGGCATGAAGTCGGATGATATCCAGAACTGTCCGTGAAAGCAGCATGATTGTCTCGCATGTGACTGAATCTATATCCTGGAGACGAGGAAAGCAGCCACGGGTAGGTCAGGTCGTACAGTGGAAGGAAATCAGCATTCTACATGTGAGCATCTGTCATTACGGAATAAGAATACACGAGCTGAGTACTTCTCATTTATTGGCTTTGTTCCCGGGCTTCTTACATCTAGTCCACCAGGAGGATGGAGTCCAACACCGAAAAGCCGGCAGCGACTCCGCCCTCGTCATTCTCCCTCCCCTTCGTTCTGACTAACCACCCCGCCTCCTCCTCCTTCACCACCTTCCTCTCCTCCCCACCAAACAGCGCCCACCCGAATATCCCCAGCTCGCTAACGACCTCCGCCTTGACGTGCCCGCCGCCCGATCGTACTAGGTAATTACCCAACCCCTGCGGGGGAACAATAAGCTCCATCGAGATCCACGCCGCGCGTTCTTGGGGGGGCAGGCTCGCCAGGAAGGGCGGAATGGACGCCTTGTAGACGTTGTTCCCGCCGCCCTCTCGCTGCGGCTTCAGCACCAAGTTCGCGTAGTTCGCAAGCGCGCGCTTGAGCCCCGCCGGCTCGCGCTCGGCTTCCGTGTCCTTGGTCATAGTATCGCCCACGACATTTCCCGCTGCGTCGATACTCTCCTCGTCGTCATCGAGCCCCCACATCCCCATCCAGCTAGCGCGGATCTCCCTGATCACGTCTTCACCTTGGTCCTTCAAGAATTGCTCCACCACGCCTGGCTTCGCGAGGACCTCCTGCACCTTCTTGCCACCGGCGAGCTGGAGGGGTATGCTCGGGCATTTGATGGCCCGGGATTTCTCCAGGAGGAAACGCGCCTCGAAGTGCGCGGGTTGGGTGAAGTCGTTGGGAGTGTACCCTGCGCGGAAGTAAACGACGGATACCTCGGTGGCGGGGGAAATTATAAGGGCAGAGGTTCGCGCGTTAGTAGAAGCGGAAGAGGTCAACTGAGTTAATGTTTGTCTCGTAACGTGGATCGAATGTCTAGTAGAATCGAAGATGAGTGTCGAGCAAAATATGTGTCCCTGGACTAACGTACTTCTCGAGGAGTTCGTACTCTAACCAGCGCTGATCGAAGACGTTCCTCTCGCCGTCTTGCACGACGAAAAGGATATGCGCCCTTCGTAATTGTCATGGCTTATTTTAGCAAAGGAGGGACAAAACGCTTACTCTGGGACGCCATATGCTTTGTGTCCCTCCGCCAGCCCGGAAGCTAATCCAGATAACGTGGTGTTTGGTGGGAAGTTCTCTGGCCTCAGTTGAGGAGAGGTGTCATAGTATCGTGTCGAGTTGTATAGATACCTTAGTGTATCGTTACAAAAGAGTGTCCTTGGCTAAGTGGAAGAGCTAGAAAAGTAGCCACCCTACGGCTCCCATCCGACCTAGGATGCCCGTATGGCATTCTAGTAAGTCGCAGGGGCGCCATCGGGTACCACTTCCCTAGCATTGCATCACGTACCTGTGCAAGGCAGCAGTCTGCTGGGACAAGGGCCCAAAAGACGATGATATCGTATTGAACTCGACCTGCTTAAGAGAGACTGGCTCATCTGCAGATGGGGAATGCAGGAGGTAATCCGAACGGAAGAGACCTAGATGGAGGGGCTTTAACACATGTCTTCAATGTAGGCTTCATCCGCGATACTTCGTTCTACTCACCTGAGCAACCCCTTGCTCTCTGATCGCCTTCCATCCCGTCCAAAGCTTGCCGACAAAGTCGTCGACCCTGCCCACGCCTACCTCTGCTCCCATGATCCTATCCAGGAAATCTGTGTCCATTGCAACCCTCGCGTACAGCACATCATAAATGCTCTGCAACTTCCTTGCCTGTTCGAAGACCGAGCGCGGAACGGGAGATGGGAAGAGCGAAAGAGGGGCATGTATAGCAGAGTTCGGTATCGGGGGTTGCGGGCTGGCTATGGGTAGGTATAATAAACCATGCGATAATGCATACGTCGTCGCCAGTAGAGTTAGACTGTCGAGCTGTGTGCTAGATAGTTCTGGCGGCCACTGAGGGATATTGCTCATGGTGGCTACCGGAAGATATTCACTTCTCTCCGGCGTTCATCGTGATATATCTTTATTCGGAGACAGTGCTGACTGAGCTTACTGACCGTGATAACGAGAAACGCTAGCATGCACAAAGATGACGAAATGAAAGCGGGCGGAAGGCCATATAGGAGCAGACATGCACATGGACGAACACTTTCGAGAGCGCAAGCGCTACGCCGTGGCGGAGCAGCAGATGCACGATGAAGACAGCTATGGATACAAGCAGATATGGATACAATAGGTAGTGCGCAGAAATAGCCAGTCTTTATTCCAAGAAAATCATGCCAAAAGTCCCTGCAAGCGCTCCTTGAATCCCCACTTCTCAGCTTGCTGCAACCGCTCGCCTTTCCAAGGCCCCTGCTGCTCGAAGCACTGCGGCGGAACGAGAATCGCCCGATTGTCCACAGAACAGTCCACCTGTCTATATAGGACCAACTCTTTCACGACATCTAGACTGGCCTGAGTGACCACAGCTTTGATCAACTTTTCGGCCCTCTCTTCGTCCTTGGTGGCATCGGTAGGGCGAAGGTCGTCCCAGATATGTGCCGCAACATGGTGCACAGCAACAAAACGCAAGAACCCAGCCGCCGTCCCCGGCTTCACCAGCGCTCGGAGATACGCCGCAACGACCGCCTTGTCCGGCTCCACAGGATAAAGATACTGGCTAAGGTCATCCGTAAGCACATCCTCGACCGGCGTCCGGATAGTCCGGAGAGCATGGTGATAGTCGTCCCAGAAGAGCTTCCTGTAATCGACCGGGTAGCGCATCGAGAGCGGGGGTAGAAGCAGCTTAGCAAATAGCGGGTGCCCGAAGGAGATCGCATCGTACAGCCCAAGGAAGTCCGTATAGTACTGGTAGAACGGCGTCGAATGTCCCAGGAAGCGGCGGGAGACCTGCTCGAGCGTCTCACTTGATGAACGTTTCGGTGTGGAAGCGGAAACAGCGTAAGAGAATGGAGCCAACAGATCGCCCATCAGCCCACCGATAACCGTATCCCTGAACACTTCCTCTTGCACGCCGTCGTTTTGCTGATCCTGCCCATGCTCTAGCATGAACACCCTCATACACCCAAACACGACCTCCTCTCTGCTCATAACGAACTCCTCCCCGAACCCGTTCACCCTCAGCACCTCCCTGACGACCTTTGCTAGAAGGAGGACCGCGCGTGTGACGTCCGTCTCGGATGCATTCCACGTCGACGGCAGCGCCTTGAAAACGGCGGAAGTACCAGACCGCAGTAGGTGATCCAAGGGGATGAACGGCCAGTCTCTGGCTAACGGCACGCCGAAGTCCCGGCCCAACCGTGAGCGAAGCCCAGATATCGACGGGACGCGCTGAGTCGCAGCCAGTGCAATCGACTGACGTGTCATATCCAGCGGTCCTACGTAGCCATATTGCTCCTCTTCCTCATCGAGCTGAGGCCTTATAGAAAGGATGAAAAACGGTGTGATGATTCCCATGCCGCCGTTCTCCCATATGATATTCGGGACGTTCCATCCCGCTTGAGCGATGAAGCCAGGAGTCACGACGTCCATCATTTGCTCGAGCGTACGCTGTGTGAGATCCTCATCCCCTGGTAACACCCTCTGGAGGACCGTGCACGCCTGGGCAAGCCACAGATCTGGAGATGTTCCAGGAAGTCTTCTGGACAGGCGGATGAACAGGGACAGGAACGAAGACAGCGGGCGGAAGAAAACACTTATGAACGGGGGAGCTGCTACAGGTTGCACTTGCAAGCACGACCAAATAGAGTGTCTGCTCAAGGAGGCAGCCAGAACGGAGATGTCATCGAATGGAAGGACAAAAGGTGGCGAAGGAGGCGGACCCTCGGAGAAGGGAGGCGTGCATGACAGCCACAACCGCAGAGCCGCTGACAACAGCTTGGCATCCTTCGACGTCTCATGCAGTCCGATTAATGCCTCGGAGTGGAAAGGTGCGCTCCCGATAGATCTCAATTGGTCAAGAGAATGCCGCAGATTCTCGACAGCCTGCAGCACAACGGCACTCTCCTTCCCGGCCTCGAAGCCTTCAGACACGAGTTCGACCATCCTGGCGCGCTCCTGTTCTCCGCCCTTGATCCCATTGACCCTAGCGCCCTCTAGCCAGGCGGCACAAGTGCCCCAAACTGCCGCCCACACCTCCTGGTATCCCTCCTCTAACTTCGCGCGCAGCTCCAGCACCTGCTCTCCCCACCCCCAGCCCGCCACCTGACTCCAAAGGATCTCGTGGTCCGGCGTAGTCTGGTGAGGGTCCGTCGCGCAGACGATCCACCCGGCTAGTAATTTCGCCCACGCAGTCATGAGTCGCTTCGACACGCATCTCTGCGAAAGCACGTAGTTGCCTAGGCGGTGCAAGTGCTCGGTAGCAGTCGTCGCAACACTGGCATACAGCCCATATGACGCCAGCACTGTGTAGAACTCGAGCGTAGATGCGAGAAGGGCAGTTGCGAGCGGGTGGGAGTAGGCCGAGTCTGGAGGGAGCGTCACCACGAAGCGTAACAGAGCATCGGCATAACCAGTGACACTCGATGCGTTCGATCTTGAAGCCATCGCGAGCGTAGCCAGCAGTTGTATCGCCAAGGGATTAGGGAGAGGTGAAGTCGACGTGGGCGGGATCGGAGTTAGCAGGAACGTAGAGACTACCGAGGGCAGAAGCTTCGGCGTCCCAGTTATAGAAGTGGCATATGCATTAGAATATTGCGCGAGGCGATGTAGAATACCCAAGAGTTGAGATAAGGATGCTTCAGGGAGGGCTGCCGTGCTCAAAGCTTCAGCGATCTGAGGGAGAAGGTACTCAATGGGCAGTGACGAGATAGCGTCGCGAGCAGCACTCTGTATTTTGTCAGCCTCTTCTCCAGGTGTGGATTGCGTGCTCGCCTCAATGAATTCGACGCCTTCGATGTCCACGAGCTCCTCATCCCATCCAACCACGCACTCCCACAGCACATCGACCGCCATAGCGCCGACGCTCCCTCTCTGGCCGAGGGCCTCAATCCCCGCAGCCAGAATCCTCTTCCTCAGCTCCTCTTCCTTTCCGTGCAGCTCAGCCAGGCCGTCATCGTGCTCCCCGTACTTTTTCCGCGCCTTTCCGAGTCTCCGAGTGATCCGCGCAAGGACACCCAGCATGGTTGCTCTCTGCGCGGGCACAGTAGATCGGGAGAGCAGGAAGATGTCGTCGATGGTATACCCCGCGTGCGTACCCTCGGCATGGTGATGCAGGCCCAAGTGCGTCGGGAGTATGTTGGATAGGGCCGCCGGGATCGGGGTTCCGGTCAGATCAAACCGCAGCGATGAGGGGGACGTGGGGTCGGGTGGTGGTCGTGAGGTTATCCAGGCAAGCGAAGGATCGTCTGCAGGCATGTTGGGGAAGAACCGTTTGCGTATGTACTCTGGCGTTCCTTCCTCGACGTCTCCGTCTTCGTCCTTACCTCCGGGCTGCGATGTGTCTGACGAAGGCTTCTCCGCGGCCGGCTGGTCCTGAAACGACAGCCCGCCGCTCTTTCGCCACTCACCCAGAGAGATGATGGAAGTATCTTCTCGATCAGAAGCCGAGGGGGGCATCAAAGCCAGCGGCTTCCTCTTGGGCGACGGGGGCGCAGATTGATAAACGTGTACATCCTCAGGAGCCAGGTCTGCAAACCGCAATTTCCGGTCGGCTCGGCTAGACGGCCGAGTTGTGCTCCGCGAAAGAGCAGAGCGGGGTGAGGTTGGAGTGACGGGAGACTTGACTGCTGCGCGTCAAGCTGTCATGAGGGAAGAGTGAATCAAGAACAAACGTACCTGAATCATGCTGTAACGTATCTGCATGCCTTTTTACCTCTGACGGTAATATAAGCAGAACTCCATATGCTCTGTCCTGGTAGACGCACCTTCGTGCACGACTTCATTTTCTTTCTCCCTTGGATCCGCCGATGAAGTATTGATCCCAAGAATTTCAGCGGAGTCCTTGCCATGTCCTCCTCCTCTCTTCTCCCTAGCCTCTTTCACTTTGCGGAGGATATCGCCCACCCCAGCTCCGAACCGTTCCAAGATCTCTCTCCTCTCCTGCTCGAGTTCCTCTTCCGACATACTCTCAACCCTTCGCTGGTTCTCTTCACTCACCTGACGCCTCCAGTCCTCTTCGGTAGAATCTACGGTCACAGGAGGTTTCTCTGCCCCAGCCCGGCTGTGCTCTCGAGGAGTTGCCTGCACGACTGGCACCTCCCTGAGGCGCTCGCTTCCTCCCTTCCGCCGCGCCTCCTCTCGCCCTCGTGCAAACGCGCTTTTCGATCGATGCTCGACAGTTGGGAAGCCATTCCGCGCCGGGCCTTTCGGTTTCGGTGCTGATGCCGATGAAGATCCAGGTTTCCGCTCTACGACCGAGCCAACTAGCGAGCCTCTGGCGTCCATATGTCGTAGGATTATGAGGGTGTAAAGTGAAGTCTATACCACGAGAAAGCCGTGAGGCGGCTGCCGAACAAGAGAATATTTCTATGTAATTTCGACAGTGTCCTGACCGGCGGGCCTGTGGCGCAAAAGACAAGGAAATTAAGCAGTTCCGATTCCTCTAGAATCGGTTTACTGTTCAGTAGTTGTATAGGGCTCTCTGGTGATCGAGAAAGCGAGCGCTTAACAGGGGTTATACCACTTACAGCCCAAATTACTCGAAATGTAATAGGAGCATTGCTCATAAATGGTAGGTGGGCCGATCCAAATCTTACCGCCACCAACAAATAGGAACTATTACCCCTTACAGTGGCGTGCGAAAGTAATGCACCACCCAAGATAAATGTATATCTCTGCAACCACTTGACCATTCTCTTCGGTGTAAAAAGTAAACTTTTAGCCCTCCTTCTGGGCAACAATAT